TCTTTATTACTGCTCATTATTGGACTTGAACGTAGCATTATCTAGTTTCAAACTTTTTCCTTGACGTTTAATCAATATCAGGTGATTTATTATGAATTACCTGTAAAGCCCCCACTGTCAATACTCGATCTAGAATCGATAGCAAGCACCTCAAGGACTCGATGGACATACCCCCGCAAGGATCGACAGTACAGTGGTACGGTCTCTTGTTATATACCCACACCTTTCGTTTAAGTACGAATACAATATCATATCATTAAACACTTGCCAATTATAATTCGTTTGTCTCGTTAATTGTGAATTTCTTCGTGTCAAAAATGCGGCTATTGTCAAACGTACATAATAAAAAAGGATACAATTCTACTGAAGATAAGGTGAGATAACTTATGATATAGCAATGTATAAGTAAAAACCCTGGTGTCGTTGCTATGGTTATTTTTTAATTATTATTAAGCTTTAATTCGCATATGTTTCGTTAATTATTAAAATCTATATTTCTTATAACTAACTAATGAGAACCTGATACATAAAGTTGATTATGTAATGATTTAAACGTTCGAAAGCTTTCAATTTTTCATATTATTAACTTTAACAAACACGTATTATTAATTAAGTCGAGTTAATTATTACAGTTAATTATTCGTACTTCTCTTTCGCTACTCCAAGGTGGCGGCGGGGTTCAAGATCATTCAGAACACTCTATTCCTAGATTCCCGAAAATAAAAGAATGTTTCCGAAAGAAGACGTAGCCTGCCGATACCCAACTCTTTAATTGTAATTATAAATTACCCTCCATTTTCCGATGAACAATTTTACTCAATTATAATAACCGATAATAATTTTCAAAATATTTAAATCGATCTGATAATCGGATTGTTAATTACGATTAAAAGTTTTTCTTTATTTTATTTTTTATTCTGCGCATTTTCCTTGTTCCGCTTTAACATGCTTATTTTAATTGCGTATTTTAGCATTTTGTGTTGGCGATCGAGGGCTATCAAGCTATATGTTTTAGCTGAAGACATTGGTCTTTATTAGTATTTTATTATTTTACATGTTTGTGTATTAGAAAGGTAGGAAATGTAGCCTTACCTGGACAACTCGTTTAGTCAAGGCAGCTATGTCGGTTGTAAACAGGATTGTCAATTCTCAGCTGCGTTCGTCATTCATCGAGAATCTGGGAATAGCGTGCTCTGAGCTATCTTGAAAACGGAAAGAAAAAATATAATAATTAAAATACAAATTATTATATGAATACTTACTGGTCATCATATATAAACAAATATAATTGGAAAAAGAACATCGAAATTTGGCCAGGATTGAAGTACATTATCTGATAATTTTTTAATTGGATTAAAATAAGGATCATGAATCGATATTTCTTTTTAAATTCACAGAAATTAATTTTGTCTGTATTGTATCATTGTTTGAATATACTTTCAATAGTTCATATTTTTTTATAAATTATAGAGAGGGGTAGTTCGGTGAGTAACGCATTGTGCTTTTATGTTCTGGGTCGCGTTTAGGTTCGAGTCCGTCATTGTTAGGTTATTATTTCATCTGTTTAATTATTCGTGAATCGGGAAACCCTCTATTAAGTGCGCCCAGCCTCTATTAAGTGGCTAATCTTAATTCGTTAATTAAGTGGGATGAGCCTAATCATGGTGAAAGAACCTCCTCCTTGCACAACAGTTGATCTAGAAACAGTACTTCCTTAAAAAGTACTGGTACCCAAGATCCTACTTGCGTTGTAAGTGGTACAGATTTTTGTTTGGATTGACCTGCTAATTTTTATTAATATTACAATTAAAGTTTTTTTTTCATTTTTTATATCCTAAGACTTAAAGAAAATGAAAACTAATAGTATTTTTATTAGTTTATTTTAAACGCTAACACTTAAGGCAGAAATTTCGGGATTAAGGATATTCAATAGTTTCCGTATAAATTGCATAACCGGTATTATCTAGTCAGGATCGGATATTAGTATTAATACGTTTATATTGATATTTTCATCCATTACTTGATCCTTTAGAAATATTACTGTAATAAAAACAAATTATAATTTTCTTTGTTCTTTCTGTTTAAAACTTGTTGACATATTGTATATATGATATGTATAAATGGCAAATTTGATATATGTATATTCATATATATATATATATATATATATATTATTTACTATAATTTCAATTGAACTCGAATTAAAAATGTAATCAATGCTTCATTAATAAATGTTTTTTACATTTTTATAAATTTAATTATTAAAATACCCACCTATTAAAACTTTAAACTTTCCAATCAAAATTATTATGACTCCTAAGGAAAGCACCTTGTTAAAACTCTAAGTACTGACCTCTGCCTTCCAACAGTTGAACAGCATATGATCCTTTCAGCTGACAGAATGACTAACTCCAAATTCAAAATTTTTTTGTAATGTCATTTTAGTGATATTTCTAGTTGGAAAATTTATAATATCTGAATAGACTTTGAATAAGTTGATTCCAGAGTAGATGATTGCAGTGTTGAAATATCACTAAAATTAATAATCAGAAATGTTGATATTGGAGTTAGTCATTCTGTCAACTGAAAGGCTCATATAATGACTCATTACTAACAACAATTTTATACAAATTAATAAGAGACATGGCAACAGTTGACATACTTCTGATATGAAGAGGAGACTAAAATTGCATGCATTGGATGAAAGATATCCTTTGTTAAACAACCTAAGTAATTGAAACAAGTCAGGAAAGGGGTGATGCTGAGTACTGTCCCTAGCCATTCCTGACATGTCATTATTATTTGTCGTATTTCAGTATGTTTGCTGATTGTAACACAAGTTGATATGTGCAAATAAATATTTAAAGCCAAAAAAAAAAAAAATATATATATATATATATATATATATATATATATATAATTCCATCAATCATTATATTTGTCTTTTATTCAAACCTGTTGTTAAAACTAAGAACGCTGTTTTTTTTTTGTTTTTTTAGTTCAAAATTTCAAGTTAATAAAACGTTATTATAATCAAATTTTTTTATCTTAAACTAAGAAATATTCAGATCTTAAGCGATGAGTTTTAAGTTAATACCAAAATGTTGATATCGAAAGATCTAAATGTTTCATTTTTTTATTATGAATTCGTGATCAAAGTAACAATCTCGTATTAACTTTTTTTTTTGTGATACTGCTACTTGTACACTAGCTCAAACAGGTGGTTGTTAATTAAATACTATTAATGCAGCAGTGTTCCACTTCAAGGTTGTTTCTTTTTGTGTCATGTGCTATCAATGAGTGTGTAAAATCTGTCTGGTCTGCCTGTCAGTGGAAGTTGTGTTTGTAATGTTGTTCCTGCCTTAATGGATTAGAAAACATTTTGTGAAAGTGCTCATTATCATCATCACCTGAGGGCAATTTTACTTGTGATTATTACTTTTTTTTTTTAATTCCTCATTATAATAAAATATTAATTAATTTTTATTTGTATCCGACAAGAACTAGTTTGTTTAAAATCCTCTTTACTACAAATAATAACCTGTCAAAATAATTCATAAATCTCCAGTATCTACTTAACCAGTTTGTGTATTATAATCACTATGAAGTACTCTTCTCAAAATATGGACGAATAAAATATCCTAGGTATTAAGACAAAATTTATTGTTTTTTCTGATCAATATTTAGTACGTCTACAGTTCATTTTTTTATATTTTGGGCACTATTTAAAAAAAATTACATCAAAGTTATAGTCTATGATGTATACTAATTTTGATGATTTATATCATTTTCTTCGAGTATTGAACATAAAATAATTTCATTGATAGGGCACGACATTACCTAATTCAGTTTTTTGAGACAATACATGAAAATTTGTGTAAGCTAATTTATTTATTTTTTGTCATACTATTGGAATGAAGTTTTCACCAAAAATATCTCCCAAGCTGTTATACATCTATTATTATACTATTGTATATTATTGACTGATCGATTAATTACAAATCGTTTATCATCAGTTCTGGTCCCTATTATCTATATATTGTATCCTAAAGTCTGGTAAGATGTAAGCACTGGGTCCCTTGAGGTTTACTTTGCATTTAATTATATTAAGAATTTAGATTTCATTAATAAACAAAATGGGCATATATTAAGATGTTAGGGATTATCAATTACTGACTATCCTACACATTTGTAATTCATTTTACCAGTATTGTAGCAACTAATTCAGTAAGGCTTGTTTCTTTAATGGGATGTTTAGCCTTGTTTTTTATATACTCTAGGTCATGCATTCAGTATTATAAAATGTTTCTTAAATGTCTTCCTTTATTATTTAATTAATCTCCCCTTATTTGGTTGAATTTTATTTACAGTTAGGCAGATACTCATAATTTTGCTGTAACAGTTAGTTGTATAAAAAAAGGAATCATTAGATTTACTGGGATGATATCCTTAGATGATTGTTATGCTATACAAAATAGATCTTGTTAGTTAAAGAAAGAAAATTCTATATTAATTATATATAATAAGATAGGATAAATAATAATTGATTAAGAAAAATTTTCATTTGAAAAAATCACTTACTTTTTTTTTTATAAGATGTGTTTACAAATACCTTACTTCTCTATTTATTAATTTTGTTTACTGATCTAATTTTATGCATATTGACTGACACAGCTATTTAAAATATCCAATATGCAAAATGATGAAAAAACTTATCAATTTATTAAAGTTATCACAGCATCAATCATGAGTTGCAGATGATTGGAAATAATTAAAATAAACCCCATTTTACTTTATCTATTATGTTTTTACTACTTACAAATAGGCTGGTTTCCAACTTCGTTGTTTTTAAATGTTATTGGAAACTGTTGTGATGCCCTCAGGTGTGTTTTTATGTTCAGAGAATTCGTTCTTTTTGCAGTGTCTGTAAATGTACGTACGCTTTTGGGGGAGGAAAAAATAGGTATTTTATATTAATTTTCCGATTACATTAATTCCAGGAAGTGGTTAAAAATGGAGGAACTAAAAATTTTACTAAAGGTAAAAAGATTGTAAATGGTGGTGCTATCGTAAATGGTGGTGCCGTGCAGATAAGGAATAGGAAAAGAATGAAAAAAAGAAATAAGGTAATAGAATTGATTCGGTTCTGGATAACAATTATAATATATCTCAGCCTCATTTTTTCTTTTCTACAGAATAATCTGATGTTTGAATTCTTACTGAAACCTTTGTTGGATTTTAAAACTAATATATTAGTCATCATGCTTCCTTTATGATCCTCCTATATGACATATTAAGTTCCTCCTCAGTTATTTTCAAGGGCTCTCACTTCATTGTTTCATTGAAATGAACAAAAACTGTATTTCATTCAATCTTTATTTTAAAGCAACCAAATTGTAACATTTCCTATGTTTTGTTATCTATTTCTGTGAAATTTTTAAATGTCCAGTGGTTAAATATCTAGTGCAAATATATGTATTTGTATAGGAAAATTTAACTGGTTTGTTCTTCTTTACTAAATACATACATAAGATTTTATTTATACAAAACTTCATGTAATAAATTTATTTTATTTTTGTAAGTTATGAGTAAGTAGTAGATGTATTCTAGTATTATATTAAATAAATAAAAGCCGAAATATATCTTCAAGATTAAATTGCACTGATAGGTATATCAGTAGACAATATGGCTGTTGTTATCCAGAGTTAGTTAATTTGTCCTTATTGTTTTACCCTAAACTTGATTCTTCTGATAATTAGTTATTAGTTAAGCCTTTTTATTAAAATTTTATTCCTGATTGCTGTAAATATTAATTTATTTACTTATTGAACAATATTTTTAACATTAGTGGATGACACATTTCTTATCATACTTAGCTTTATATTGTATTATCAGTTAAGGAAAATAATTGACACATCAGTCTAGCTTGATAAATCTTATGTGTTATGAAATGTAATCTTTATAATTTGTTGAGAGATTTTGATAACAATGTGGCATTGAATCATTACCCGTTTTTGATTTGTAGAGTAAATTTCTCCTTAAAATGACAAACTATGTCTAAACTTTGCTGAAGTGTTTGTTTATCAATATTTTTAGAATCATGTCAGTTAATTATTAATAAACATTTTCATTAGACAATGAAAAATATATTCAAGCTTTTTGGCATACAACATTTTTTGAAGAAAGTCTAAATTCATTTAGCCATATAATGCCCAGAAATGTATAAATTTATCCTAGGTGAGAAATCATATTCAGTTTTAAATCCATGTTTAATTTGTGAATGTTAACTTATGTTGACTACTTATAGGTATCATTGAATCTTAAGTTGTTCTGTTTCATTAATTTAGATGTGCACTGTAAAAGATTTCCTTTGTTGAAAATTGACTTGTTTCTTTAGCCAAAACTTCGCTTACACACTACACATATTTATAAAACTCTAATTTCAGAGACGAATACGGGGTTTATAATCTATCCTTGTTCTAGTTTAGATTGTTTATGGTCCTTTTAAATAAATAAATATTAGTGAAAAATCTGAGTGATAACAAAATGAAATGGTATGTTTTCAGTTTTATATTATTTTATTGTCCCTAAATATTCCTGTATAAACATATACAGATTATTTTATATCAGCATTGTTGTCATAACATTCCTCAGCAATGACCTGAAGAGATATTTTTGAGTTGTTCCTTTGTAATATCTATAATAACAATAATAACTGAATGGTTTCATAACAAAGACGAGCATCTGTCATTTTCAGAAAATGGGGGGGAAAAAAATGTTAAAGTTTAATCATGGAAAAAAATCCTTAGAATTGGAGTTAAATTGAAGCTATGTTACAGAAAATTGTCTTTTTTCTGAACTTTTTAAAAATGACAGATGTCCGTCTTTCATAGGAAGCCACTCAATTGTTGATTTAAATAGCATTTTCTGATTGTAACCTGTTTAAAATCTAACCAATATTATTATTCCGAAGAACTATCATTATTGTTGAAAATATAAAAAAGTGTGTATTTTGGCTTTGAATAAGATATTGTACTTTTTTGTTAGAACTGCTCTACACCTTATAGCTATCATTTCGGTCTTATATTTTTAGCTATCAACCAGTTATTCAATTTTAATAAAATTTACTTGGGATTTACACAAAACGGTTCAGCCCCTTTTTCTCTATTATTCTCTATTATTCATCCGATTTTCTTCCTTCTTTTTTTGTTTAATAGATATTGACGAGCTTTAGTGTTAACAATAAATAAAAATATGAAATAGTTTGTAAATAAATATATAAATGGTAGTTTGTTCAAAACAGCTAATCTCCGCAAGTTCTTCACCAATTTCTTTGAAATTTTGACAAAAGTGTTTTTGAATACGTTCCATTATCATCAGAACTTTTCTTTCGAAATGGCAGCCAAAAAATGTGATTCGCCTTAGACTTTAGCGCCAATAGGGCTTTAACGGTTTTAATGAAACTTGACTAGTCTTCCCCTTGAAATATTTATAATTTATGTATATAACATACTTTCTCTGAAAACAAACTGCATAAATTTTTATGATGAATTCAGTATTTTATTTGCGAATAACTCAAATAGTACACTTTTTTTTTAGTGAGAATACCAATATTTATTTGAAAAAAGCTTCCTAAATTCCCTACAACATAAAAAAAATCCTCGAAATCGGACTATTTGTTGCAGTAAAAGTTGCAGAGATACATCATTTTAAACATTAGTATCTTTTCTTTTGCAAAATAAATTTCCTTTATTTTGGTTTTTGATGTATCAAAAACTTTACATTTAATGAAGTGATCAGGACTATTATTTGAAGAGATGATATCATTGAATGTTACCTCATAAATTAAATTTAAAAATAAATTCTGTAGTTATACTCACTCTTAACTTAAATACTACACAAACATTAGTTAATGGAACACGAATGAGAATGAAGTACTGACGGGAGCTACTTTAAATAGCTATTGTGTATTATTGCAATGTCCAGTAATTTCGCATGGACAATTATATGTGGTAGCAAGTAGAGCACTTTCATTTAAAATTTTGAAGTTTATATTTCCAATGGCAATGGGCAAGGCTATCTACTAAACAATAACAGAACATTAAAAAAGAACATTGTTTACAGAGAAGTTCTGCATAAAAATGGAATTAAACTCAGTTGAAATTGCTAATTTAAATTTATTTTTACCTTGCTTAATAACATTAATTTATTTTAAATAATAACATTAATTTATTGTGATAATAATAAACATAAATTAAAATGAAAATTAAATATTTTGAATGAGTCTATTTTGTATTACTTACAAATAATTTTAAGTAGTTTAAGCTCGATTTTTAATTGAAATTGAAATTTTGTTTATATTAATAAAGGAGGATTTTTTAATCATGATTTACTCTTTATTTTTTTTATTTATTTTTTATTTAATTGTTTTCATCAAATTTTTAATGGCTATGGTCGAATTTCGACCACTATGCGAACACAAGTAAATTTAATTAGCTGTCCCTATATTTTTATAATCATTATTTGTATTAATTATTTATTTATAGGTTTTACCTCTGATTTTATGTGTAAGAATAACATATTCAAGTTATAACATGCTTAAAATTTACTTTTAGAAATTGTTACATCATTTTATTATATTTTCTAACATTTATATCAAATATAAGACCTATTTATTATGTTTTATCTGCATTTGCAGGGAAGCGAAGACGACTCGATGTGGATGACAACAGGAGAAGCCTGTGCCCTAGGGGCAGAGGAGGTAGCCGCCCGTTTAAGGGTGGATCTGAGGACTGGTCTCTGGGGGCGGGAACCAGAACTCAGGCGCCAACTCGCTGGCTTCAATGAGTTCTCCTTCAAGGAAGAAGACCCCCTTTGGAAGAAATATCTAGAACAGGTAATAACGCTTCATATTTTTTTTTTTTTTTTTAATTATTATGGAATTTACTCTTAAGTATAATAATTAAAAGAACTGTTAGTTTAATTTTATTTTTTAGTGGTATTTATTTTATTTAATATTTTTATGAGAATTATTGAAATTCTAAGCTGTAGGTCACAAATCCCTCTTATGTGTCAATAAAAGTGTCTATGCTATTAAATTGGATTTTGATGAATAACAAAAGGGAATTTGATGGAGAAGTGACAAATCATAATTTCAAAACTTAGAACCTTACTACAATTACAATAAAAGACATGGAAAAAATTTGGAGAAGTCAAAACAGATTGTTTAAAAAATGAATGGTTGGAGACTAAATAAAAAGAATAAATTGTCTTTTAAATATTTTGACACGGATATCATGACGAAGTATAGCTCCTTAAAAATATTTTAAAGCTGTAAAATATAGACACAATCTTATACCAGTGATAGTGAATCTCAATTCCATAGTTGTCATGGATTCCTAATAACATAAAAATTAAAATATAGACTATACATTTTTTTTTTTTAAGTTTTTTTTTTTTCGTTGTTCCATATCTTCATTAATTCTCCATTAAATCCAACGATCAGATCATCAGATCCAAGTTGAGAAGAAATAAAAACCTTATTTTTTTAACTCAAAAATTATGCAATTTATGGTGGATTACACCATTCATTATTAAAAATGTTACTAAATTCCCAACAACAACAAAATCATTAAAATGGGACTATTTTTAGCAAAAATGCAACCTATGGAAATTTTTACATTTTTGCTTTGTTAAAAGATATTCTTTGTTCTTTCAAATATTTATTTATTTATATATGACGCTAAAGTTCTGTGGTTTGCAGAGACTGATGGACAGTTATGGGCTTTTCATTGTCTGCCATCGATATAACTAAAAAGTTTATTAGAATAAACAAATTAAAAAAAATATTCTAAAACAAAAAAGAATTTTCATAGAACCAGAGAAAAAAAGAAAAATTTCATCCTCAATAATTTAAAACAATTCTTTACATCTCGGATTTTTTTTTTTTCTTTTCTGTATTGTATTAATAGTTTGTTATTTATTACAAACTTTATATCTGAACTTAAATGAAGTTCAATTTTCGTTTGGTGTTTCAAACTATTTTTCTATTATTTGTACTTTTTGGAAATTATTGAAAGGTCATTTTCTGGGTTTGTATTCTATGTATATCTTATCAGTTTCCCATCTCCCAGCATAGAAGCCAGTTATTCTCATGGTTTTGTATTTACGTATTTATTTGTACTGCATTTAAACTAGATGGCTTTAGGTTGATTTTTCATTGATAAAATCTCATTCAGAGTAGCATTATCTAGATAAAAACATTCACACAGTTGTCTTAAGGAGGAAGTTATATTAAGACAATTATCTCTTTCCTTTTTATTGGAGACCTTCGGTCTGATTTTATCTTAATTGTTGATCATTTGTATTTCCGTACATTGTATGTTTTAGCTCCGCTGTTTTTTTCATTTTTTGTGCTATATGTATTCTACTAAAGTTGATTCTATATCATAATTTTCATTTACATAAAAGCTGTTAAAACTAGTTTATTTTTGTGACTCATTTACTTTTGGCTGTCTGTTTCTATGGTTTAATGGTTAGCACCTTTGAGTACCAACGCTGTGGACATGTGTTCGATTTCTGCCAAAATTGAGGTCTTTTTTCAGTATTAGATCATAGATATGGTCCACACCCATAGACTCCCCATTAGAACTTTTTTTCTTGTACTCAACAGTTCACTTGTTATACTTGTTTGATCTTGAAACTATAAGTAATGTAAATATTGACTAGTTTAGTGGTGAATTTCTAACTATGTTTAATAGACCATTTAGTTTTGATTTTATATTTATGATATAGTGTCCGGAATATTTTTTATTTACATTTCTTTAAGTTTAAGATTAAGTTTGTTTTCATAGAGGCTTTACATAGTTCCATAAACTATAAATAAAAAATAATAATTTTCAATCCATTCGAATAAGTTCTTCTCATTTCAGAAAATTTTCTTTTCGCTTCTCCTATCTCTCATCATTTCATTATTAATTTATTAATTGCAATTTATTTGTAGCCGTGGTTTAAAATCGAATTGAAGACTCCAATTACAAATATTTAAATTGGCTAGCTTTCCTTGTGTGTTCTTTATCTGTGAGAACATTTATTGTTTCTGAATATTTTTTAATCCGGAAACTGAAATATCTATGTACTAAATGCTCGGTTTTTTAAATTGGAATATTAATAAAATTAAATTAAACAGTATTTATATTTTTTTAATCTATTATTATAATTAATTAGATATGTAATTTTATTTAAATGTCGTGGGAAAGAGTGTGTTTATTACATTAATGGTACTGGTGGAGGGGCTAGTGGAATTTTTCGCCAACCCCTGATGCTTCCTTGTGGTAGTCGCTACGTACTAACATGAGTGGACATGTCAAGATTCATTTCTCAGAATTCCGGAGAAATTAATGTTGGCTGGTTCAGGTGGAAATCTAACCTCCTGTTTCCTATGTTCATGGTTTTCACGTCTCCACATAACTCATTAATTTCAATAATAAAAGATCCATTAAGCTTTAAACTGTGTACCTAATACCAAATCAACTGAAATCTAAACAGTATGACTAATTTGTTCCATGAATGAGATTCTCATATTTGTTTGTAATAATTGTTGTATTTATTATTTATAATTACACGTAATGTCACTAATGAGTAAAAAATAATAAGTTATTAATTAAAACTGAAGTTTTATAAGTAGTTAGGATATTTTTAAGTATATTGACATTTTATTTTTATTTTTCAGTTCCAAAATCCTCTGATATTATTGCTTCTTGGGTCAGCTTTAGTTAGTATTTGTATGAAGCAATTTGATGATGCAGTCAGCATCACTGTAGTAAGTAAATTTATAAAATGATATTAATTTAATATATTTTAAATCAATATGAAGAAACTATTTTACATTTTCTATTAAAGTGAGATATTTATATTGATTTAATTAAATGAACATATAGATCTAATTTGATTTTGTCTATTTTATTCTATGTAACTATTGTTTTATTCTATAATGCATTACAAAAAAAAAAATCTTTTTATACCAATAAGTGCCTTTTTAACATTTTTTTATTTGATTATTTTCTAGGCTATTTTAATTGTCGTGACGGTAGCATTTATTCAGGAGTACAGGTCTGAACAATCTCTTCAAGAGCTTACGAAACTTGTTCCGCCAGCATGCCATTGGTATGATTTCTGTATGATTTTAAAAATTAATATTCATAATTGTTTGTAAATCAATATAATTTGATAACTAATGCTCAATATCTATAGATTATGTTTTGGTTTAGTATCATTTCTTAAGTTAATAAGTAAAATCTATACCATTTTAACTCCTGAAGGGTCTAGGTTATAAGTGTAAGAAAATATTGTTTCTTGAACAGTGGTTATCCAAAGAGTTATTAAGGTAAACATTCATACTCAACTGGAAGGTTAATCTCTCAACCCAATAAATATTTATATTCCCACTTAATAGAGACTTCTTTTTACAATCCATTTGTACAACTAGACCAATTCTAACCAGAGTGGGAAGGTGAAAATTCATCCTGTGTATCTGCTATAAAATAAAGTTCAACTCACCCAGTCCGGATTCGAACTGGTATCATTATACTCCAGAATATTAAAACGGAAACAATTCAACCCTCTCAGCCATCAAACTTCACTTCATACATCCTGGGTGTGCTCCAGAAGTATCTCCAAACTACAACAGAATAAATAAATTATCTCAATACATGAACAACCAACTAATTCAAACAAATTTCAAGAGGCTTAGATTAAAAGTTTCATTACTTTTATAAATTGGTTGTTTTTGGAATTAACTTATAATTTTTATATTGTTTTATCTCCTTACTACTCTTTTTTTGTACATTATTTTATATCTTTCCATCCCATATTTTGTTCTTTATTTGACTGTTTATTGACAATGACAACTTTTACTCAATCACTTTGTGAAATAAAATCAATCTTATTAATCAATTTTTTGTTCAAGTCAAATTAACCACATGTTTCCCAGAAGTGCAGATGTTAATAATGACAGGATAAATGTACTTAAGATTTATATATTAATACTTATTTATAAAAATAAATATAGTGTCTTAAAGTTCCACTGTCATTTTTCTATTTCCTCAATTATATGGATACCATTTAGGTCATTCTGTTAGCTATCAATCCAACATTTTTATATTAGCCTTAACTGCAAAATTATTTTTTTGGTCGAATTAAACAAGCTTATTATTTTTCAGTGTGCGAGGAGGGCAATTGGAATCGTTTTTAGCGAGAGATCTAGTTCCTGGAGATGTTGTCCACCTTAACGTCGGAGATCGAGTGCCTGCTGACATTCGGCTGTTTGAGGTATATCTTTTGATCTAGACAATTTAAACTACTTTCCACTATGTAATAGTTTGACTTAAAATTTTCCAACAAGAATATGTGATTAACAGGGTTAATCACTGACTGGTAGGAATAATGTTCATTAATATATATTAAATTATAATAATTTTAATTAACTGTTAATGTTTTGTTTTAGGCTATTGACTTGGCTATAGATGAGAGCAGCTTCACCGGTGAAACGGAGCCTGCTTCAAAAGTCACTGCTCCTATACTCAAGTCAAATGGCCATACGTCAATGAGGAACATCGCTTTCATGGGAACTCTTGTACGATGTGGAAATGGAAAAGTATGAAATTTGTGTTCCTTTTGTTGAGATATTTTCATAATTGCTGTCTATTAATTCATGAGACAGATGATAAATAGTTATTGATTCTAATGTGATCATTCAAGCAAAAGTCATTAGATCTGAAATTCGTCTTCTTCTTAATCGTTTCCTCTTCTACCACTGAGTGGTGTGAGAAGCCTTCTTGTAGAGCTGAATTTCTAACTCTCGATCCTGAGCCAACTACCACCTCCTCTTCCAGTCAATATCCCTTTTGTCAAAGGCCTCCTTGACACTGACCTCCCAGGTCTTCCTGGGCCTTCTCTGAGGTCTTCTTTCCTCAACTTTACTTTCCAATGCTATTCTGGCCATTCGATTCTCTGGCATTCAAGAGACATGTCCTATTCATCTCAAACGACTTTCATCAGTTTTGGCTGGTCTTATGTTTAGATTTTTCTGGATTATGGAGTTCCTTATGCGATTTCTCTTTGTTTTTTCTTCGACCCTGCGTAGGAATCTCATCTCCATGGCTTAAATCTGACTGTTGTGGTGAGGGTCCATGACTCGCTGGTGTAGGTTATTATCGGGAGGAAAGTATTTTTGTACACGGTCGTTTTGGTCTTCTTGCTCACTTCTCTCTTGTTCAAGAATCTTTTCTTGATGGAGTTGCACCTTCCTGCAGCCTTTACTCTTTCCTTTATTTCTCCATCAATCCATCCATGTCCATTGATGTGGGCACCCACCGAAGGTCTGAAATTGAAGAAAGAAAAACTCATTTCATGTACACAGCTCATATTTTCATCTCACAAACACTACTATATTCAACACTTTATTTGGCTGCTTTTATGGTTAAAATTAATTTATTTCATACATGTTTTGTTTTTTATTTTTTCGCTATCCAAAAATTGTTGACATATAATATTCACTAACTGTGCTTAGGGACTTGCTCAATTGTCCATGATATACTATTATACTCCCGCTAATTCGAATTTTCAATTTTCGTATGTTAACTTTGATTTCTAAATTCCATGTCCTATCTTTTGTTTAGTGAATTAATTGGTGATATAAAACTAATGTATACAATTTTTAATTGAAAAAACTTGAAAATTTTGTTTTAACATACTTCTTTAAAAAAAAAAAAAACACTTGTTAGAAGAATTTAACAAAATAAATATGCCTTACTTTTTATCAAATGAAACTTGGAGCTGAGGAACTACCTAGATGTTCTGATAAGAAAATTTTGGACTCCATTTTCTAATATTTTTATCACTCATTTTGTAACTGAGTTTCCTTGTATGTATAAATGCTGTTTTAACTACTTCATATTTTAACTACTGCTGTTTTAACTAAATCATTTAAATAGTATACACAACTCAGTACTCTTATAAATTTCAAATTCATTTCTATTTTCCACAGGGGATAGTTGTGAACACTGGTGAAAAAAGTGAATTTGGTGAAGTTTTCAAGATGATGCAAGCTGAAGAAGCCCCAAAGACACCTCTTCAAAAGAGCATGGACATCCTCGGTACCCAGTTGTCATTCTATTCCTTTTGCATCATTTTCCTAATTATGGCCCTTGGATGGCTCCAAGGACGACCAATTTTGGAAATGTTCAACATCGGTGTCAGGTATTATTGCCTTCACATAGGACTAATAGTTAGCAGTAATAATGAATTAGTGATGATTATATTTCATTAATTGTTAATGAATAAAAAGTATAATTTTTCAGAAAAGCAAATTATTATATTATATATTATTATAAAAGTTGTTGCGAACGTTTTGGAATAAGGCATGGTGTGAGAATGAAAATAATTGCATGACAAATGTAATTTTTTTTTTTTAAATTGTGTAACATCATGTATTGTTAATTGTTAAAATTATTATTGATTGAAATGGGTTATATTATAGAAATGAATATTGTGCAGGAAACTTCTCTAGGAATAAAGTTAGTTAGTTATTAAAATAAAAATAGAGACTGTCATTGGTATACAAATATCCTGATCTACTAAAAAAGTCAAATATTATAATCTATGTAATTTACTTTTTCTAGTTTGAACAAAAAATCCTCTTATGCATAAATGCTGTTCTGTCATTTTTATTTACACATTCGAGAGCATATACATCTCAAACTGAAAAAAAATCAAACTACTTCAGGTAGAAAATATATAATGGCATATTCAATAATCTACGGGTATCAACTAATACTGAAGACTATGGGATTATGAAAATTTACAAGTTCCTTTTTTAGAATATCATAAAAAATATGTTATCTTAGGGTAGAGAAGAATATTTTACCATAGTTATTATTTTAATTTTATATATAATTTTTTTCAGTTTGGCTGTAGCTGCAATACCCGAAGGATTACCAATTGTTGTGACAGTGACATTAGCTCTTGGCGTTATGAGAATGGCCAAGAGAAACGCTATTGTTAAAAAACTTCCTACTGTTGAAACATTAGGTTAGTAATTTTTATATTGGTTTATCCTTACTATACTCGACACACAACAATTTAACAGGCTAAGTTATTCACTGCCAAGGTTAAAACTCTTATTACTAAAATGATACTCATTATTACTTTAGTTATATTTACTTCACAATTTACAGATAACTGATATAGATTACCTATGGGACAGCTATAGTTCACCCACAAGAATATGAGAAACTTAAAATTGAAACACACACATCCTCTTACTAAATTTTTCAAAAATAAATTTATGGATTCCCATTTCTAGAAAAATGAAAAGAAACATTTCAGGGGAAAGAATTTCTTTCTCTTCTAATTTCACTGACCTCATTTCTCTGTTGCAATATTCTTGTGGATAAGCTATGGATTATAACCGTAGTACTGATATAATTTAAATATGTTATTAATATTCAGTAACATATAAAAATTAAGAGATCGATATATTACATCAGGTGCAGAGAAAGGAGACCAAATATGAAACTGTTCTTTATTTAGTTCAAGCTTCTTAAACTGTTAGAGATAAGTTCTTATATCTTAAGTACTAAATATTTCATTGTTGCTAATTTAGTTAATTTTCAATTTGAATTAATTATTATTAAATTAGTTTATAAAATTTAGCTTCAAAACCCTTTTTTGGTATATCCATCTTTCATGAATGTCATGGGAGGAAGTATTTCAAATACACCCAATTTCTTTGTCACCCTGTACATAACATTACATACGAACCTTGTCTTATTATTTAGACCCTATTAACTTTTACTATCCCCTTAAGCCTTCTCACTGGTAAAAATGATGGTGGACCCTAGACGTTTTATTAATGTGTATATTAGAGTTCCTTGGATCTCTTGGAATTCTCCTTTTCCTTCCACAAGTGGGGGATACCTTGTTCAGATTTTCTCTGGTTGATTGTAAATAAGCATGCCAGTGTTTAAAATGTTTATTTTACTTTAATTTTTAATTTATTTTCTGTAAATATGGTGTGAATGAATTATTTTCTCCTTTGATTTAGATCGTATGTAATATTACTCAATAAAAACAGATTATTTTTTATAATTGTGGGTAAATGGTTGACTGTCATGAATAATGAAGAGAAGAATAGTTGGGGTGATCAGTCAAATATGAAGGCAAAAATGAATGATATTGTCCATATTGTTCGTTGGCAAATGTCAAAATAAATATTATCATTTATTTTTTTGCCTTCTTTGACTGATCATCCCAACTATTCTTTTCTTCATTAGATTATTTTTTATTTATTTTATTTTTCATAGCCCCTTTTTATATATCTTCGTCTTCAATCCTTGGACTTTTTGTTCTCTTAATAATCCTTTTACTGCTAAAAAACATTGTAAAGTGTATTTTTCTTCTTTTTATTGTTTCTGAATATTTTTTCTAAATCTGAAATATAATCGGTGATGGGGCTCATCGCAGGCTTGAGTTGACCTTATACTGTAGAACTTACAACTAAATTTAAAAACTTATCTTATGTAAGTTGTTGCCTACATTTTGGAATGTTGGTTAGTAATAAGCTGTTAAAATAGGGTTTGCCAATTGTTGAGACTTTTCAAAAAATTATTTTTTTGATTTAGTGATAAATTCTTTTACTGTAGAACTTTAGCACTGCTTGTATATCCAATGTTTCATTCTCTGCATCGTGGTTCCTCTTACTATTTTCCTGATTATTCCATTTTGGAATTATTATAACCTTTTTCCAGTTGCTTTGCTGACATGATCGAATGTCTGTCAAAGTGAATACCGAGATATGTTAATCAGTCGATAATTTAATACTTTTGTTGTTAATTTGGAATTCATTTGACATTTTCTTTTTTTCTGTTGATATGAAAATATAATTCCTTTCGTCTTTTCAAGATTAACATCTATGTTTAGGATTTTTAGCTGTTCTGCAATTTTTTCACAATCTGCTTCCACCCGCTGCATTGCTTTTTTGGCATTCATACTGATACTTCAGACATCTATGTCATCAGCAAATGCTGTCACAGAAGTATTTTGGTGTTTAATTCCCACTATTTCCGCAGTGCATAATAGGAAAATAACGTGGTAATCCTTGGAGTACCACACAAGTGAGATCAACTGTGTTTGATTTCTCATTTCCTACCTTTTCTGATAAGATACAATGGCTTAGAAACGATTTTAACAATGAGTATAATTGTTCAGAACAATCTAGATTGATAAGCCGTTGACAGAGCTGATTATGGCACACCGAATCAAATGCCTTCGAGCAGTCCATCGAGATTAAAACAGTGGCCTTATTTCGATTCAAGTTTTTTCTTACCTTCGTCTGTAGTTTTACTAGAGTATGTTCAGTGCACATTTGAGCTTGAAAATCACTTTGCTCTGGTGGGATAAAATCATTTTGTGTGCAAAACCTTAAATAGTTCAAAATTATTTTTTCCAATGTTTTGGCAACAAGTTTGTGAGGTAACAAACTTACTGGCCGTCTGGGTTATTACCATTTTTTGCTAGTTTTAGCAGTGGAAATAATACAGCGTGTTTCCATGAATCCGGAAAGTAGCGAAGCTGTAAACAACAGTTGTAAAGGTTCACCAGGTACATTATACCTATCCTTGGTAACTGTTTGAGTAATGTACTCTGAATTCCATCAACATCTGGTGCACAGTTTCTTTTAGTCCTGTGTTTTTAATTGTTTAAAAAAGAAACAAACTATTATTAAACAGAATATTATCTCTGTATAATTATTAAGAATAAATATAAACATATATAATTAATGAGACTAAAGATATTTAATTTATTTTAATTATTAGTTAGCATTCCTTCATAAATATTATTTTAATTTGTTTTCAGGCTGTGTTAGTGTTATTTGTTCAGACAAAACTGGTACAATTACTAAAAATGAAATGACTGTTACTGTGATAGTTACATCCGATGGGTATCTTGCAGAGGTATTGATTTATCTTTCTTCCTTTATTTATTTTTTTCTTAGTTATTATTGGGATTGATTAATCAAATATTCTATTTTCAGGTGTCTGGAGCAGGTTATAATGATAATGGAGAAATTCACATTCATAAATGTGAGAACTTGGATACTGCAAAAGAATCAATTCACAGGCTTCTAGAGGTAATTATGAAAACATCATTATTGAATTATAGTTTTAAATTTTTAAGCTAAAATTTTAGTTAACCTTCTGCAAGTATTAAAAATATAGTCAATGACACAAATCCCTTTTTATCAAATTATTAACATCTGCCTGAAACTTCCTAAATAGCTTCATCTCGTCGTTACCAACAACTATTTTATTAACGAGAATTCTCAGAATTGCGGCGTTTTCAATTTGGAGGTCGTCAAACTTTGTCTATTTAATTAGGTACTAAAAACTCATAAATACCCATTTGCTTTCCACTTGGATCGTAAGTTAATTTGATCACAAAATAAAAAATAAAAAAGGTGGCCAACAAAATTATTGGGCCGTTAGACCTATATAACATTGTTATTTTGACAATTTGGGGCTTTAGGTCACTCCAAACGGCTCAATATTTTTGAACTTGAATTTCCCAATTCCGAGAATTTTCTTAAATAAAATAGGTTACGATGAGATAAAGCTATTAACAAAGTTTCAGGTAGAAGTTAATAATTTGATAAAAAGGGAAGGGGTCTGTACCACGGACTAATAGTGTAATTCAACAAACTGAATCAGGATCTTTGAAAGTTATTTACACTCTTGAATTGTTTTTATGAATTTAAAATACATTATTACAAATTTCTCAGTTTTTAAAAATTCTGGTCTATGGGTGTCAGTTGTTATTCCTTTTACTCAGTTTATTATAGGTTGAATAAAATATAAACGGAATTTTATTTTATTTTAAAAAAAGTATTTATTCAAAAATACAAGGCAGTTATAATTTATTTTTCCATATTGTTTCCCGTTTTTTAAATACATTTTTTCTGACTAGAAGGAAGGTTTTTTTATCACAGCATTATAAATGAAGCTGGTTGCAGCAGAAGCCGATTGCACACAAATCCCTTCACGCCCTCATCATTTTTAAATCATTGCCCTCCTAGAGCTTCTTAAAGCAGTCCAAAGAAATATAAATCATGAGGCTATTTGTCTGGGCAGCAAGGAGGATAATAAATTTAAGGCCAGTGCTGTAGTTCGAAGATGTTGGAGCTGTAATCTGGGACTGTGTAGGGGAATGACTAATCAAATCGGTTGGTCTTGTCTTTCGTGGCGATATGCCTCTCTCACCTCATTTAACAGCTCATAGTAGCATTAATTTTGTGTCACTCTTGCATGAATCTTTTCTTCTGTAATGGTGATGGAGGATGGCGGTCGAGTTACTCATTTTCCATACCTTCTCATCCTTCTTTGGCAATGTTAGATCTCCAAAATGTTCATTTAATCTTTAGAAAATTTCCTTCCCTGTCAGTTCTTTACGAGCAAGAATTTTTTTAATTATGTGTTGCGCAGTGGTAAGTTTCACCTGTTGCACTGACATCTTGAGTTTTACTGATGAAGTGGAATAACCTATCCAGTCCTACCAACTGTAGATACTTGGGAGCAAAAATCTCATTTACATCTTGCTATAAGCCAATGGATAACAATTATTCTTATTAAGTACCCATTAATAAATATTGGAAGCTTTCCTATACTCATTTTGATAACTCTCAAATTGGAATAACAGCAAAATAAGACAATTTCCTTTCTTGGCAAATGTTCTCATTTTCCTAAAATAAAAATTATAATTTAAGGAAAGCGCCATTGGCCATATGCATTCTTCTCTGTATGTATACATATTTTTTATCAGTTTAAATACACCATGTGAATTTTTAGCTTTTTTCCCTGAATACTAAAACTATTTATTTTTGTTCTCTTTTACTATCTTGATATACAATTTTCGCTATAGAGGTGGCTGATAAAAGCGACATTGTTTTTCTTTTTATTTAACATTAGAATGGTATTTTAACTTATGCCTACAGTTTAGCATTGGTATATATATATATATATATATATATATATATATATATATATATATATATATATATATATATATATATATGTTTTTCTAAAAAAATCTGTTGATTAGGTCGGTGTGGTCTGTAATAATGCTGTGATAAGTGGTGAAACATTGCTCGGTCAGCCTACAGAAGGAGCATTGTTGTCTGTTGCTATGAAGGTAACACAAATATTTATTACATTAATAATTCAGTTTAAACAATTACGCATTTTAAAATCATTTTTATATTTTAATTTTTTTTTCTGTTAGCATGGTATGTACGGTGTAAGTGATAAGTATGTGAGGCTCCAAGAATACCCATTCAGTTCTGAACAAAAAATGATGGCGGTAAAATGTATACCAAAATATGGTGATGTAAGGATATTTTTATATTATTTATCCTCTTATCAATATGGTAGACGATCTTCTAATTGTCTATTTTGATTTATAGTCCAAAGAAGAAATTTACTTCGTTAAAGGTGCTCTAGAAATTATTCTTCCACAGTGTACTAAATATGTTTGGAATGGGCAGTTTCATCAATTAAATTCTAAAAAGGAGCAGGATTTCCTGGCAGAGGCTCATGAAATAGGGAGGAAGGGTCTCAGAGGTTATTATAACCATTTTTATTACTAAAAAAATATATATATATATTTAAATAATAATACTTTTATATATATGCAAAAAAAAAAAAATCATGTTTAAGATAAAATATATAGATATAGATTTTCCATGTACTAATAAATAAATCATTATTTATTTAAGTATTCTTAATGTTAAAATAATTGCTTAGCAAAACTATCAAGTATAGTGTTAAAAATAAAAAAAATCTGGTGCGGGCATCACACAACTTTCACTTATCCTCTACTTTGATCAGAAATTATTTTCTCGTAAAGTTAGACTCTTGAGAAGTTTTTGAATTGTATTTTTAACAGAGCTAAACTTTCAACTTTAGAGATAACCTCTTTAAGACCATTAAAATAACACAAACTATCTTTTATATCAACAGTAGGTAATACGGTAGCAATCTGTAATTTTAAACCACACTACTCCCGTCTCTGGACTTAATATAAAAAGAGAGATTGGAAAATATATCTATGTGTATATATATATATATATATATATATATATATATATATATATATATTTATTATTTTTTTTTTTTTTTAAGTCGTAAACCATTGGGTTCATTGTCGCCTTAATCTATATAAATGATTAAGGATTGTATTACTTATTGTTAGTAAAACTTATACGAACTAAATCTGAATAATATTATACATGTTCTTGAATTTTTATTTTTTCCTAGTAAAGTTGACTAAAATGTAGTTGTGAAGTTTTCATCGCCTACCATTGATACGTCTGAATTTGTGAAACTAATTAAAAGTGGATAATGCTGTGATTTTATTAAGGGAAAATTTATAAAATTATTCACTAATTTAATTTTCTAAAATGTTACATGATGAACTTTCCGAATAAACTGACGATAGATACCTAATTATTTAAATATAATATCGGATGTAAAGTTATTAAACTAGAGTAAATGTATTTAAGGTTATAATATAAACATGTTTTACAAATTTGTGAAATAGTTTTTTTAACAACACCATTGTTTTTATTTAGTGTATTTTATATTTTTTTTTTTCAACCTTGAACATAATTTTGCAATTCGTTAGCAAATTTTATTTAATTTCCTTGAAAACATGTGGTTTCCGTTAAATAATTTTAATTTACATAAATCTTTATCTCTAATTTTTTAGTCACTCTCCATCACTTTCTACTACTTTCTGTATTAGCTACTGTTTTTTCTAAAATTGTCAGCATTCCAACAAATGTCTTCTGACTATTATTTCCGATAATTCATTTTCGACCTAAATAAATATTTTCCCTTTTTTCTCCTTTATTCAATTTTCAAATTCTTTCAAAAGTTTTATTTAACTTTTTTCTCCAGCTTCTAACAATGAGAGATAGTTACTTATTAAAAATTAACCAAATTGTTTGTTTCACAGTTGTTGGTATGGCTAGTGGTTCATCCCTTCAGGATTTAGTCTATCTTGGATTGGTCGGTATTTGTGATCCACCTCGACCATTCGTCAGAGATTCCATTCAAACACTTCTCAACTGCGGCATTAAAGTAAAGCTGGTTACTGGTGATGCACAACAAACTGCTACAGCAATCGGTTCGTATTGATGTGCTGAATATTATTTTAAATATATTTTTCTTTTAAGTTATTTATTATTATTATATTATGGTTTCTTTATTAGCACAAATGATCGGCCTGGACACAATCCATGGTCAAGCTCTATCTGGAGACCAAATCGATTCAATGACCGAATACCAATTGGATCAGGTAGTTCATAATGTCACGGTCTTTTACAGGGTCAGTCCACGGCACAAATTGGCGATTGTTAAGGTAAGTCATATGGTTTATGATATTTTTGACATATGTTAGCATTTAATAACAGTTCTGACAGCTTTTTAGAGAATAATTAATTTTTTTAAAGACATTTAGGCTGTTATAGATATTTTCTTATTAGTACATTTTACCTCATATTGATTAATCTTGTATGTTTTCAACACAGCTTTTATATTTTTTTATCGGTGTATATAATTAATTTTGTGATCTAGATATCTCAATGATACAATCGTAAAACTTTTTTACTAGCCTATTTTTACAATTGTGTTTTCAACTTGTAGGCTTCTCCTAATTAAGATAAGTAATGGTCTATCTTCTTTCGAGAGACCAGCCTTAATGAGAAGTAGGGGCCGGGATTCAATCCTATGATCTTTACTTAATTAGTATATCACGCTAACTCCTTTGCTATACCTACCCCTTGTTAAACTTTAAATATGAATAAACTTTTTTATTAATTTTTTAGGCTCTTTTCTACTTTAAGCATAACAGTGACGCTATCTTTTTCCTTTTTTTTTGCCTTTCTAAAATGGCAACGTATCAAGATATAATTTAGAATAATACCTTATCACAAAGAGGATTAAATGCTGAACATTTTTCTCGTATGGTATGCAGGTTTGATTTCTAGTTTCTGAGATATTTTAATATATTCAATCAAACTCAGTATCACTTGGTTTGCAACACCATTTTTTTTTTTTTTTTTGTTTTTGCCTCTCTAACATGGCATTGTGTTAAGATACAATTTTAATGACAGCTTATTATAAAGACAATGAAACGATGAAAATGTTTATTCTTTTAGAGTATGCAGGCCTGATTTCTCATTTGTGAGATATTTTATTCCATATGTTCCACCAAACTCATTATTGTTTGGTTTTTAACACTATTTTTCTCTTTTTGCTTCTCTAACACAGCAACGTGTTTAGATAAAACTTTAAATATTAGCTTATTAGAAAGAGGATGAAATGCTGAACATTTCCCGTGCTTACAGTATGTAGGTCCGATTTCTAGTTTCTGAGATATTTTAATACATATGTTCAACCAAACTCGTTCTCTTTTTGCCTTTCTAACATGGCGTCAGGATAAGATACAATTTTGAGTTACAGATCATTATAAAGAAGATAAAATTCGGAACATTTTACTCATTTACAGTATGCATGTCCGATTTTTAGTTTCTGAGATTTTAATTCAAATGCAAAAACACTTCGAACATTCACTGTTTTGTGCTTAAAGTAGAAAAGAGCCATTTTTTTTAACTGTATTTTTTTATATAACTGTATGTATTTTTTTACTCACCTAACTTCTTATACAAACTATGAAACCATGTGAGAAGTAAAAATCTGTTATTAAATTTGATAACATTATTTTATTTGGAAAGATGGATTTTTTTTAGTTATCTAGGAAAATTTATAGTCAGAATTTTCTGTGAAAATTATTGTTTTTAGATTAATTGGTAATTATTAAGCTACTATTTATATTAGTGACTATCTCCGACTGTTTAATATTATTTTATTCTGTTACGATTTGTTTTTATAATTCAAAATTTCACCTCATTTATTCTTAGCCTTAGCTGTTTTTTACATACTTATTTATTTAATATTTTTTAATTGTACAATTTATTTATTTATTTTATGTCTACTATTGATGCTTTCTCTTGGCTTATTTACGTACTTCTGTCTATATCTTATATTCCTGGTGTAATTTTTAATTTTTAGCCCTAATGATGATCCACATGCTTAAGTCAAAACATCAGCAACTATAATATATTAATTTAATGTTTTATTTTATAGGCTTTTCAAAGAGCTGGAGTTATAGTTGGGATGACCGGTGATGGAGTAAACGATGGAGTCGCTCTCAAGAAAGCTGATATTGGTATTGCAATGGGTAAAAATGGCACAGATGTCTGTAAAGAAGCTGCGGATATGATCCTTGTCAATGACGAGTTCAACACAATCATGTAAGATAATTAATGATAAAAGATTGTAAAAGGAAATATTGTCCTAGGTGAAATCCTTGTCATATTCATGCCTATAGGGCTCAGAAAAAATCAAATTTAATTTCTTAAAAACATTTGTCAATCAAAATAAGTGATAAAGGGATTTTATTTTTTTATCTTTCATGAATCAATGTTTAATAGCAGTCACATAAAAACTAGTAAAGTAGAACCAGGCTTATCCATTGGTCTGATGTCGTGACCAAAACATCATCAGCTAAGCTAGAGATCCAATTAATTCAGTGTATATGAGAAAAAAAAATCCCTTGTTAATGTAACTATAGGCCATATATTTATCTATAGATTGAAAAGTTAATCTTGTCATATTAATAATTTATATAGTTGAATTTATTATAACTAAAAAAAAATTTTATTTAGATAATAAATATATTGGGTAATTTAATTTAAGTGTATTAATGATCATATAGTTTTTAGTAATATTCACTGACAATTATTTTTATATTTTTTCGGAACTTAGTGCTTTCATTAATTAAAAGAAACTTCCATTTTCAAGTAATATTGAAAAACTTTAATTGTATTCACACACCTATAATATGACATTTGTTACTCTTTTAATTAAAGTTAAGTTTGCAGATCAAGCTTGTAGTTTTAGTAGTTGTAGTGTAAACTTTCTTTTTTATTTAAATTCTGAAAATAGTTTAAATTCTAAAACTAGTGAAAAAATATATTTTCTTTTTTTACTGTTGGCTAATCTGGACAGTCAGTTAAGTAAAGTTTTTTAATCAACCATATGTTATCATTTACTTGATTATTTCCAGAGCAAATAGTTTTATCTCTACTTTAGAAATAATCTGAGGTAAAAGCGTTTCATCGATCTCATGTGAAAAAAAAAAACTGTCCCAAATTTTTGAGAGAGGCCAAAAAAGTTTTAAAAAACATTTTTATAAATAGAAAATTATATAATATTAAATATAAAAATTTAATAATTTATTGCAGTGAATAAAATTTAGGCAGTAATAACAATCTTAAATAAAAATGTTTTGTGCGTATATAATTTAAATCAATCATTAAGGCAACTGTTCTTAGCAAGCATACATGCTTATCTCCTCCTGACAACACAACGAATACACACTTGTAGGAAACTGTCAAAATATAATGAAATAGACCAAAATGTGAACAAGACTATTCATGAAATCCTGAAATTATGTTTATCGTGTTTCTATGATGATCTGAGACAAATTTAGTGAGAATCAGCATAACAGATTAAATCCACTTAATACAAGCTATAAGCCATGGTCATTTGCCCATTTATTTTTTATATACATTATTATCTGTTGTGAACTATAATTTATTTTATTTCTCTTTGTTGTGTTTTTTTGTTTAATCTTTGTTGTTGTTTTTACAAACAAAATGTCAAATATTTCAGTGCTGCTATTGAAGAAGGAAAAGGAATTTACTACAACATCAGGAACTTCGTAAGGTTTCAGTTGAGTACTAGCATTGCAGCACTCTCGTTAATAGCCCTTGCTACCCTGTTTAGAATTCCTAATCCCCTCAATGCTATGCAAATTCTTTGGATTAACATAATTATGGATGGACCTCCTGCACAGAGGTATTGAACTTTATTATTATATCTTTTTTTTTTAATTTATATAGTTTCAAGTTTGGTTTATATTTATTTCGTTCCTTTAACAGTTTGGGTGTGGAGCCTGTTGATAAAGATGTCGTCAAGCGTGGGCCCAGGAATGTAAAACAGCCAATGATTACTACACATTTGATTGTTAATGTTCTGTTGTCTGCATTCATTATTATTCTTGGAACCCTTTGGGTATTCAAGAGAGAGGTGAGCTGATGTTTAATTTCCTTTACTATTTATTTTAATTGATCTGTAAATATTATTTTAATTGTTATCCTTTCAATTTTGATGTTTATTTCCAGATGAGTGACAACAAAATTACACCAAGGGATACCACAATGACATTTACATGTTTTGTTTTCTTTGACATGTTCAATGCTCTCAGCTGCAGGTCACAGGTGAGACTAATAGTTCAATAATTCGTACATTTTAGTGTAGAGTCTCTTTTACTGAATCAGTAATCTGTAATTTAGTAGCCCAGTTTTAATAACATTTATATCTTGACCATTCTATCTATATCTAGGTTAATTCAGGTTTTCTATTCCAAACCACATCTATTAGATATCTGATCAGTTATACTGATGAAATATATAATATATTACTAGAAAATTGGTTTGTTCACAAGATGAGAAGTTTTAAAACTTGACAATTATTTAGTATTCATAAGTTATACCATCATTACTGCCAATTTCTTCCACAACCTCTATCTAAGCTCTTCTCATTCTCACTTATTTGTTTTCTTAAGTTAATATTTAAAATCTTCGTCAGTATTATTATTATTTATATCTATAGCTTATTTATTATTTTAATGTAATGACTGCTTTTTTAAATATTATTTAAATTTTTTTCAGACTAAATCAGTTTTTCAAATTGGATTATTCAAAAACAAAATGTTCCTGATAGCAGTTTCATTATCTGTGGTTGGTCAATTATTGGTTATTTATTTTCCATTTTTCCAAAATATCTTCCAAACTGAAGCTTTGACTCTTCAAGGTAGGTTGATTTCTTTATATATTATAAAATGTATATAATCATCATATGTAATCATTCTATTCCCAAATAAAAGAAATTCTATAGATGCCCAAATTGGGAGCAGTCAATTAATTTAATCTTGGTCACTTAATTTCATGATGATCTTGGTTTCAAAAGAAAAAAATAATCTCAGAACTAATTTTTCTACTAAAGTTCTTGATAATGATTTTAGTATTAACATTAATGATACCCATTTGCTTTTCACTTGAATTGTAAGATAATTTGATCACAAAATAGAAAGAAAAGGTGGCCTACATCGATTTTGAGCTGTTAGACCAATACAACTTCATTATTTTGACATGTTGGGGATGGAGGTACTTTATTTATTTAAGCTCTCAAGTGAACTCTGGCAATAATATTCAGCAAGAAATTAATAGACGATTAATGGCTCCAAACAGATGCTTTTTCGGGCTGCTAAAGCATTTAGTTAGTAGATGTATCTCAAGGAACACCAAAGTGCAGCTTTATAAGATCCTCATAAGGTCTGTTCTGACCTATGCTTCTGAATTTTGGACGATCTCTCGAGCTCAAGAACTAATGCTTCTAAGATTCGAGAGGCGAACTAGAAGAATCTTTGGGTCAGTGTTCAATGATAACATTTGGCGACAAAGATCTAACTGTGGAATAGAAAGAATTTACAATAATACAAATGTCATCAGATTCATAAGGATTAAAAGGCTTCATTGGGCATGCCATGTTGCTCGACTGTAGAATCATGAGGTACCAAAGAAACCTTTGGAAGAAAGAATATATGACAAGAGGAGAATTAAAAGGCCGAGACTGTGGTGGACAAATGGAGTGTTGGAGGATGCATGGTCGATAGATCCTAAGATATTGGAAGTAAGAAACTGGAGAGCAGTGGCAGCAAACTGAGAAAACTGGCAGTTGATTTTCCAGGATGCCTTGACTCACCACTGAATTGTAGCGCTGGAAGAAGAAGAGGTTGGAGATACCACCAAACGGCCTAATATTTCTGTAGGCTCCATTCTTCTTGATTGTGTGATCTGATTCAAAAGCAAATGGGTATTAATACTTTTTTAGTACCTAATTAAATAGACAAAGTTTGCTGATTGATAGATTGAAAATGCCCCAATTCCAACAGCTTTTGTAAATAAAAAATCTGTTGCGCGCAACACACAACTTTCACTTACCGCTCTACTTTGAATAGAAATTATTTTCTGCTAATGCTGGGCTATTATAAAATTTTAAGTACATTTTAAACGGAGCTAAAGCTTAAAGCTTACAGATAACAAGTCATTAAGACCATTATAATTACAAAATGTCTTTTTAATATATTGACGGTAGGCAATAAAAATGTAGTCACTCCATCTGCTTTTATAAACCACATAATGACTAACTCCAATTTCAACATTTTTGAGTAATGTCAATTTAGTGATATTTATAGTTGAAAAAGTTATCTATGCAGACAGTGAGTAAGTTGATTCTGGTGATTATTATGATTATGATTATGAAATTGATAAGGTGATGATTGTAGTGTTGAAATATAGAACTGAGAATAAAGGTATAAATTTAGGTACTTATTTCTTATGAAAGATGTTCTGAGGTAAGATACATTATTAAATATCTGTAGAAAAAAAGTTTTTTTAGTCTCAACAATTAAAAAAGTATATTTTAAATTTATACAAATTTTCACCTCTTCAGGGGAAAAAACTAGAGACCATATCTTTCCTCCTAATTGTCCGATTTTAACGCATTTTTTTTTTGTTTTTTTAGGAAATTCCATAAACTTTTAAAAAACCATATACAATATCCACAAACAAGTGTATACTTTTTGAATTATTCAAAATTTAATTTTACCATCCCTCTTAACTTTTTTTCCAGCTTCTTTTCGTTGAAGTATGTTATATAGATAAATTTAAAGGGTGTCGACAAAATGGCTTTAGCGAAGTTTCATTGAAATCAGTACATTTGTTTAGGCGCTATAGTCTATAGCAACACAGGTTTTTCTGCATTTTTATTTTTTTCTCCTTTATTAACTTATCAAATTCTTTCAAAAGTTATATGTAGCGTTTTTTTGTAACTCTGAATAATGCGAAATGATTAACTTTTTAAAATAAACCATATTAAAGGTACTTTAGAGGAAGACATATATGAACAATGGGCATTTAAGTCCTGTAAAGTGACGTCAACGAGGATAAGAGCTAAATGATATTAAAGACCACTTAATTATACAATGATACACCGAGTTCAATCAAAATCGTTAGAGCCATTTTTGAGAAAATTGTAAAAATGTGTTTCAGCGTTCATATAAAGTGGTACTTCCGGTTAGACGATTTTAATGAAAAAGTTACTGTCACATCCGGCTCATATACAAACCTTAAATACTTAATATCAGTTTCGTACTACTTTTCGGTTATGAGCTAGATTGTTAACACAGACACACACACAGACCATTTTACGACTCAGTGGACCTCAAAACATGTATTTCTGTTGAAAACTGAGGTTCAAAAATTTTCACTATCGCAATACTTACCCTTAGTATATATATATACGTAAGTGAAAGTAAAAAGTTGTTGGTTACAATGGGATGAAGCTATTTACAGAGTTTTAATAAATATACATTTTCTATTCCAGACCTGCTGTTCCTTACCTGCCTCACTTCGACAGTATTCATTGTGTCAGAGGTGAAGAAATTCATCGAGAGGATGATTGAGGACCGCCGCACGAAGAAAGCAGGATTTGAGTTCGTATGACAGTCAAAACCCCCCAGGGCTAAATCAAGAGTAGACTAAGTATCCTAGCTCATTGTAGCTGGGATTAACCAGGCCGCAGTTATAACTTCTGTTCTTCCATCAATAGGACTATTCAAGAAATGTTCCTTTTAACTCATTAATTATTGTTTTCAACTTTTATTCGGAATCGTAATAATTATAATCATTAGTTCTTACATAATTATTTTAATGCTTTGTTAATGTTTTTAATATGTAGAGAATGTATTATATTGTTGATACCTTTGTTGTTTTTAAAATTATTTTTTTCAGAAAAGTTATATTATGAAAACTTGTTGGATTTTATTATGAAGGAAATTCTTATTAACTCGTTCGTTAAGTTTTTTCATGATTTTTATTACGATGTCTGTTGTCTCCAAACCAGTTTGAGGCATAAAGATTTTTAAAATCTATTTTACATAGACATGGGCTTGTAATTATTCCATGTCACTTTTTCTGATTATTTGGTTTATTTGCTTGGTATGAAACAGAGTTTATAACTGTGTTCCCTCCATAGCTTAACATGCTTGGAAGTATTATTAAAACGAATTCTATCCCCTTTTTGAAAAGCTTTATTATTTTTCAATCCCCCATTCCAATTATGCTGTAAAAAAGACTATGTAATGATTCATGATGGAGAAGGGGTTTGAGAAAATTAGGAATATTTATTTAATATTTTCGTATTGTTTTCCAATTGTGTACATATTAGTAATAGTGTTCGTATTATGTGTTATTTGCATTCCACTTAAATATTTTGTTTTTATTTATTTTTTAGTTTATTTTTATGTAAACTTTTTTTTTATTTATTTGTTTAAGAATAAAATTATTTTTTTTAAGTTTATAAAAAGTTGTTATTTTTATTTCCTCATGTTTTTTTTTTGTTTTTTATTTGGCTTTGAGGAGGGATTCGCCTTGAAGCTTACACTACTCATACCCTGGGAGGATTAAACTAGAGTGTTTACCTGAAAAATTTAAAAGATTAGCGACAAAAAAGTCTTTATGCAAAGATTTTCCGGACCATGACAAGAGATTTCCGAGTGTTACTCTTTGAATGTTAATTGGTTTGAATGTAATCAATAAAACATTCTTTTGAGCATAATACTTTGATAATTTCTAAAGAATTCTAGATTATTAGTTAGTAAAGTTTGAAACACACTTAATTATTTAAGTAGTCAGTCTTGTTAGACTGACTTAAGTATTCACAATGAACTAACACAAACTGTTTTGGTTTGTTCTTTTAGGATAAAATATATAGGATTGATGCCATCTTCTAGATCAAACAAACTTCGATTGTAGACACTATGAAAGCCAGCTTTCTTAACAACATTGATCTCAACTATTTGTTAGAGTTCATATTTTTAAAATCACTATTGACGGGTGAATTTTATAATAATTTCATCTAGGTTAGACCATCTCTATGGTGTAGCATTTTAACATCACTGATTGGGGAACGAAAGAGATAACTGTTGAATTCAAAGGGCCCCTAAAAAAAATTTCCGAATGGGTTTGATCTGAAACCATTCTCAGCCTCACGATAAAAAAGTTGAGGTTCAGTTTCAATTGTATAAATTTATTAAAGCTGTAGTTAACATCTAATTATAATAGGTTGATCCAAATCAATGAACAATAACTTGTGTGTCAACGTAAATCATATTCTAAATTCAATTGTAGGGTTAATTATAAAAACCATATGTGGAGTACATGTTTTTGCTCTGTATTAGGGAGGAGACAAATAAATTTTCATTTCATGGTAGGCTCAATTCTTTTAATGAAGATAGAGTTTCTTAGAATTAAAATTCTTCTCACTTTCAGTAATTTTCATCAAACTAACTTCTATAGCAGTTGAGGATACTTCATGAAGAAGAATTTATTAAATCTATCATTATATTACTCTGTAAAGATTAAAAGGAAGGAGACTATTTTAAAAGTATAAGTAAAGGTATAGGTCTCGGTAGTCTTAAATATTAAAAACTATTATTTATTCATAAATAGGACAAATTTTCGTCCTACACTTATTAATTAACAAGAGAACTTACTATTAAGATACAAATACATTGATAGAATTTTGTTATAACAGTAAAAACAAATAATTATCGAAATGAAATATAGTAATATAACATTACTTCACGAATCATACTGTCCAGTTCTTGATACCTATTCAAGGATAACAAGAACCTTCTTGGAAAGGAGAGGAGTCCCAACATTGGAATAATGTCAATAATATAATTATTAAGTGAGGTTAGAAATATTCTTACTAAATGAATATTAAAAAATGTTATTTTATTATTTTAAATAAATGATTGCCTTTAATATTTGAGGCTACTAACGCGTATATATCATTTAAAATTATTACTTCTAGTGGACTATTATGATTGTTTCTTACAAGAGGGTTTAATAAATTTTTTTTCTATGAAAAATAACTTTACCTGACTTGTGCTGAAATCGAAGCTTTAGTTACCAGTAAGACTGAACTTAATAATAGTGAAGAAAAACTAAGGTTTGGCCTTTATGCAACATATGACAGCACCAAGTAGAAAATGTTTGACTCCTCGGTTTTATATTAACTCTTCAATTGAATTGATATAAAATTATTTTACATTGCCATGATTTCTTTTGGAATATGAAGAATAAGTTAAATTTTAGATGATATTTTTGAACCATTCTTTGTTACCTTAGATGCTTTTATTAATGTTTTTTATGATAATTTATGCAGCTTAATTTATATTCCTCTAGACATAGAGAAGGCCTCCTGAAGTAATTACCAGTTTTTATCAACACACAAAAGTATAGGAGTCATAAATAAATATTTCTTCTTAATCTTGCTTTTCCTGACGGGACCTCTGCTTCTTTATTCAAGTTGCCACTTGCTCATCATTGCAATGGATATACCAAAACTGAATCCAGAGGTGCCCCAAGAATTGACCCTTTACGCCGCTAAGATGGTTTTTATTGTACCTAGAAGTGAAAATTTTCTCTTTTCAATTTTAACCTTGATTTATCTCAATTTTATTATTATTTCTTCTGGAGTGTATTGAAGTAAATTACTTATATGTTTAATAAAAATATTTTATTTCACTGGATTTCAAATGTCTATAAATCCTAGTCATCGAGCAGTTAGATGTTTAAATTAAACTTCTTCGAAATAATATAAATCAATTTATTTTCTTTGAGGTAACTGTATTAAATGTCTCTTTCATATATAAAAGCTTTCCTTGTGTAATGTCTGTTTAGGGAAATGAAGATATTTTATGTAAGGTGAAGAGACTGCAGGTTACCTTCCTAGCTTGCTTAAGCCTAAGGAACAAAATCAGTGTTAAAACTTATATCTATTTGATCTGTATTAAAATTAACTAGAATAGTGAAAGAAGTTGAGTGGTAAGTCAACTTATTATTATAATGATATAATTAATATAATTATTGTTTAATAATTTTAAGTGATGTTAAGGACATTTTGTCACTACAACTTGCATGATTTTATGAGATGTCTTTGTACATCATTATATTTGTACATACTTTAACTGATTTTGTGTTAATTGAAAGTTTTAAAATAATAAATTTTAATTCTTCATTGAGTAAATAATAGTTTATTTTAAATCACAGTGTTTTACTTCAGCAGACAATATAATATACTGCTGGATTACTTTTTATGAGTATTAAGTGCAGGATTCATTTAATACGAAAAAAATTGAACTGATCTGAAACTTTCTTTTGTAAGTTACGCAGAGCTGGAAAGTAGATAATATAAATTATTGAAAACATTTAAATTACTTATACACAATTATCCTTCCTCTGGGTTAATGAAAATCTATTTTGTATATCTAAAATGATTACTCTGGATTTAAAGTAACTAAGTATAAGTATGACAAGAACTTTTTGAATAAATTAAATAAAACACTAACAATAAAATAATGTTTAAGTTAAAAATCGGGACTGGTTGGACCCAACTTAAAAAAGAATAATCTGTAACTTAAAATTGTTTGCAATGACTTTTATTGTAGAAGTTTACATTGTAAAATCTGACCCTTTACCCAATTACACATTTTCTTGGTTCAATAATTCTTTTGATAACAATAATTTAAATTTAATTTCTAGATCTTTATAGATTAATTTAGTGCCATCTTCAGCTCAATTGACTTACAATTTGAAACTATGTAAACAAACCATATAAATTATTAAGAATATATCAGCATGGTCATTATTTAGAACAAATGTATTCGCTTCATATAATATAATACTGGATATATTTAAAATAAGATATTGTTTACTTGAGTAAACGTAAAAGTACTTGAAAAATTAATTAATTAATGAAGAAAAAAGTACTTTGAAAATTAATTAACAGTTGTTTATTTTTTTTTTAATTTATGGATTAAAGAAATCATACAGATTTTAAAGTCGCATTAAACAATTTTTGTTGGACCTGTTATTCGTGTTGAAGATGTATGATATGGGGTACATTTACTTTAGTTTGTTAATTGTATGCTTGTAATTATCTGTAGTCAAGCTTTGCTTTTTGTTGAAAGAGGTCTATTTGCAGCATATATAGTAGGATTATTAATGTAAGTATGCACTCATTATTTTAAGTGTCTTATATCTAATAATTTGAATAGAACTACTTAAATTAAACTATTATTGGGTTCCTATAATTTTCCTAAAATTAGATCGGTGTACAGGAATAATATGAAAATTTTCAAACAGAGTATGTTATACTGATTTCAATTTCTTATTAATCATTACGCATACTTTCTAAAACTTATGAAGTGATTGTTTATTATAGTTTGAAAAAAAAGGCACTTTCATAATAGATGATGGATTGAAATAATAATTATTTTTTAGGAATAATATTCTTATTTCTTGTTCAAAAATATCTGTAAATATCAACTGATTATAAAGGAACACTACTGATTGTGATTAAACAATGCTTTAAAGGGAGTTCATAATAGTTATTATGTTAAACGTTTTCTCATATAAAGCTTTCAATGAAAAGTGAAAAAAGTCCTAAAAACTATTTTGTAAATTTGTTTATGCACAAATTACATGAAGTATATGTTAGTTTAATTATTATGATTAACAGAATGGAGCCAATATAAAATGGTTTGTAAAAATTATAGAAATTGTTTTAAGCTAGCATTTTGAAGAAATGCTGCCAGTTTTTTTTTCTTAGAATAATGGCCAACTTAAAATAATTTGTCTTTTCCATTGCAGATAAAATACATAACTTATATTTATGTAAATATATAAATGTAGCTCTATATGTATCATACAATATTTGTACAAATTTATATACAAAATATTATTTCAATGATATTGAGATTTTCTAAAGTAATTTTCATTATTTCCCGAGTATTCTGTTTCTGTCTGTAGTTTATAACACAGGTTTGACAATGATAACTTACAGAATATATGTAAATATTAGCTGTGCTATCTTTGTTAGAGGTTCTTAGCAGGAATTTCGGGAAATATCTTCATGGAGTTTATGTTTAGAATTATGTCTTTATTATTTCAAGATATGGCCGGGAGCACAATGAGATGGCGAGCAGGGCAGCACTCTCCGTAACAGTGTCTGTAGCTTCTATTGTAGGAGAAGACAGTGTGAACCTTAGAGTCAGCATTGAGCCTCATGTGGCATCTGTACCACCAGTCACAACTGAAACTGGAGAACTGTCCTACTTTGATTCTTAATGTGCATCTGGCCTAAGAAACATTGAATGTTCTCTGATTACAAAAAATATAGTTTGTTTTTATCTTGAAAAAAAATAAAACAGTCTTCTGAATTCAAAAAGAGAATGTAGAAATATTTTTAAAAATAATTTAGACATGTTTTTATCTTTTTATGTAAACTTTTAATAGTTTTATTGATAGAGGTTGATTGTTTATTTGTTTGTATATAGATGGAAATTATTCATATTACTGTTTCATGATGAATAAAGAAATAATGCTTATTTTTATCGTCTATCATTAGCATTCAACAATTGTTACTCTTACAGAAGGAAGAAAAGTTAATTTAATGAGGTAATTTTTATGTTATGAATCTATCATAACCATATTTTTAAACGAATCAATGAAATTAAATTGATTAATTAATGGTTCATTGTGCAAAATTAATTTTATTTGACAATTTTTTAAGTTACTAATTGCTTAATTATTTTTAAATGTTGCATATTTTAATATTATTTGTTAAAAAGTGAATTCATGTGTTATTATAACACTGTTTTTAAAGGATCAACATAATTCAACATTTTCATGCACACTATTTTCAGCATCACTTCATTGTATCACAAGTTTTTGCATTTTATGTGAGCTTTATATTGCACTGTGATAATTAAATACATTAAGTTTTATGTGATTGGTAGAATATCTTTTTTGTTATTGTTAATATTATTTTGTTTTAAAATTTAAGGGTTTTGAAATAAGGTCCATTTCCAAATATACATTATTAAAAGTGTTGTTGATCTTCTGTAATTGTTTTTTAACAAAACAATGAATGGGATGGGCTATGCCAGTTTTTCTTTAATCTTTAAGGTCAGTTAAAACTCCTAAGGTTAATTAATAGTATATTTCTCTTCATTTTTAACGATGACTTGTGAAATTGTAACTGATTGTGAGTGGAAGTAAAAGAAATTGGCATGTCTTTACCCCCTTTGGTCAATAGCATTAATATGTTAGATTTTATTTTGTTGTTGATTTGTTTTTATTTTGATAACTCATAATGAGGATGTCATTTGGTATCTACCTCTTAGCTATTAGGGTATTTGAGGAAGGGACTGCCTTCCTCTTTTCACCTATTTGACACCAATTCTCTATAAAAATATTCATTCTCTGGTCGAAATGTGACAGTATTTCTTAAGTAATAGTAATGTTTATGAAATAATTGTCAATATTTTATTATTAACTTTAAACTGGGCTATCTTCCTGTATAAGTAATGTGTATTAGAACTTGTTTTGTTTTGATTGTTAGCATTTTTTTTTTCCAGAATGATGTAAAAATATATCCATTTTGTTTAAAAATTTGTTTGCTATTTATTTCCTTCATTTTTAGTTATTTTAAAATTTAGTTAGTTGTTTCATCTACTAGCTTATGCCTTTAATGTGTCAGATCCTTGCAAAACATCGAGTTGTTCAAAAATCATTTCCTAGGTGCACTCAGTTTGAAAAAAATTATACACTTGACATTAATCAAATTCTGACATTTGGAACTATGTGCTGACCCTAATATCTCTGAAACTATAAGCTCTTGCTCCGGGTAATTGGAAAGTATTTTGTTTTAAAATATTTTATTTAACTTTTAAACCATCTTTATAATATTAAAAAACTTCTATAGTACTTAAAAAATAATACAGAATTTATTTTTTTAATATGCTATCAAAACAATAAGTAAATTAAATTATTATTACACCAAGATCAATCATACCAATTGGTTTATTAAATTTTAGGATTATTTTCAAGTGTATAGAGGAGTTTAAATTTATTTAACTACCATTAAGTGCACTATTAAAGCAAATTGTATTTGAGTTATAAGCGATGATATCTAATTTGATATTCATCCTGATGTGGTTTTTATATTAATTATCAGTACACCATGCATGATAAAAAAAGTTATACTTATTTTCTTCTGTTTTAGAACTGGTTTACTTTTTCCTATCTCAGACCATTTTTATGTTTCATATACATAATTCCATTAAGAAGCTAATTCCTGTAAATTGTAATTCCACCATTTAGAGTCTAATATGTATTATCATTTGCATTAAGAATTTTTTCACTTTGAAACTTTGGATTATAGATTTTTTTGCTTCCCTCCTAAATCTTAATTTATGTTTAATGTCACTCTGAATAGTTGGTAATTTACTTACATGCTGCAAAAATTTTATTATATATTGTGCCAAAATCAGTTCTGTGCTGCATTTAAGGGACTTAACTGCACTAGACACTCATGAGAAAATCATTTTTTAAAAAGATCAGAAATTCAAATCAGAAAAACGACAACATTTGATTATTATAATCACCCGTATATATTTTTATCATACCTTAGAAGTATGTTTTTAAATACATTTTCTAACGAAGTTTTATATATTTCATTTTCATTACATTTTCTAATAATATAAGAAAATGTTTATACTGGATAAAACTACTGTAATGGCCTTTTTTTATTTTTTAGGAGGGGATATGATTTCATAACAATACAAACGAATATAATATAATAGCAACTTATACGATATGTGATTCCTCAGACACATTAAAAGATATTTTTACTCATATAATATTGAAGAAACTGATAAAGCACTGTCTAACATACGTTGTTTTATTCTTTGTAATAGAACCAGAAATATTGGAATTTATCAATCATAATTGATACTGATTATCAGGTATGAGCAAGACACTTCTGCAATCACATCGCATCCTACTTCCCTTCATCGTCATGATGATCTGAATGTGCATCCTTTAAGGCAATAATATCTAGATCATCCTCTTCTTCTTCTTCTTCTTCTTCCTCCTCCTCCTCCTCTTCTTCAGTTATCTTTTTCATATCCGCACCATATCTTCTAGTCTCAGGTTCCTCCATGAATGATTCTAACATTTTAGTCCAATCGACATCTTCTTTAAAATCAGTTTCTGATATTATTTTGGGGAGATCTTTTTCATCGCTTATATCTTCAGACTTCCATGACCAATCAGATTGTTCACTCCCTGATGTGCTCTCGGATTCATCAGACAGTTTTATCATTCTTCTTTTCTTTTTCTTTTTTAGGAATAATGGCTCAGGAATTCTGAAATAGTTCAACATTACCATTGCCTTTTTCTGATACAGTCTGTATGCTTTGTCAACGGAATCTCTTATCTTCAGAACAGCCTTTCTATTTCTTAGGATTTCACTTCTGGAAAAATGAAATAAAATATATGTAATAAGATTTATTGCACACATTTTTTTCATTTAGGTAGATTTTCTATACTGAAATTTCATTATTATTTATAAAACATTTTTCTTGGTTTCCTCTATCATTTGTATTGACTATCTATCATCACAGGCGCAGCCTTTCCATTTTTGGAAAGTCCTCCCCACAAAAAAAATCTTGGGGGTTTATAGTGTTCATAAAAATTATGAGTGATAATTAATATAATTATTGTAAAATGAACATGTTATTATGGAAGCCTCTGCTAATCCTGAGTCCAGCTCTGTCACACTCCTATCCATTTCCTTATTTCATTACAACTATTCTCTGTTACCATCTCTTATTTCTCCTTTAATTAATTATCAAAATTCTTTCATATTTTATATTTATCTATTTTTTATATTAGAGATCAATGTGAAATGGTTAATTGTTTCAAATAAAAAAAATTAAAGGTACTTTAGAGGAAACTATCATCAAAAATTAGCTATTTAAGCTCTGTTAGAGAACATCAATGAGAATATAACCATCATAGTATTAAAAAATGTTTAATTTTAACTTCCGGTTAGCCGATTTTGACGAAAAAGATGCTGTAACATCTCAGGTATATACAAACCTTAAATATGCAATTTCACTTTCATACGACTTTTCGTTTTTGAGCTAAACTGGTCACATACATACACACAGACACACGCACGCACACAGAACATTTTGGGGGACTTGGTTATTTGGACTCGGGCACAGGCGGGAGAGGAGCTTTCAGTCCTTATTAAATATAATTATACTTTTTTATAATACTTTTTATAATACTAATACTTTATATAATACTTTTTTTTTTTTTTTTTTTTTTTTTGTCCTCCCCTTCCTCGCCTTTAAGGCTATACGGGGGTTTTCCCGGGCCAGGGAGTGTGGGTGGGGATTTAAAAACTCCTTCGGGCACCGGGACGCGAACTCGTGACTATTTTTTTATCAAAGTCTTATGTATCAGGTTGCCTGGCAACGGCGGCTTAGTGCACAAGCGTTAGCCCATTCGGCCACCCCGCCCACTTCGAACAATAATACTTTAAGAGATAATTTTTTACCATAAACATGGTTACATTTTACCATTTTGAAGGGGGAGGGGCTTCAGCCCGAAAGCCCCTCTCCTCCCGTAGATGCGCCTGTGTAACTAAAGATTTCCAAACTTTTTGAAACGGGGGTCACATTCAGACCTTCACTAAGTCTGCGGGCCGTGGGTTGCGAAGAAAAAAAAGAAGCTTGTTCTATAAATGACACGCTGTGAAATAAGCTTCCTAATTGAAACAACCCACGCAATAAATCTTGTAGTAACCGCGTGTTTGAATGATTTACTAAATTTTATACTTTTAAAATAGCTTTTTAAATATTACCTTGCAATTTGTGCACCTTTCCAAGGCCGGATTGCAGGTGCTTATAGGCCGTACTTTGGGATCTCAACTAATAGCGACATTAGTTTTTATCTCTCTTGTTACCGACAGCAGATGGAAAACATCAAAACAATAACACAAGCATAGGAGAAAAAAAAAAACATTTAAATATTTGTGTTTCCTATATTTTGTGAAATGTGTAAATGCACCTTACACTCTTTTACTCCTTTGATTCATTTCTCCAATTGGCAATACTGACGATCACTTATTTTTACATGTTTACATATTGATTAACCTTTTTTTTCCCTCCTCCCCTCATCCCAATATTTGCTAAGTGAATTTAATTAAAATCGAACCTCTGAAGATGTCCTGTTTCATGCGTATGCCAATTCCTCAACTTGGACACTATGTAGTCTTCCTTCATGTCTATGGCGAGGGTATGTCTATCGTGGCAGGCTATGATAGCGTTGCTCAGCGCATCTTTGTCGCAAACAATCTAATAATAAAAATAAAATAAGTAATTAAATTATTAATATAACAAATTTGTAAATTATATATAAAAGTAGTCTTGATAAAAAATTAATTGATTTTGCACAAGCTAAATTAACTATAAATGACTGGAATCAGTACTTTTTTCCGTCATTATGTTACCAGAAATTAAATTTTTATTTTAAATCTCATATGTATGAAAGCATGTCTTATCAGGCATGGACTTCTGGAGACTTGGTAATACAAATTGAAGAAAACATTCACTTAAAAATAGTTATGTAGGTCCAGAAAAAGATAATACCTACATTAGTACCCATTTCAAAATTGTTTATATACCCTTTATTAATGTAATCTGTGAATATAAAAAAAAAAGAGGACACTTTATTTAATGTATTTTAATTAATATATAAAAAAATCAGGAGCTATTCGGGGATCCAAAGAGGAGGGAACCAAAATAAGAAGAAATTTAAAATTTTAATTTTTGAATTATTTCGTTTGATAGTCCCGGGAGCCCGTGGCAAAAAATGTAACATATTTTATACTAAGGTTTGCACTTATAAATTGAACACGTCATGATGAGAAAAATGCACGTCTGCCAGTATATAGCCGCTGGAATACAAAATGGCGGTCGTGCACTAGCGGATCCTGGATTTAATTTTGGGAGGGGGGGCTTCAGCCCGACAGATTTTTAAAAAATATATATAACGATAATTAATTTGAAAAAAAAAGAAAGAAATGAACTACCTATATGAAATGGTGTTTAAGTGATACTTGAAGCCCTATTAAATGTAATTAAATGAACAATAATACTTTAATAGATAGTTTTTAATATATTTTCTATAAGACATGGTTATATTCTACCGTTTTGTGAGGGGGGGGGAACTTCAGCCCGAAAGCCTCTCCCCGCCGTAAATCCGCCTGTGCTGTCGTGTGAAGATAGATAGTATATAGCTAGTAAACGTATAGGCTTTATAGATATAGAAAGCTACCAACCCTTTCAATTTTTAATATTTACAGTCTTAAGAAATGACGTAATACTCAGTTATCCCATACCCGTGGATTTCAAGTCGAAAAATTGAATTTAACCTGAAAACCTGTACCACTACAACCCATGAAGGGTCTGGGGTTCAGTACTATTCAGGGAAAGCACTGTTTCTAGGTCAACGGTTGTGCAAGGAGATGATTTGACCGAGATCACGCTCAACCGCCAGGTTTTCCCCCTTAATCAATTATTTAATTAAGGGTACCCACTTTATAGAGGCTGGGTGTGCCCCAGGAGGGACTCCTGACCCAAGGTCGCTCCACGGCCAATGAAACAGATAAATAAATTATCTGCCATGAGCCGGGGTTCGAACTCGGGACCTTTGCATTGGAAGCTCAGTGCCCTACCACTGAGCTACCCCGCTCCCTGAAAAAATTGAATTTACGATCTAAAAAGTTTACTTTTCGGCTTTTCGCTTATATCAGTGAAACTAGGCGTTATATTTATAATAATTCCATATGTGAAATTAATGCTGACAGAATTTTCAATAGAAATGATTATATTAGTTTTTTCGCTTCTATTCTATAGTTCTATCTATTCTATCCGTGATATCCTTCCTCGTAATTCACTAATCCAGAAAAAAAAAATTCATCGCATTTTTATCATTATTTGACTCGCCAACTGTATCTTTTCATTTTACGAAAAAGTCATACGGAAGAAAGTTGTTTAATATTAAATTTTCGTTACGAATATATATCACTTTGCCATATTATCTTCAACCATTTAAAGGCTAGAGCAATTATAAGTTTATGACTAAACTCCGAAACTATGTAGAAAAACTTATTTTTCGCAATTATCGATATTATACAGCTCTTAATCTGTATATAAGACAACATGCGTGTGTATACATTAGATTACACAATATACATATATATACTGGCTTATATACATATAAGCCTTATTAATGACATTTTTATAGATAGAACGAATAGAACGCAACTGATAAAAGCGAAAAACAAAAAAAAGTAAACGGTTTGAATCGTATATTCAATTTTTCGACTTTAAATCCACGGGTATGGGGTAACTGGCTATCGTTTGTTTCATGTCTTAAGACTGTAAATACTACAAATTGAAAGGAATGGTAGCTTTATATATCTATAAGTCCTCTCTATATATACGCTTACAACCTATGCAAGTTTTCTATCTTCACATGGCCGCCATTTTGTATTCCAGCGGCTATATACTGGCAGGAGAGCATTTTTCTCATCAGACCGTGGATATACCCAATTTCTAAGGACAAACCTTAGTATGAAATATTACACCTTTTTTGCCACGGGCTGCAGGACCTGAGGCCTTTGGTTTCAAAACAGGTTACGTCCATTTTTTTTTTAAAACAACTTTTTTTTATTTTTCTTATGTTTCTAATGCCAGAAATCGAGAAGACTGGAAAGCAATAAAAACCTGTCCAAGATGACAAGAATGATAGTAACATGGATGTTTGGCAAAAATATCAATATCGATGAAAATTTGTATATATGAATAATTAAATTTGTGTGTATATTGTTAATATTAATAAAGGAGATTTGTTTTAAAACAAATCTTTTTTTTTTCAACCATAAATATTTTCTGATATTGGTATTCAGGTTCATGTAACACATTTTTTTATATTAAATGGGACTTGATAAAAAGAGATCATAAAAATTTATCAAGAAGTTTTGTTTAAAGTGATTTGTAAAAAAAATAACGAAAACAAATGTGATAATTAATTTTTTTCAATAAAATCTTTTTGGATCAGTCTTGAAAATGTTTTGAAAATGGATGTAACCGGTTTTGAAACTCAATGCTTCATATTATATCATCCGTATTTTTATTCTTAACAAGACTAGATTTATTTAATAATGAAATAAATAGTTATTTTATACTTTGAAAATCCTTCTTCATAAGTGGACACTCGAAATAAAACCTCATGATCCGGGAAATAGTTTGATAATATTACTAATTCAATATATAATTTTTAAAGGGCTTACATATTGTTCATATTTAAGTGATATATAAATATATATGTATGTGTGTGTGTGTGTATGTATTTATGTGTACAGGATGTCTCAGTTCTTAATGGACAAACTCTGGGGGAGTGATTCTAGAGAAATTTTCCAACCAAACTGTTCATCTCATGCATCCGAACGGAAAAGGAATTAAGACCAATTTTGTGTGGTGACGTTTTTTATTGAATAGGAAGGGACTGCTTAAAAACTTTTCAAGATAATTAAATTATAAGTAAACCATCATAAAGTAGACAAAATTTGTTTGAGAAAACAGCGATGAAATTTACCAAGATCATTGATCAAAGAGACTGTCAAGAACATGCGGATCTACGGAGGGAGAGGGATCTTTCAAGCTGAAGCCCCTCTCCCCTCCCCCTCAAAATTGTAAAATATAACCATGTTTTATGAAAAAAATATCTCTAAAAGTATTATTGTTCGTATAATTACATTTAATAAGGACTTAAAGAATCACTTAAACGCCATTTCATGTAGATAATTAGTTTCTTTCTTTCTTCCGAAGTAATTATCCTAATATATACATATAAAAACAAAATATTTCGGGCTGAAGCTCCCTCCTCCCCTTCCTAAAATTAAATGCTCTATCCATTAGTACCGTCAGGAGATCTAAAACTGTGACTGTACTGCTACAGTTGCAATATCCACCCGAGCAGCATATCTGTGTACAGCGGATGTATTGGATTTCCTCAAAATCCCTTTTATAATCACTGTTTTAAAAAAAAAATGTTGTCTACTTTATGACTATGTACTTAAAATTTAATTATCTTGAACAGTTTTTAACAACTCCTTCTTATTTAGTTTTGTTTAGAATCCCCTTCTAGAGTTTTACCATCAAGAACTGAGACACCCCGCGCCCCAGAAAAGGTGCTTTCTTTAACTACCTCATCCTCCCTTTAATTCCGGTCCTAGGAAAAACTATAGAAAAAGAGAAAAAATGAGTTTAACAACAGTTATCACTTACGTTTCGCAGTAACATCGGAATGTTCTTTGTATCAGACCTCTGGTATACTTCAACCATATATTTATTTAATTTAACTGTCATGTCCTCTATAAAGTCCGTTTCTGAATCCCTCAGCTGTGTGAAGTAGGTTTGACATTTTTCTATGAATCCATTTATTATATCAAACAGTCCACCTTCATATAAATTGATCACAGTCTAGAATTATAAATTAATTAGTATTATCTTTGACACAAATAGATTTTTTATTCATCTATAAAAGAGTATCTTTGCCTCGTTTTTATCATATGTTTTCATTTCCACTTCCATGAGCTTGTACCATTCAGTTTCGAACTGCTCCTTCGCCGCGGCCAGAATGGCATCGAACTCTTTCAGTGTTCTATGAACTACTTGTTCATCATTCGACCTCAGGAATTGAGCGTTCGCTTTCAGAAACTTAGCCATCTCTAAAACGAGATGCTTCCACTTGCGAAGTAATTCTACCTGTTGGCTATCAACAATAATATTTTATCGTATTAGTATAAAACTCCTCTTATTTATAAAAATTAACGATAAAAACAACATGCATTTAAACATTTGATTCACTAAGCTTTTATTGTAATCGAAAATGATTTAGAAGTTCATGATAACAAGAAATAAGGAAGGCACTATATTTTCTTTTCCCGATTACCTCCTACATTTGGCATATAGGCAGGAGGGCTGTTCTAGAGGTAAAACCAAACCTGTTTTAACCAGAGTGGAAAGGCCGTGATTCATTCCGTGGGCCCGCCACGAAATAAATTTCAACCCGTTCAGAGCGGATTCGAATCGGCGTAGCTATACACGAGAGTTTACAACGTTCCCGGCAATCGGTTGTAGATTAACGTTCGAGAAGCAGAGGTCGTAGTGGGGATTTTTTTTGGGGGGAAGTCCCTAGCGATTATATTAACTGTAAGCCAATATGCTTTCACTTAATTGTATATAAAATGTACAATTCAATTCTTGAGCATACATTTAGGAAAACGTGTCGAAAATTATCTTGAGGAAGAACAGGTTGCACTTTGGCCTAAAGATATATATATATATATATATATATATATATATATATATATATATATATATATATATATATATATATATATATATATTTTTTTTTTTATTTATTTATAAAGACTCAGGACAATATTTTTTTGCTATAAAAATAATGGAGAAGTGTTGGTGTAGAGACCGGCTAGGTCTAGGTTTTCTGGACCTCAGAACAGCCTCTGACTATTCTACGATAATTTATATGAAACACTTTGAGTACGAAAAATGTGCCTGTCTCTTTGATTCAGACAGTCAAATAAACATGCTAAGTCCCAAAAGATACTGTAGGAACAAGTGATCAAAATCATTACCTATGATACGAGGACTAGTGTTGATCTTGCACTTTGTAATACCAAGACCAAGACCGCCTAACTGTTGCAAGGCCAAGACCAAGGATGGTAAAAAAAAAATCAATTTTTAAAATAAAAAGAAAGGCAAAATTGTTACTATTACTTGACAATTTTAGTTAATATATGTTAAGAATTGGTATAACCAATATACTTTTACATTTTACTATTCTGTCTAAAAAATTACAGTAATATCTCTATAATAATAAGGTAATAGGTAAATGCAAGACTATTACGCAAGACCAAGACCAAGCTGAAGAATGGGTGCGCAAGACCGAGACTCGAATTGGTCTCGCATTTGGGCAACACTAACGAGGACTGTCTAAAGCAAGAGTAACTACGGCCCATGGAAGTTTCATTGACTACATACTAAATTTTAAAAACTATTTTAAAAAATATGAAATTTAGTTCATAATGTAAAAACGGTGATATTGCATGAATTGTTTCTCATAAAAAGCTCATTTATAGAACAATTTTTTTTGTCACCACAATCCATGGCCCGCGGGACTTAGTGGAGATCACAATGTAGCCCACGCGACAAAAAGTTGGGAGAACTCTGGTCTAAAGCAAGGTGTCACTTAGTTATGGATGCGATTAGCGAGATATGAAAGAAAAGGTCGGAAATAACTTTAATAAGGAGGTGGAACTTATGAACATTATGGGATTTATTCACAGACAATATTGTTCTTGTCTCTGATAAAAAAAGGCAAAGAAGGTAACTACATCATGCACTAATTGAATAGCAAGAAGGCACGGGCGGATCTACGGGGGAGGGGGAGCTTTCGGGCTGAAGCCCCCCCAAAATGGTAAAATATAACCATGTTTTATCGAAAAAAATATTTAAAAAGTATCTCTTAAAGTATTATTGTTCGTGTGATTAATATTAAAAGGGCTTTAGGAATCACTTAAACACCATTTCATACAGGTTGTTAGTTTCTTTCTTTTTTTCTAAAGCAATTATCGTTATTTTTATGAAAAAAAAAGCTTTCGGGCTGAAGCCCCCCCCCCAAAATTAAATCCTGGATCCGCTAGTCCAAGAAGGCCTACTTATAGGAATAGAAATAAACTCCACAAAAAGTCCTGGTCACCGGTATTTAAAGAGGAAGACGTTCGCATCTTTAGAAACTAAGGTTGAAGTTGTTGATTCTCATATTTAGATTCAATAGTTAACAATATTGCCACCGTAAACAAAGAAATGTCCAGGAAAATCGAAAAGATAATCAAATATGCAACATCATAGCAGGCAAGAGAAAGGTCAATAACCAAGTAACCGAGCTCCAGATTTTTAAAGCTATTTTTCGACCCTCATCACGGGCGGATCTACGGGAGGGGCTTTCGGGCTGAAGCCCTCCCCCCCCCCCCAAAATGGTAAAATATAGCCATGTTTTATCGAAAAAAATATTAAAAAAGTATCTCTTAAAGTATTATTGTTTGTGTAATTACATTTAAAGGGGCTTTAGGAATCACTTAAACACCATTTCATACAGGTAGTTAGTTTCTTTCATCTTTTCCAAAGTAATTATCGTTATTTTTATGAAAAAAATCGCTTTCGGGCTGAAGCCCCCCTAAAATTAAATCCTGGATCCGCTAGTGACCCTCATGGTTCGGTTTGGTTCTAAGAGTGAACCATACAGTGAAATGACTGCCTTGGAAATAAAATATCTCCGTCAAGTCATACTCTACGGCATGAAAGGCACCCCTAACCAAAAGCGGTAAAAGATCCAGTGAAAGAGCTAGGATATTATACAAGAACACATTGCCAGTTTGGGCATAGTAAAAGAAACTAAAGCTTTCATTGAATTGAAGCGAGGCTCACAACCGAGACCACCATTTTTTGTGGATCAAGGCTTCTCTGCGCTGAGGAGCACGAAGAGGATGAAGCACTTAAGTTATCATAAATGAATTAAAAAATCCTTTAAAACTTTTTTTTTTCATTGACAAAATAAATTACCATAGGTACAATTGAAGCTGAAACAACGAATTCATTAAACAAAATTTCTCTGAGACCAGTTAGATATTCACAGAATTGTAATATTATCGTATTGTTGCTTTTTTACTAAAAATTACCATTTTTAATAAGTTCTTACTGAAATGATAATTGTTCGGCAGTCTTTTGGTTTCCTTCCCAGGAATTCGCAAAAATGTCTACTTCTTTTAAACGGCGTTTATAATTGTCTTCCCCCGCCTTACATATGTCCATACATATCTCGTTCACTGAGGTCCTCAACCTGTCACATAAAAATACTCAAATTAGGTATAATATATCGATGGAGAGTTATTAAATGGACACGGTAGCTGGAAAAAGGCATTGGCCTGAAAACTGACATTCTGAAAGTGACATTCAGTTTTCTAATATTTTCTTCTGAACAATGTCCCAAAACAAGAAAGAAAACTATTGAATCTTTCTAATCGAAATATTTACCAACTACATAAATTTTGATCCTGCATGGAAAATTTTGTTTGAGACAAAATGTATGTCTAGGATTCTAAAAATGATAATCTCCGGTAAAAGATACTTATGACTGGAATCACTCACCATCCAGCTACCGCCTCAATTTAACATAGTGTATTTACTTAATTTGTCATGTTGAATTACGAATGGCTATTTAGAAAAATCTAATTTGTTCAGTGTATCCAGAAATTTTCTGAGGGAGCGCACTTGTGAATCAAGCGAATTACATATGTGTATGAATGTATGTGTGTATGTATGTATGTATGTATGTATGTGTATGTATGTATGTATGTATGTATGTATGTATGTATGTATGTATGTATGTATATATGTATATATATATATATATATATATATATATATATATATATATATACACATATATACATACATACATACATACATACATGTATGTGTGTGTATATATACATATATATATATACATATATGTATGTGTATATATACATACATATATATATATATATATATATATATATATATATATATATATATATGTATATATGTGTATATATATATATATATATATATATATATATACATATATACATACATACATACATACATACATACATACATACATACATACATACATACATACATACATACATACACATATGTAATTCGCTTGATTCACAAGTGCGCTCCCTCAGAAAATTTCTGGATACATACATATATATATATATATATATATATATATATATATATATATATATATATATATATATATATATATATATGAAAATATATTTGTATTATTTTTTTTTTTGTTTCGTATAAAATGGCAGTAGAAATTCCTTTACTGGCTAATTGACGTCTATGAACATAAAACTCGAAATTTTTGCATAATTTTTCAATTAAAAATAATTTCCAAGGTATCAAAGCACTCATGGAAACACTTTCAGTATGTATGTATGTATATATGTATGCATGTATGTATGTATGTATGTATGTATGTATGTATGTATGTATGTATGTATGTATGTATGTATGTATGTATGTATGTATGTATGTATGTATGTATGTATGTATGTATGCATGTATGTATGTATATGTATGTATGTATGTATGTATGTATGTATATATACATATATATATATTATTTTTTTTGTTTCGTATAAAATGGCAGTAGAAATTCCTTTACTGGCTAATTGACGTCTATGAACATAAAACTCGAAATTTTTGCATAATTTTTCAGTTAAAAATAATTTCCAAGGTATCAAAGCACTCAAGGAAACACTTTCAGTTACAATCTTCAAATTTTTCGCCAGTAAATGAAGAATTTACAGTGCAAATAATCAGATTTAATCGTTGCAAATAAAAATTAATCGTTTAATACTATTCACTTTTTAATTAAAATAATAATAAAGTGCCGGATGTTATGTTACTTATTCAAGATAAAATATTTATCATCTCTAGGGAGGTGGACTCCTCTCCTCGCACCATTCCCCTGGATGCGATGGTGAAGTGGCTCCACCTATTTCACAAGTGTATAAAGTATCGATGGAAAAGGTGATATGCGAATGATTTTGTTCTCTTGGTAATAATAAACATTGAGAATTTAGTCTTCTTAAAACTGCTTATGGAGAGACATGTTATAGTTGATAGTGTTTCTTATCTCAGAGAGGAGCTTTTTGTATTAACCGCATTATCATGAAAATCCTGAAGTGCAGATCGTCATATTTATATTAGCATTAATTTTTCATCTTTCACTTTCAGCTTAAAAAAAAAATTAAAGTATCTATTATGAATGAAATTGAATATAGAAAGTTTTAGAAGGTAACAGAGAGTGAAAAAAAAATCATAAATAATAATTTTGAAAATTAATATTATTCAAAGTTAATCACATATTTTCAAGGAAATTAAATGAAATTTACTAACTAAATGTAAGCTTTTAAAATATTTTTAAGTTTGAAAAAGTATTTAAAATCCACCTAACCAAGGCAATGCCATTTAAAAAAACTATTTCATGGTATTCGTGTGAAAGAAGAAGTGAAATATCAAATCATTTCATGGATGTATAAAGCATATGTTTATAACCTTAAATACATTTACTGTAGTTTAATAATTCTAGATCTGATGTTATATTTAAATAATTTGGTATAGGCAATTTCGAAAAATCGTCATGTAATATTTAAAAAAATTAAATTAGAGAATAATTTGATGAATTTACTCTTTGTGAAAACCTAACATTATCATGGCTTTCTCTAAAGCCCACCTTACACGGTGAATATTATTGAGTCAATATCGAATATATTGACCATCTGAGAGATTGTTGTAACAATTATATTGACCTTTGTACTGTGTATACAACGTTCAAGAATATCGCTTCAATATTATCAATTCAATAATATTGACCGTGTAAGGAGGCCTTAATGTACCTTTAATTTGATTTATTATAAACTAGTAGGCCCGTAAAAATTCGCACAGCATATTGTTATCAAATGCCAAATTTATAAGAAAATGCAACTTATCAAAAGATTAAGACATCAAATGTTTGCTTAATAAACCACAAAGCAAACAAAAATTGATTTAAATCTTCATTTTTGTTTGGAACCAACATGTATACAAATTTCAGCAAGCTGTATATTTGCTAAAAATTGTCCGATTGCTATGATTTTTTTTTCCTTTTGTAGGGAATTTAGTAATCTTTTATATGATTATGGGCATAACCATAATAAATAATGGGAAATTGGTGGCTCAATCTTGAGATTTGGTGAAAAATTAACGATGATATGGCTTGCCGATCAAAATAATATAAACTCCCCCTCTCTCGATCATAGAGACCTCAAGTCAACGAAATGAGACATGTATTCAATGACAGTACTACAATTAATGTAAGCTTGTGTAGATGCGAACCCTATGCCTTGCGTTATCTCGAAAATAGTACGTTTTTCGGCTTAAAAACCCAGGATCCGATAATTCCGAAGGAACTATCCGGGTCTTGCTGTACGCATCAAAATCTTTAAGATCCAATTTGTCCCGTATCGATCAACAGACCTACCACCGTTCCAGTATCGAAGCCTAGCAAAATGTTTGTTCGACTTTATTTATTTTAGAAAGAAAAACAAAAGTGGAGAATACGATTCGCTAACCCCCCGTGAAATTCTGAATCCAACGGTACCCCATTCATGGTATTTGAACATGACAGGAGCTTATATTTGGTACAAAACCGATTTCGAGCCTTACTGTAATAATATATGGACGGATAATAACTATTTCTCATTGTTAGGAGTTATGAAAAAATGCTAAATATAACTTTTGAAAGAATTTGGTAATTGAATATGGGAGAAAAATACATATCCAAGCCGAAAATGAATATCCGGAAATAATAGTCAGAAGGTATAAGTATAATATAACGTTGGAAAACGGAGAATTGAAAAAAAACAAAAAAACAATACCTATTATAGAAAATTGTAGAAGGTAACCAAGATTGGCGAAAAAAAATATTAATAATAATTTCTAAAAACTAACATTATTTAACGTAAATCACGTGATTTCAAGGAAATTAAATGAAATTTTCTCACTAAATGTAAACTTTAACATTTTTTTTTTAAGTTAGAAAAAGTATTTAAAATTCATGGATTCAAGGCAATGACACTGTTTAAGATACTATTTCATTGTACTTATGAAAAGAAGAAGTGAAATATAAAAATATTTCATGGATATGTTTATAACCTTAAATATATTTACTGTATTTTGTTAGGGTTCTCGAATAACTCCAGATCTGATATTATATTTAAATAATTACGTATCTATCGTCCGTTTATTCCGAGAAACCATCAATTAACGTTTTAGAAAATTAAATTAGTGAATAATTTGATGAATTTTCCCTTTGTGATATTCCAACAGTATCCACTTCCAATTAGTGTGACAACTTTTGAACTGTCTATGACAGACAATACACATCTCTTAATTCCATATTAGTAAACTTTGCAATGGAAATAATAGTTTAATAACAAATAGTCGTACAATTCATAACCAACGGGTCGTACGATTCATAATCAACGGATTGTGCAATCCATAATCAACGGGTGATATAATAGATAGGAATTTTGTTATTTTAATGGTATTTATGATTTGTTAGCTGTAACCTTTTAGCTTTAGCTCAGTTAAAAATGCAGTTCAAAAATTGTATAATAGTCCAACATGGCCAGAAAATAAAGTGAAAGTTGTGTGTTGCGCACACCAGATTTTTTTTTGTTGAATATGAACCGTCAACTAAAAACTATTTAGTTTAAGGAGTTATCAACTGCAAAGTCGTAAACTAGACTAAGTGTTTCCAAAAAGGTGTAGAATATATTTTTGATTAAATTATAAGGCCTTGAAGTGGCTTAACTGCTCAAAGCTCTTTTTTCATAAAACCATAGAGTATGTGCATTTTTTTTTTTTTTATTAGCCTCATAATGATCGGCAAAGCCCACATTGTTAAAATATTTTTCTTGTTTAAAAAACTTTTAAATCTACATTAATTAATTTTAGGCATGTAAAGAATAAGATAGGACTAGTCTCGAATTTTATATTTGAAGAAATTCTGTTTTCCAAAAGAACCATTGTGATCTGAACTGTATAATTTTCTTTATAAACAAAAAAAAATCTGTAAACGATCCTATGCTGGTGAACTCAGCTTATTCTTCGCAAACCTAACTTCAAATCAATTTTTATGATTTTAGAAAGAAAGAAAAGGAAATTTTACTCTGGGCTATTTAGTCTCCTGAGAATAATTATAATGAGAAATGAAATGACATTTGTGTGGCATAAGAATACAATCTAGAATTAATTAAATTACATAGTTATCAAACCTTAAAATTAACATGAAGGAAAAACCTAAGGAAACATATGAAATTATAAACATATATGAGTGTCTTCACATATCGGTACTATTAAACAATATAGATAATATTTAGGTATCTGTGACAGTACAATAAATATTAAAAAAATATTATTCTTGCATATTTTCGGAAGATTAATTGCTGAGGAGATGAATAAATGGTTTTTAAATGAGGTTAAGGATGACGATTTGCGTATGGAATGTAAGTAGAGAATTCCAAAACAAGGTAGCACGTTTGAGAAACGATGTTTTAAAGGAAAGCAGTTGTTTGGGAAGGGATAAACATATATGTGGGGTAGAATCTCGTATGGAACGAATCGACCGAGGAAAGAGGTGTTAACAAATCAAGACCGTAATAAGGTTTTTCATTGTGAAAATTCGGAAAAGGAATACACCTAGAAAATATTGCTCTCGGAAAACTGGATAGAACCACTTCAAAATCCGCATTACCACATTTTAGGACTAGGAATAAATCAAACGTGATCATGAAAAGTTTTTACCTGTAAAGTGGCATTAGTTTGATTTTTCCAAGTCCTATAGTTTTTGAACTATCAATAATCAACGCAAATACTTATATTTACTAAAATTGGTTCATTGAACTGAAGAAAAATGGCATTTGTATACGTTCAAAGAAAATAAATTCCTCGGCTCTTTTTCTCTCTAGAAGCATGGAGGAATCAACATTCAAAATATAAGAGAAGTTAAAAATGCTCGATCGACCAATTTAATTTATTTGGTACACTTATTATGGATTTACCTATTATAAAAAATGTTTAATGAAAGTACATTATTTAAAAAAAATAATTATTTATTTATAAGTGGCATATTTTTTTTCCTAGCCCCCAGGAATTTCTTTATTACAAAGTACAATATATAAATGTATATATACATAATTTTTTTTATTTCCTTTTATTGCCCAAGGGCATTAAATAAGTGGCATAGTTATAATCTGTTCAGAATGTTTAATAAAGATTTTCAAAAAAGTTGGGAAGGAAAGTAGTAGCTGTGGAATAAGAATGGTTTATTATTTATTAGTTTTTGCTAATTAAAGAGTTATTAATAAAAATTTGAATTAATAAAATAGGGATTCTGGGGTCATTTCACTAGTTGAAGATGGTTAACCGAAAAATTCCTTCCCCCTCCTAAGAAAAGAGATATGAAAAGGGCATTGAAGGTGTCTTTCAAATATACTAAAGGTACGTTTAGACATTTCATAAACAATGGTACAAACAAATAGATAAATGGATATTTCACCATGGATATTCTTCTTTTTTGATATTTTCCATCTGCTATAGGCATTAAGAGAAATAAAATAAATAGTTTGGTTTAGCAATAATGTGGCTGTTAGTTAAGTTAGATAATTATGCCTCCCATAGTTGGTGAAATATCTAAACGTACCTTTAGGATTAAAATAGAACTGATGACCCAACCTGTCGTAGGTTTCGATGACGTGGGGGCCGATGTCTTTGAAGGCTTTCCCTTCTATGTCATTGAAGAACATCTGGTTGTAGAGCTGGTTCGTACCCAACCCTTCTATGAAGGCGTTCGCGAAGTAGTCTTCATTTTCTTTCCTCAATTTTCGTTGTTCTTCTTCTTTTTGTTCCTTCGCTTCTTCCATTTCCAAAGATTCAAGCTCTTCCCTGCAAATAGAAATGTTGTTGACTCTCATTTTTTGTTATAAATCTGAGTTAGAATTGTAAAATAAAGAAAGTTTTCCAAAATAGTTTTTTCTAATAGACCAATATAAATATTTATGTAAATAAATTTAAGAGCCAATACAATAAAGTTTTAATCAAATAATTGACATTAACAAACCAAATAATTCGTGACATTTGGACCTTCTTCAGTCAAATACATAATAATGAAACTACTTGTTTGAAGTCATGGGCGGACGCAGTTTTCATATTGAGGGGGAGGAAGAGAAAGGCAGGACAGAAAATCTCTGGTAGATAAATGATTTCAAACTCTATAATATTATACAAAGTAGTTTATTATTAATTAAATGTTTTTTATATGAAGTACAATATATACACAGAACAAATTAAAAAAAAAAATAACTTTCGGCAAATATTTTGTTTTATTTTCTTTCAAACTATTTGAGGAGGGGGGGGGGCAACGGCCCCTCTCCCCTGCCCGCCCTCCCGTGCGCTCATGTTTAAACTATCTGAAGGTGAAGCTGAATTTTGATAAATTTGTAAATGCATTAAGAAAAAACTGAATACACAAAAATGGTTACCAATATTAGTCCAGCTAAACTAAAACAGATAAAGGCAAATAGGGAAAAGTTTTCTTGTAGTCATAAAGTTTAGTATTTCCCTATATTTTGGGGTTTGTGAATAGGAATCAAAGATTTTCCAACAGAAAATTTGTCTGGAACATTGTTTTTAGGCCAACAATGCTGAAAGTTTTCTTCGGTTATGTCTCAGAAACTTGAGTGGTTAATAAAATTATAAAATCAAGTAGTGATAACAATTTATTCAACGCCAACGTTTTGACACATATTGTTTTCATTAAGTTCATCGGCACTGGCGGATCCACCGGTAATGGGGGAGGAGGAGGCAGCTCACACCAAAATATAAAGTATATATTTTTTAATCGTTCTATATGTTTTTCAGTGAGTGATCGGAGCTTAACATGTTCTAGAAATAAATAATCTATGTTATATATATAAATAAATAGGGCATATTCAGCTTCTAAATGTAAGTATGTGTTAGGAGTGCCCATTTCTCCCAAGATCCATTGTGTATGAACCTCCCCTCCTTCTCCCAAGACATTTTATTGCTCTCTTTTTCTTAAAACAGTGCAAGCTAAAGTAAAATTTTAAAAATCATGGCTCATATACAATTAGACTTTCAGTAGTCTATTCTGTGCTTTTCTCATGTTATTTGAAGCTTTTTATTTCGAAAATTTAAAACCCGTCGAAATGGGTTCCTCTGAAAAAAATTGACGGCGTACATTTTGTCATTAAACCCCCTTCTGGGCACACTTGGCATGTGTCAACAAAATATATAATGGCATATTGTGTCTCTTGACCCTCTGCATATTCTGTAGTGTTGTTCTGGACAAATTGAGACTAATAAATTCCTTAACACCTCCTACTTCAATGTATTTTATTATATTATATTATGTACATACAATATAAAACAATACATTTATATTTATAGCAATCCGACAAAATTGGAACAAAGTACTTACGCGTTGTATTTCAAACCTATTTCTCTCTCCTCTTGAGTTATCAACTTATACTCGTAGTAAAGAAGTTTTGGCAAATAGGCCGCTAGCGTCTCTTTGAAGAATTCTTTCTTGGTACAGGGGTTGTTGGCCATATTGATTGATACGAGTTTCTTGAAACGTCTTAAATAAAGTATCTAGAAATAAATAATTACATATTATCGTCCCAGTTACAAATATGAAATATTATTTTATTCAGAGCCACTTTTGCTGAACTATACTCCGCTGAATTACGTGGTGACCTTCTCAATAAGCGAGGCACGGGTGGTGTAATGTTACTACGCCTTAGTCAGAGAGAAATTAGAGCAATCATTGGACAATCCAACGATATTGTCAACTGAGGTGATATTGAAACTAAATTTGAATGGCAGCAGTAGTTTATTGCATGGCATAGGTTTTCATTTTTTTATTAAAAATATACAAAGGCACAATAATTTCAAAGAATATTTGATACATACATCTAAAATTATTTCTATCCTTATACGTTATTTCTCAAAAGAGTTTTTTTCTGTCGGTACGTCATATCTTTGTCAATTCTTATCATTCAGGTGGGAAAAATAGTCACATATCCCCAAATTTCAGGACAAAAATTTATGAAGGAGAAGAAACTTTATTTACGAATAACTTAAAAAGTATACTTTTGTGTGTCGAATGTACCCATAATCACAGGCGGATTTACGGGAGGGGGTTTTCGGGCTGAAGCCCCTCCAAAATCGTAAAATGTAACTATTATATGGTAAAAAATATATGGTTTTATGGTAAAAAATATTAAAAAATTATGTCCTAAAGTACTATTGCTCATTTAATTACATTTAATAGGACTTCAAGAATCACTTAAACACCATTTCATATAGGTAGTTAGTATCTTTCTGTATTTACAAAATAATTATCGTTATATATATGAAAAAAAAAGCTTCCGGGCTGAAGCCTCCCCAAAATTAAATCCTGGACCCGCTAGTGCCCATAATTATTTGAAAGATTGCTAAATTCTCTGCAAAACAAAAACCATCGAAATCGATTATAGATTGGAAATAATTTTTACCGACCGATAGAGCAAAGTGAGATCAAATATTTTTTTAAGGAGAGACAGCATTGAGAATTGCATTTTTAACAATCGAAAATTCGCCTCTTTCATTCCCACCCTCGGATACTTTTTAAAACATTACAAAAAGTGTGATAACTTCATCATACTTCCACTTAGCCACACGAAAATTAGTAGGAATTTAGGGCTACATAAATTATATTAAATGATAGTAACCGGACTTCCTTAAACATATTTCATAAAAAATGCGCTAAAGTCAAAAATTCAAAACACCATAAAATTGTGCTCCTCTCAAAAATCTTGATTCGCGCAACTTGCGAACCAATGATCTAATAAATCCCCAACGGGAAAATTACCGCTAATAGTTGAGACCCAATCAAAACCCAAATATATAATCTCAGCCTTAAAAATATCTTACCATTTTCGCTTCAAAACAACTTTACGTTTTATTGCCGTATAGGTGCCACAGGCGGATCTACGGGGAGGGGGATGGCTTTCTGGCTGAAGCCCTTACTCTCCCCCCACCCAAAAAAAAAAAACCCGGTAAAATATAACCATGTTTTATAGAAAAAAATATTAAAAACTATCTCTTAAAGTATTATTGTTCGTGTAATTACATTTAATAGGACTTCAAGAGTCAGTCAAACACCATTTCATATAGGTAGTTAATATTTTTTTTTCAAATTAATTATCGTTATGTATTTGAAAAAAAAATTTCGGTCTGAAGCCTCCAAAATTAAATCCTGGATCCGCTAGAGTTAGGTGCTATAGGTGCAGATTTCGAGGGAGAGATGGGACGAAGGCGATAATTGCGATAAAAATTTTGAGTAGGCGTGAATATCGTTTCGTCCTCCTCCCCCAATAATTTGAGATAAAAAATGAAATTCAATAAATAAATAATAATTGAATGAAATAATAAAATGTGTAAACTAAAATCTATTAAAAAAAGTTGTCTGGCTGGGCTAGTACTACTAGGCAAGGGCCTTGTAATGGGTAGCTAACTATTTTTTTGACCTAAATATTACTTTAATTTAAATTGTCACTTATATTCGATGATAATAATATAAATATTCTAGGATTTTATGTTTCAATCACTCCTTCATTTTTAAGTGATATGCGTATTATATTTTCTGTGACAAAATAACAGGACTGTGAAAAACGTTGTATTTTTACTTGGGATTGACACACTAAGAAATCAAAAATATTTTTCACTTTTTTACATAATTCATTTTAGCTGAAGTTCTAGGAATGTACCATGTTATGAAGGCTGTCTCTCCTCCCTACCCCTGTGTTTAATCTTAACAAATAGGTTATACATTCAATTGTAATTTTTTTAGATATTTTTAAGTATATATAATAAGTAAAACAAAAAAATAAAAATTCTTACAACTATACAAACATATAAACTAATTAATTTTAAATATTCAATATTATATTTGTTCGTTTCACAATAATTATGTTCATTTTTTCAACATAATAAAACTTCCGCTTTTTTTTTTTTTTTTACTTCGTGTTTGTCCTATAATTCGGCATTATGTAACTTTATTATTTATTATTCCTAATTTATTTTATTCGGCTCCTAGGTGACTGAATATTTTATGCTTATAATATTTTCTAAAATCTTTAGCATTTGTTCATTCCTTTGTGCCAACAGAAAAAATTAAAATTTAACACTCGTAAAGACAAGAAACAGTATAATGACTTAAATTCATAAAAGAGGTTTGTGGAAGGTAAGCAAGAACTTTTTATGGCCGAAAAGCAACTAGCGTATCCAGCTTTCATTTTCATTTTAATTTTATCCGGGTTCCTCTTTCCGCTTAGTAGCCTACTTCCATGTTTACATACTTCCTTCTATATTTTAGTTTTTTCTCTATTTTCTCCCGTTTAACAAGAGTTTCATTCTTGTTCGGTAAAGACACTGTATTTTGAAAGTTTTAGATGAATAATGGCGGTGAAATAGGTATTTTTAAAATAAAAAATGCGACTTGCTACTATGTAACTCAGTGCGTTTTTCTTTTTGTTTGAATAAGAAAATAAAAATAACAATATGAATAATAAGTCGAAAAAGAAACTTACGCAATCTCTGTCCTCAATCAAATTATTACCAATACTGAAAATCTCAATATTTGTTTGATCGTCAAGTTGTTCGATTCTCTTAATCTTGTTGTTGTAGAGGCAAAGAACTTTGATATTTTTCAATCCCTGCAGTAAAAAATGAGTTTGTAAGATTATAAGAGTCTTTCATTATTTTTTTAGGAATATTATGTTCCAATCAACTCTAACTTACCCAAAGATTTTCTATTCGCTCGATTTTGTTAAACGATAAATCAAGTTGTACCAGATTGACTAATTCTTCCAAATTTTCCATAGTTTCTATACTGTTATGTGCCAAAGAGAGAATTTGCAAATTTTTTAACATCCAAAGGTGGTCAATTTTAAGTATGTCTGTTAAAAAAAAAGGTTCTAAAATAAAAGATTTTAAAAATAAATCTTAGAATTTTAAAAGCACGAAAGATCCTTTATTTTATTTTTTTCATCATGGTCTCCATGGTGCAGCGGCAGGCCACCCGTAGCTGCTCCATAACCAATCTCTTTGGGGGCCAATCTGGCAGTGTCCTTCCCACCGACTCACTCGGGTCCAAGTACAGTGACAAATCGGTCTAGTTCCATGGATTATGGCTACTCGGAGTCAGCAGGCGAACGGGCATCTATATTTCTTTTCCCGAAACAGACCATCCATGGACCGAACCTCGGGAGGGGAGGGGGTTACTAACATGCTGGTAGACCACATCCCGATTCCCGATTAAGTACACGGGGTAGGGTCGTCAGTCCTACGCTAGGTCGGTGTGAGTTGCCTCCAGTAGACTGACGGGCCTCACATACTCTTGGGTATGGAGAGACTGGGGCAGCATGACTTTCTCTGGTGGACGGTCAACCATCCAAGTACGAACCACGCTCGACGTTGCTTAACTTTGATTACCTATTGCAAGCAGCTTAGCTCGTACAGCTACCCCAACCCCAATATATATATATATATATATATATATATATATATATATATATATATATATATATAAAACCAAATTTAAATAACAATTATTTTGGGCCCAACATACAACGGTACTAGATTAATACATAATAACGAACTTTGGGGCCCTCAGAGGGAGCCCCAAGTCATTTTACGGCGATAAAAAAGTAAGAAACATTTATATTGGGGATCCTTCAGAGGAGTCCGAAAAAAGTGCGAAAAGAAAGGAATACAAAACAATTATTTTGGGGCAAAACATGCAACGGTACAAAACAAAACCAAAATAACGATCTTCAGAGCTCTCAGAGCGGGTAATCATTTTACGTTGATAGAATACAAAACATTTATGTGGAGGACGTCAAAAATTTCGGCAGTTACCGACTAGCCGACCTAGACAGACCTGCTCTCTACCTCGTAATTTCTTGCTTGTGGGGAGGCTGTTCTAGAGGTATAACCGAACCTACTATAACCAGAGTGGGAAGGTCGAGATTCATTCCGTGGGTCCGTTATTTAACTCACACCAATCACTGGAATGAATAAGAACCAGTGAAAAAAAAAATTCTGTTTAGAGTGAGGGGAAGAGGGATTGAGCCCATAATACATAAATCCTCCTCCACTCTGGTGGATCCACCAGTGGTACTTGTTACTGTAGCTAATAATAAAAGATTTTTTTTAATATTTAAAATTTTTACTTGAGAAGCACTAGGGTTCATCTGTACTAAGCAATGTCTGTTTTTAAGAATTGAAGGTGGGAGAGTCCGAACATTAAATTTTAACAAATCAGCGAGAAATTTTTAATTTAGAGTAGAATTATTTCGCACAATTGTGTACTCTTCTTCTGTAGTTAATAAGTAAGCTGTTTTTCATAATAAGAATCTGTTGGAAAACAAATTATGCATTAAGGATGGGCGCCCTTGGGTGTTTGCCTTGGGGCGTATTTAAGTTTACATAATATTATTTAATGTTATTCGATTTTATATAATGATGTCTGGCATCAAACTATAAATTAATTGTTATTTTAGTTTGACTTTTAAGTAGTTGAAAAAAACTATCCCTTACCTTTAAAATCAAGATATAGTTTAAAAATAAATTCATACTCTAGTTTCTTTATCTTGAATAGTTTCTTAGTGACAGTTGTAGGTGCCGAATTAATGACGGAATTCATTATCATCTCTCTATCAATAACCGCAGGCACTTTATCGAACTTTCTATATAATTTCTTCATCTGCTCCCCATTGCCATCGAGGTTTATGGAACCTTTTCTAGTTAAAGGCATGGATAAAGCGATAAAATTAACGAAAACTAAAGATCAGAGACGCCTTGACAACCACAAACAGTTGAATTTAGCGGGTCGCCGGGAAGACTTGTCGGTATCGCCATCTGCGTAAACTTCAATAGTTAGTCAGATGACTGACCCATAATAGTCAAAACATAACCAATAATGACTTCGTTTTTTGGGGTTGGTGGAAACCCCTTCGCGACAATTGTTGGACAGAAAATTGGTAAGTTTTCTTAATCATACCTTCTTATGTATAAAATGTCAACCATTCCATCCGTTGCAACAATTTGTGTATGTTACATAACAATCTGTTGCAAATGATTTTCATATCTTCGATATTGATTTTAATCGTGAATTTATTTTTAAATTTTGAGTGTTCCCGTAGTCGTTTGACTCATTAATGTTCTTATGATAAGGTTGAGTGGTTCTTATAATTTAATTATCAGTTTTTCCATCATTCATTCATGTTGCTGTTTTGGAATTGAACTAAAAGTGTTTTTTTTTTTTCAAGTGCTATCATATTTGCTTGTAGATAAAGTACTTAAAATCCCAGATGAAGCCTATGCAATTATAAACTAGCTGTTTACATTATCTTGTGTAGTTTCAATAATCTTTATTGATAAGTTTTGGTTATACTCATTGAATTTAAAATTTTAGTTTCAAATATTTAAATTTAATTTTAGAACAAGCAACTGATGGCTCTCTTGCTTCTGAAAACTGGACCCTCAATATTGAAATATGTGATCTCATTAATGAGACAGAGGATGGACCCAAAGATGCCATCAAAGCCATCAGAAAACGGCTTCAACAGTCAATTGGAAAAAATTATACAATCGTCATGTTCACACTTACGGTAACTAAGCGTATTTATATAAGCAAAGGAAAAAGCAATCTCATTAGACACACTCTTTGAACACTCTCTCTTTTTCATTGCAGGTCCTGGAGACCTGTGTGAAGAACTGTGGAAAGAGATTTCACATATTAGTGTGTAACAAGGAGTTCATTTCTGAACTTGTCAAGATTATCGGTAAGTGAAAATCTTATTTCGTCATTCAAAATAACATGTTTATTTTTCAATAACATTGAGTTATTGCTATCATTATTCTATTCATCTCTGCATTAGCAAGAATATATATATATATATATATAGATACACATCTAGTTTGAAACAAGCGAGAAGTTAATCATAGTTATTTAACTATCAATGTAATTGAAATACCAATAATCTTACCATACCAATAACACTCCAGTTGATTTATAGAAAAATCAATTAGTTTTAAATTTAATATTAATCCCTTGAAATCAAAAAATGAAAAACTTTTTAATTATTCAAAAATGAGAATTGCCGCCCAGAACTCAAAAGATAATTTCAAACAAAATATAATAAAATAATATGTATAATGAGAATTTGTGGTCAATTATAATATAACAAAATATTCGTTTAAATGTGAATGTATTTTTCAGTACGTGTCATTTATTTTTTAAAATGTGGAAAGCTATATTGTTTTTGAGCAGCTATATCTTGAAAAAGGTCAAGGTTTTAAAGAAAAAAATTTAGGTGATAATACCTGTCACCTGATATGACTTATTGACTGTTGCTTTTAAAAAATACAATTTCACAATTGTTGAAATTACAATTATTATGCTGTTTCACTTCAGATTTTTTAATTTTTTAGATGCTTTAATGATTTTATAAAACAGATTCATGACATTGGCACTCAACAAAATAATTGGTAAATAATAGTCAATTGCTAAATAGTTTGAAGTGCCATGTAAAATTGAATAACCTTTTTTTGTCTTCTATTTAGGAAGACCTATTCTGTATCATTTAAGGCATTTGTGAACTAATACTCTTCCTTTAAAATTGTGTTATTTTTTTATTAAATTAAACAATTAATTTATACATTTACTCTAAAATGTTCTTATTTTCCAATGTTTCGAGGACCTTATATCCTTATCTTCTGGCATACTTTTTATTATTTTGTCACTTTTCTTATTTGTCTTACAATAGCCATTTCAGTATATTTTCTCATTTTTATTAATCATCAATATTCATTATACTGCTTCATCTGCATTTTAAAAAAACATACTTAAAAGAGTAACATTGTACGTTCTGTATTATTTCATCATCACATAACCTTTTGTTAAAAATTATGCAACTTGAAATCGAGTTATAACAATGAATTTTAGTTATTTATTTTCAACAGATCCACTTCTTTCAACTAAATTCTTGTAGTTCTATCTATAGGTTTTTAACAAGGAAAACCCTTTAGTTTGAAAATTTTAGTAACGTTCTTAGAATTATGTAATTTTCAATTATCTTTAAATTTTCTTATGGCCTAACTAAGAAAAAACCTTAATAACGAATTTAGTATCTTACTTGTCTAACGACCTTAAAACATGTAACATATTTAATTTAAAATTTACTTTCTTCTTGATTTTTTATAAAATTACTACTATACCCATTTCTAAGTTCTAATATTATCTAATATAATTTTGTGGAGGGAATTTAACTTTAATCAGATGAAAATATTCAAGAGGTCGAATACCCTACTCAAGTGCAACAAATATTGTAGCTTTCAAATCTAAAAATATTTTTAATTTGGTAAAAAATTGCAATTTTTGACAGACTATATTGAAGTTGATATTAGATCATTTAAATAGCAATAATCACAATCCCTGAAAGTTTCATCAAATACAATTATTGGTATTAGATGTTATGTATGAACACATTGGTTTGACAATGGAGTATAGTTTAAATTAAATTTCCTAATGCAGTTTAAAATCATATAACTATAGTTAAAATATAACTTCTCCATGTGCTCACTGCTCACAATATTTCACAGCTATTATATTCTTAACAAGTAGGTACATTCATTCTATTTGTTTAATGGACTTTGTTGAAACTGATATTATTAACTTACATCATTTGTACACTATGTTACAAATTTAGACCGAATCTAATAAGTTGTGAAATATACGCATATCAAGGAAAATATGTTTGTGCATAAAATAAGAGAAAGCATTTTGTGAAAGCAGTGTATGAAATTTTATAAAATTGGTATCTATTCAATTATTTTTTCATCAACCAACTTCTGAATATCCTCCAATTTTGAGTCAAATTGAAAGATGGTTTTAGAGATAGATGCATATCAAGGAAAATAAGTCAGTGCGTCTGTAAGAGGAAGTAATTGATGGATTTTTATGGAAATTGGATTAACGTTTGTTAGCGAAATGCCCGTCACATATGAATTTGATTACAGACAAACAAATCCGGTAATTTGTTCTTGATAATCTAAATGAAAAACCCAAATTGACATTTTCGATTCTGAGAACAAACATTTTGTTTTACCTCACGCATAAATACAAAGCTGTGAGGAAGAAGAAGACAGTTTATTAAAAAATGATATTACAAAATTTAAATAATAATAGGTACTTAGGACAGAACAAAGAGTGCTAAAGTACATGAAAAATATTTAAATAAATATTTTCCTCATTTAAAAAAAAATATAACTACTGGGTTCAGATGCCTTACTCAAGAACACAAAGAGGTAGTGATCTAATCCTGAGTGTTCCTATACAAATTTCTATTTTAAACCCTTAATACAAAAACTGATTTCAATTATATATACTTTAGAAATGCATAAAAAAAAATTGTATTCACCTTTTCACCATTAAGATTGGATAATTTATTTATAAACCTTCTCCATTGTTTTTATGTTTTCCTTTCTAGCATTTCTTTATGAATAAAACTGTTTGAATAATTCCATAAGCTTCTATTAAAATTAAATTTGAATACATATAATTAATTAAATTAAAGGTTAATTGGAAAATAACATATTATGCTGTTGGCTGTTTAGAATAGTTGATTTGCCTCCCAGTTGACTAATGACCTTTTACATATTCAGCCTTCACTATTCATTGATCAATAACTTCTTTGTGACAAGTATTCATTGATTAGTATTAGTAACATACAAAGAACTAACACCTTCGTTGGTATCTTTCGATATTCAAGTAGGCTTGTTAAGTTAATTTGCTCATTTCTCCTTAATTACTATAGAAATTATTTTTACTTCATTTTTCTCTTTATCATTTCTCTGATATATATACATAGAGTCTCAAAATTATTATTGTAGTATATTAAAAACTAGTTTTCAAATTTTTAAAGACAAATATCATGACTTTTGTGCATTAAATTTTCTTTTTACAAATATTGTTAGTGGTTATATCTCTTAACAAACTTTTCTAAGCAGTTGAAGTGATTTATCAATAATGTGAATGATTTTAATTCATATTGTATTTTTTTTTTTTTTTTGTTTCCTTTAAAATAAAAAAATGAAGTTGAAGTTTTAAAGTTATTTTCTATTTATGTGACCAACTAAATGGATAGCTGTAATAGATGATTTCTTGGCTAAAGGAATTTCGGCTATTATATTTTATCATTGATGGTACAGTAATACTCTATTTATCTGGATCAAAGAATGCTGGAGTGGATTACTTAGTAGTAGTGAATATCTGAGACATTCTTGATTGTCAATTAAAAATTTGGTTATTTTTACTTTTTTTTTAAAAACTGTCAATTGTTTTGAAGACAACTTCACAATATTTTCAATGAACGAAATACTATTGATATTCAAATATATCTAGTTAATAGTTTTCCCTTCCCCTTTGTCTATTATTTTTTAAAACAGTAGATAATATTTTAAATGAAATTTTCAATTGAAAATATTATTACTTTTTAATACTTTGTTTGCAGTTGTATTTGTGTCAAGGTTTAATTAAAGTTTGCTTTATTTTTTCAAATACATGTGCATCTTTTTTGTAAGCTTTTGATCAATCAGTATATTTGGCTCAAGAACGGGAAAAGGAATGAATATTGATTTATTAGCAGGGGTGTTAAATGTATAGATAATTTTAGAACTTGAGTTTAAAGAGAGCCGCCCACAAACAATGGTTTTCAACAAGATACTCATACATATCTATAATTTGATAAGTTTATTCTTTAAGACTAATTTCTTGGTTCCATTTCTAATGACACTTACAAACTTTGTTTCAAGATTCTTTGTTCAGATCTTTGAATTATAGCATTTTGGTATTGAGTCAGCAGACTGTTTCATTTTCTCTTTTTAGCTGTAGACCACTTAGCCATATCAACACAAAAAATATACCCTCTTGATGTTACCTATAAAAAAAGTAAATGTAAGAGGAAGTAACTATAATGTTTATTAAAATATACTATTTAAAAAACATAACAGTTAACCATTTTTTTTTTAACATATCAGTTTATTGCAAAAAGTCATGAAGTGGTATTTCATAACATTTAAGAATTAAGAATTTTGAAGAATTTTCCCTTTATGAAATCAGGACATTGTGCATTGTGCACTTGTTGTAACTATATTTGGTATATAAGGGGTTGTGTCATTTTCGTGCAGTTACAGTGTTTTTATTGATAAATAAAATTAAAATTCACTAAAACATGCTGGAAAATGAACTTCTATAAAAAATATACTTAGTGACTTTTAGCAATAAACTGGCGATATATTGTATTTGTTTTTTAAATTAAAAATTAAATGATTTTCAGGTGTAAATAATTACTCTGTTCTGAATGTTTTCGAAGGACCCAAGAACGAACCTCCGACAGTAGTTCAGGAGAAGGTTCTGAGCCTCATCCAATCTTGGGCTGACGCTTTTCGTAACCAACCTGATCTGTCCGGCGTGGTTCAGGTCTACAATGAACTTAAAGCGAAAGGGATCGAGTTTCCTATGACTGACCTTGATGCCATGGCACCAATCCACACACCCCGGAAGGTAAAAAAAATATTGATTTTTGTCTATTTAAAAAATAATATAGTTCAAGACTAATTTATATTCCAAGCTTTTTTTATTACCAATTGAACATGTAAAAATCTCAAATAAACGTAAAAGTAATTTTAACTATTTTGACTGTAAATATCGATCAAGATAAAATAATTTTAATCAATCATAATTTTTTATTTTTTATTGCTTTATTATAAACACGTGCTGTAAAATTTCTCATTGATTGTGACAACTCTACTGAAGTATAGTTTTATGTGTTTTTTTTTAACAAACTGATTATTTATCAGTTATAATGAACTAATGCTCAGTTATCTTGGGTAAATTAAAAGTTAAATAATTGGTTTGTTATTCATATTTTCCCTCTTGGAGTCGCTAAGACTCTTTACAGCAGAGATGCTGAACATTTTTATTACTTGTTCCATAACCAAGAGTTCCTAATATAGGATTGTGCCACAAACGTGCCTGTACCCTTAGGCCACAAGGGCTGAGTTTACTAGAGGAAGGAGATGGTGGCAGTCATAAGTAGACTAAAATATTGGAGAAACTATCTTATTTCAAGCCAATGTTTCGACCCGACTTTGCAGGTCTTCTTCAGGGCTAGAACGGACAAGATACAAAAGGATATAGAAAATTGTGGAAGTTACATAATATTTAAGTAAAAATTATAAACAAGGTGAATAAACTTATTAAAATTATAAACAGTATGTACATTGAAATATTAAGAACAGTAAACTATATAAACAGAGTAAACTAAGTAACAAGATCCTAAACTTTAAGTAAATAAATAATAAAAATTATATTAGTATAATATATAATATAATATATACAATTATGGATATACTCCTACAGATCTCAAGTAGAGATTGGAAGAAAATAATAAATAATATGAAATAATGGACATAAAGAGTTGTGAAGAAAGAAAAGAAAAATAAATAAAATAAAATAAATAAAAATAAAGATTTACAGGTGTGTTTAGCAAGGAGTTTTAGTTAAAACTGGGAAAACTTGGGAAGAGTTGGAAATTTGCTGACCTGGTTGGGGAGTGGTGAGGGAGTAAGTAGTAAAAGCATAACAAAACTTGGTATATTACAGTGTCTAAAATTTGAAGATATTGGTGGTTACAAGAAAAAATACGATATCTATGAACTAATAAAATATAAATATACATATAAAATAGAATTAAGAAATTATAAGATAGAAGTACTATGTAAATAATAAAAAAATGAAAGAAGTAAAATGTGCGTTGAAGTAAAATGTAAATATAAAAATAAGAGACCACAGATTGCCACCAGCTTACGTCCCATAACAAACTTTCTTTCCTTTTCACCAACTTGAAGGATTCCATACTTTTACTACACCGATCTAATGTAGTTTACCGGGTACCTTGCCCTACTCCTAATGGTAATAGTTCCTATATTGGCGAAACCAAAAACCACCTCAAAACCTGTATTTCCCAACGTAAAACATCCATAACTTCCCGGAACCCTTCCGCCTCTAAACTATCAGAACATGCCTTAACCCTCAACCATTCATTTGATTTGAAAAAACTTTATTCTTGCCACACTCTCCAACCATGAAAAAAGACTCATTTCCATCCACATCCACATGGAACAGAATCCTGTGAATTTCCCCAAGGTTCCTCTACCCAAGTTTTCCCAGTTTTAACTGAAACTCCTTGCTGAACGCACCTGTAAATCTCTATTTTTATTCTTTTATTTTTATTTTATTTATTTATTTTTTTTTTTTTTCTTCACATCCCTTTATGTCCATTATTTCATATTATTTATCCTTTTCTTTCAATCTCTCTTTGAGATCTGTAGGAGTATATTCATAATTCCATGTATTATACTACTATAATTTTTATCATTTATTTACTTCAGCTTAGGATCTTGTTACTTAGTGTACTCTGTTTATATAGTTTATTTTTCTTAATATTTCAATCTACTTACTGTTTATAATTTCAATAAGTTTATTCATCTTGTTTGTAATTTTTACCTAACTATTATGTAACTTCCACAATTTTCTAGATCATTTTGCATCTTGTCCGTTCTAGTCCTGAAGACCTGCAAAAAAGTCGGGTCGAAACGTTGGCTTGAAATAAAATAGTTTTTCCAGTATTTTAGTCTATTTATTTATGACCGCCATCTCGAACCATCTCCTTCCTCTAAAATATACAACGTTCAACTATTAAGTATTTAATAAATATTTTCTTATTTATTTTTTGTTTTTTCATGTGTTTTATAGTTATATATGTATAAATAAAGGAGTATCAGAAAAAAAAAAAGTGTTTTATAACCTCAAAGTGTTGAGTATTAACTTATAATGGAGTGTAAACTTTCCACTAGAATCCAGAAGATTGTTCCTAAACTCAGTATAAATCACTGTCCATCAGTGCTGGATTTAATCAGTTGATGAATTCCTTCAATGGAATTTGTGCTGAGTATAGGAACTTGCCCTTATATATCTACCTACTGCTTAGACTCTTTTAATTAGGCCATGTCCTAATTTAAAAGGACCTTAAACTCCTAAGTTGCCTCCTCACTCTTGGCCAACATTTTTTGTTTGCTTATTTTTGGTTTATTTTATATAAATTTTATTACTCATGCTTTTAATTTTTCTTTTTATTATATTTTTAATTATCATTTTATTTTTTTGCAACTTTTGTAATAGACGAAACAAATAATTAAAAATTAATTTCACTCCCTCAAAATTTGAATTTTTATGTTTCAACATGGAATTCATTTTTTTATGCAGTACCCAAACTTCGTATAAAATATCAGTATGTGGCTTTTCTCCGAAACTGTAAGGCCAATTAGTTTCAGCTCAAAGTCACAGATCACTCCTGAAAAACCTTTGAACTTGACATTAATCTTTAATGCCATTTTTTAAAATGGCCAATTTAAATTTCATATACTGAAATTTATGGATTTATTTTGAGAATGCGGGATCTATTTTATTTATTTTAAAACTCAGCACCAAGGTAAGATGTTAAACCTAGATAATTCGCAGTACCCACAAGTATTTTAAAATCATTATACTAAGCCTTAAAAAAAAATTATTCTTAGGATTATCTTGTGATGAAATAAAAAGTAATTAATATAGCATTTTTAACTTGAACTTTATTATAATTCTGTAATTAAAATAATCTTTTTTATTTTAGTTATTATTGTATGTTTGTAAAAATTGAGGTAGTCTGTAATTTTCTTAAAAGCTTGAAAAAATCAGGAATCAACCGAGCATTTCATTTATCGAAATTGGTAGACTCCGTGAAAGGAGATTAATTTTGATATTATTCTGTCATGAACTTGTTTATTGTCTTTGGATTTAAAGAATTAATTGGCTGCAATATAGATAATAATAAACAAAGAACAATAAACTGGGATATTAAAAAGATTTATTACTGCACATTTTATAGCCGGTGTTGGAATTTTTACCTGAATACACAATAGTCTTTGTTTATTGTATAAAGATGAGCTTATAGTCATTATTTGTTAATAGTTGTGTGAATATATAACAATAGTTTATTATTTACATGCTTTTAGATTAATTTGTATAGTATATTGTTGTGTATTTTGTTTGTCTCCCTCCCTCCTTACATGAAATCATTGTTATGCTATCTACTGATATGATAAGAGATGTTATTAGTTTCATTAATTTTATATGAAGTATGTTTATCTTGCCCTATCTCAACTGAAGAATTAGTATTTAAAATAAATATTGATTATCTTTAATTACAATTTATTTTCTAATGTGCTAGGATCTACATCAAAGTCCAAGTATAATGCTGTATATGCTAAATTGTTCTATAAAATGAACTTTATTTTAATTCACATTTATGTTTTATGATTTTTCTTAATTATATATTTTTTAAATTAAAAATAATTATTTGCTATTCGTAATCAAAATAAAAAAACAGCTGCAAAAGAAATAATTCACTCCAAACACTGATTAGTTAATGATACATTTCATTAATTTATTTTCTTGAAAAATAAAAAATAGAATTAATTATATTTTTGGTAAGTAGTTATTATAGATGAAATAATTGCAAAAGCTTTTTAAATACTGTCTTACCTTAGTCTGTACTTATTTGTTTGACCTGAACATGTATTTTAGGGCTAGCATGGTGGAATTTTTTGAAAAAGATGTTTTTATTTTTTGTGAAGAGTGACTAGGAACAATAATGTACTTCATTTTTATCACGACCATTGTGTTATATCAAAAAGCAAACTGAACCTGACAGGTTCTAGATTGAACTAAAGCCAGATAAATAACTTTCCATTGGGCGGTGTACTCGGTTAAAAATAGCTCAAGCTGTCTCAGCCAGAGTTCCTTTCAAAAATATCCTCTCGTTTTTTTTTTTGTTTTTTTTTTGAAATAGTTGAGTAACATGTTGTAAAACAGGAATTTTCTAACCTTTATATTCGGGCAAATTGTGTTTGTTAAATTGGTAACCGTGTTCAGTGATTCATTTAAATATTTTAGATTCCTTTATCTGTAGAAATTTTAAATTGCTTATCATTTGATGTAGTGCTAAAGATGTCTTTCCTAGAAAATTTAAAAGAAGAAGTTACAAAAGGTTGGAATACTGCTACTGCAGCTGTAAATGCCGCTTTTCAGGTAGAAAATAGTTTTTAAAAAATTGTCATTCTTAAACTGAATATTATTTCAAATTTTATCAATTGGTTAATATTATATAAGAATTAATATTTTGTTTAATTCAGTATTTTTAATCTTATTAAATTGATTTTGGGATATGTACATATCAATGATTTCTTTCTCTACAAACAAATTTTAGTTGACCGGGTGATAAATCAAGAGATGATCTGAAAACAAGGGCCAAAAGTCGTCGTTCTGAATAAAACATCAAAAAATTGCTGTTTATTCAATCCCTACTTTGTGATTCATGTTGTACGTCTTCATCATAGTTAAAAAGAATGATTTATAGAAAATGTAGTTATTATTTTAATTTTAAAAAAGATATATAGAATAATTGGCGCAAATATTAGGGGCATGAAAATTGGAAAAGTTAAAACAACAAAGGTGGAAAAACAATGGTTTATAACTTCAAATAATTAAGAAATTTAATGAATTTTTCCTTTATGGAATCAGAAAATTGTACTGTTAGTGTAATTATATGTGATAAATAAAAGATCGTGTGTCATTTTCATGCAATTATGGTGTTTTTGAAACTATAAATAAAATAAAAATTCACAAAAACATATTTGAAAGTTAACCTATATCAAGCACTTCATGACTTTTTGCAATAAACTGATGATATTATACAATTATTACTGTAAAATAATGATGATAGTAGTATTTTGAAATTAATTAATAAAATTAGGTTACATTAATATCATCCTAAGGAATTCATATTTCATATACATTGTATAAATAGATTGTGGATGATTTATCTATTTTAGAAAATTATTAATAACACTTATGAATCATAAATAATGGAGGACTTTTTGTAGTATATACCTAACCTAATAGGACCTTTATCAGTTAATACCCTCAGTTTGCAAAAGTTGTAGCTCTGACCACACGAGATCTAAAACAAAAGATTAATTGAATGTAATTTATATTATGGATTTTTATTCTTTCTAGTCTGTGAAGGAGAGCCTCGATGGTTCAAACAGCGTTGCTGTCACACCTCCTGCTGGAGGGGGTGATTCTGGTCCGGTGTCACTCACTGCTGAACAGATGGCGAAATTGAGGTCTGATCTGGACATTCTTCAGACGAATATGACAGTTTTTGGAGAAATGATAAATGAAATGACTCCAGGCAATGAACATCCATCTGACCTTGAACTTTTTCAAGTAACTAACTATATAGATCATTTTTTTATTATATTTGATCCAATATTATTCTTTCAGTACATATTGTAGTATATGTACTTATATCTACTTACAAACTTTTTTTTGTTATTTTTTAATAAAATAAAATTTGTTATGTATTTTAGGAGTTAAATACCACATTAAGACTGATGCAAGAGCGCTTGGTCGAGCTTATTTCTAAACTTTCAAATGACGAAATAACAGCTGATCTCTTGCGCATTAATGATCACCTGAATAATCTATTTTTGAGGTATGTTGTTTAAGTTAAAGTCAAGGAATAAACGATGATATTTTGTTTTGAAGGTTTTCAAATATTTCATTGTTATTTTTATACTCTACAGGGCTGATAAATTTATAAGAAAATGATTACAATTTCAAAGTATCTCGGTTTTGGATTTTCGGCTAAAAAAACATTTTCAACAAGGTACCTTTTATTTCCAATTTGTACTGTGCTTTGCTTGCGTGTTTTTGGAAGTCTTTTAACAATTTGAATTTTTAAAACCTCTTTTTTATTTTCAGTTTAAAGAGTTTTCAATTGAGATTTACATTTAAATTGTTTTATTGCTCCTCTATCTATTATTTCTTTTACTAATTAAGCAATTGGAATTGTGGTGACCAGTTAAAAAATAAATAAATAAATCTAACATGCAATTGATAGCTAATATTATCCTAAGAATCTTTCATTCTCTTAAATTATTGAACTGTTGTTTAAAAACTTTTTAGTTGTATGGTAATCGGTTGTTAAGAGTAATTAGTTTTTAGAAAAATATCTTTCTTGACAAAGTTATAAATAGTCAAAACTAAAACCAATCTTGATCAATAAAGATGCACAGAACTGTCAATTTATTTGTTTGAGTATGTAGATGAACTCTATTATAATATTGCTTCTAAGTACACATATATATTTTTAAAATATGGTACCTAAGTTTATGTTTTCATTTTGTTTTTAGATTGGAAATATATGTTATTATTCTCGTTTTTCAAAAAAATCTACCCTGCTTTTATAACTGCTATAATCAATTAAAAAAAAAAAAAAAGGCGAGAGAAAAAAGAAAATCACAGCCAGAAGAATTTGTTAGATAAATAGTGCGAACCTTTCATTTTTAATTTGAAATTGTTTTACTGATCCAAATGGAAACAGATGTCTACTTAATTACAAACTAAATTTTCTTACTGTTTATTTTATTTTAGTGTAAGTTTATCCTAATTTAATACTACTTCATCACGTTTTTGTTCATTTCAATTTGTAAAATTCAAATAAAGTTATGTAGTATTATGTAAAAGGAATTTTTTTTTATAATATTCTGAAAATAATAATGGCAATTAAATGTTGTCATAGGTTATTTTAAGTAATTAATCATCAACTAATCAGTTTTTTTAACCCTGCATTATGTATCATGTTTGATTACTATGGAATTTTCGCTTATTGTATTACTTACTGAAAGTTAAACATAATTTACTATCATTATTATTGAAATTAAAGTCATAAACTAACAAAATATTATTTACCTACATTTATCTGGATTAATTATAAATATATATTTCAAATTTACTCATTATCAAATCTCTACTTTATATGGCTTCCATACAGTTTGAAATTCTGAAACTTCTTGCATAATTTGCCACATAGTTAGTTCATAAATAGCCTCACTCCTCCACCTCTATTAGGTCCAGGGAGTGTCAGTCTCTCTTTAGACTTAAGGTTTCCTCAAAGTTGTTAATTAAATGAGATATTGAAAACAATCTCCAAAAATTACCATATGTCCCTACTTTGATTATTTAGGGAAGTAAAATTACATTAGCGTAGTTATTCCACCTAATACTCCCCTATGCTCTGGACTAGGGTAACGTAACACAGAATAAAACCTGATATTATTTCTAAATAAAATGGCCATAAAAAATATATAACTTATTTCTCTTTATGAGGAATTTTATTTATATTTTTTTGTAAAGGGACACTAGAACCAGGATAATATATAAAATAATAAAATTATTTTCATTCATTCATTCATTCATTATATTGCCTTCTGAAGCCAGAGCCCAAAATGGGTCTCATCTCAGATGAGGGTTTGAATTTAAATTGCAAAAGTATATGTTATTCTAAGTAAAATAGATCTTGTCTGCCATTTCAGAGCCACTGTGTTATAAAATGATGGCTGATTTAAAGAACATTTGGTCAGTAACTTGAGGATCGAAACAGGAAATATATTGTGAAAAATTTGGGAAACATTTTTGTGTTTTTAACTTGTATATATGGGTTAAAATATGTAAAAAACATAATTGCTAACATAGACCATACCACTTAACAAAATTGTTATGTTTAGTTACTCGTTCGATGCACATTTGAATGTTCTTTAATTTCTTGAACAGTATTATTTTCGCTTTGATGCAATGTTTAGGGTTGTAAAAAGTTTTTCTTTGGTTGCTCACATAAGAAATTTTTTTTTACATGTTTCAACCCTTATATACAAGTTAAAAAACTTTTCCCAAATTTTTCACAATACATTTCCCTTTCGATCCTCAGGTTACTGAACTAATATTTTTTAAATTGTTCACCATTTTTGAAAGCAGCAACTCTGGAATGGCAGACAAGATTCATTTTACTCACGATGACTTACACTTTCATAATTTATATTCAAACCTTTGCCTGCGATGAGGTCCATTTTTCGTCTCTGGCTCCAGAGCTATCTTCACGTTTTTGGTTCCGGTACAGTGGTGTTACTAAGGATGACTGTGCCCCAATGGAAGCATTTTTCAAAACTCCCTCTCCTGCACCTATAGAAATAATAACAAATTTTCTTCTTAGCCTTTAGATACTACTTCAACTCTCAACATTTTCCAAACTATGCTGCTTGTTACCATAATTAATGCCTCATATAATTCTTTTGAAGTGAAGAGTAACAAAATTCTTTAATTTTTTTTTCTTTAGGTTGAAATATTCTTCAGAAGATATATTTGTTTATGAACTGAGATTCCAGTTCAGTTATCGGTTGTATTTGTGTTATTTATGGCATTGTATCAGTACCAGAGAATGTCAAGTGTAATTAACCAATTAATACAAATTTGTATATCTTCATATTCTATTAATTACAAACCCTCTGAGGGTTTATTTCTATGTTAGTCTAGGAAGAATATTTATGTTTAATTAACATGCTGGCACATAACACAACTGAATTTGGAAAAAATGACTTATTTTTAGTAATATGATTTATCTTTATTTGTTTTGTGTTTTATTGACAGTATTTGTTTTCTCTAATTTTACTCATCTTTCATTATTAAATGCAATGTACGTGTGTAAAATGTTTATTTATTTCTCTTGTTCATTTTCTTGGTGATGCCATTTTTGTTTTCTTTATACTCCATGATACATGCATGTGATATAGATTGATTATTTTACATAATTTTTAAGTTACTTCAACAAATGAGTAAAATTATAATTAATAAAATATAACAGGATAGGATTATTAAAAAGAAAAATTATAGCATAATTGATCTAGTGGAAATCTCTTGTTTGTTGGTCACATGGCATTGTTTAGGATAGTTATAGAGGTCTTAATTCATGTCATTCATGAATCAATGTATGTCATTCACGGATGGAGATTAATGTCAATAAAATGAAGATGAGTTATATGTAAGATTCACTACAGTACGCTCATCTAGCACAGGCCTTGTGGCCACTAACTATCCAAAATATATCTCATGTGATACTTTATGTCAGTCCCAAAAACAAAAAGATAACATTATGGAGAATTAATGTTTCGTTCAGCCATAATTCAAGACAAATTTCATGTAGAAATCTTGGAAAGTTTATTCTTTCACTTTCTACTAGTCATACTTGAAATAAATATTTTCTTGTAATAATATTTCTTACTATATTTTTTACTGATCGATTGCATTAATTCAGTCACTTGAAATACAAAATATTTTCAATGAAGTTAATGGTTTTGTCAACACTTTTAGTTAAGTGAGCTCATTTTTTTTTCGTACTTAAACTAGTTCCAGAATTCTAAATGCATAAATAAAAATAAAAGTTATAATATTCTATTTGCCCATTTTTTTTTTTTTTTTTTGTGTGTGTGTTTCAGTAGAAAGTATACTTTTTTAGAGATGAGGTGTTTCTGAAACGAATGATTAAAATTAGTTTCAAAGTAATTAAATAAACGTGACATTTCGGTATTATTATTTTTGTTCTGTGGGATTAGGCTATTTATTAAGTTGTGTTTATCATTTGTTTACTGATGTGAATGGAAAATTGTGTTTTAGGTACAGCAGGTATGAGAAGAATCGTGAGGCATCTAAAGAAGGGCACACTTCGAGGGAACAGAACGGCCAAGAGTCCCTCATCGATTTGAACGACGAAGCATCAGGGCCTCTTCCAGAGATCACTACACAGGTTTCTAATTTAGGTAAAATAAGTTGGCAATTTATTATGTGTATATTTCTGTTAATACACCCTCGATAGATTGAATCCAGAAAAACTTAAAACACACTTAAGATATTTTTGTGTAGGGTATAGCTTTAAGAGAGAACTTAATTGCTTGTTGTATAAATCAGCCATATTACATACAGATTTCATTACAGCATTGTCAATATTTGTTACAAATTTACAATTTTGCTGTGTTTTATCTGATAATATTTATCTTGGTATTTGCATTATTTATGAGCATTATTGGCAAAGTTAATATATCATAAACTTTTTTTTTTTTTAAATTGCTTTTAATATTAGGTGGTCCGAAGCATTAATCAATACATTTTCACTATTGCTTAATGTTGGTTGGTCATTAATGAAATTCTTGATGCCATTTAGGTCTCGGAGGACAGCTTGCCAACTTAAATACCGTTTCAGCGCAATCTGGTTCACACAAGGCTGATAAAGAAGATGAGTTTGACACCTTTGCTCAATCGAGGAAGCTCGAGTCATCCAAAGACAGGTAAAATTTTTGCTAATTAGTTATAAAAAACTTGTTTTTTTGTTAATTGTATTTTTTATTTAATATAAATTAACATATTATATAAATTATTAATAGCTTCAATATTATTTGGACATTTGCAGTGGCAGTTCATATGAATCAAATCGGAAACCGGACCAGATAAGTGGAAGCCTTGCCGCAGCTGCTGAGGCCCGTGCCGCTCAGGGGACCCCTTCGGTAACTCTCTCTTATCTTCTCATTGTTTCATATTAAATTTATTTATGAACTTATAAATCTGTATGTATTACTGTCGCTCTATATAATTATACTTATTTATTTTGTGTATTGTTTTTATTGGGTGATGATGCCCTGTGATGTCCGCAGGAGGTTCTAATGGTAAGCTGTACAAGGACTTTAGAAGGCAGTTGTTCATGCTTTGCATGCTTTTCATTTAATTAACAGCTAACAGAAATGATATGTCCTGTCCCTTGCATTGTCAATTATCTAGAGATGGGTTTGATGTTATCTTCGTGCATTTTGATTGTTATTGTTTTAATTTTGTTATAAACCATAACTGTTTTTCCCTTTTGAAAATGTTTGTAATTACATTATTTTAGATTCTTTCTTATCCGACTTTGCTGGGATTTATTTTAAAAATAATATTACTTTTAAAAAAAATATATATATATGTGTATGATAGTGGATTAATTATTGACTGTCATGGATATATTGAAGAGGAGTTGGTTGGGGGCGTTCAGTCACAAGTAACAAAGTAAAACTAAATAAATTGTATTTATTTTTGCCAACGTTTTGTCCCAAAGTTTATGCCATCAGGGCTCTTGTTGTTGTTGTTGTTGTTGGCGTAAGGAGGTGGTGGCCCCATTGTCCAGTATAAGTACCGTATATAGCTATTGGCCCTCCAGGTTGGGGAAACATTATACTGACACTCACACAGTACACAAATTACAGCACACTATAATCGCCACAACATTATACACTAAGGTCAATAACAGTACTCATCCTAGGGCAACCTCCCCTAGGTAGAACTATTATTAATCGAAGTGTTCAACTATTAGCCTTCGCGGATGATGTGGATATAGTGGCTAGGTCAAGAAAAGCTATGGAGGATGCCTTTCTTGCTCTTCAGTCAACAGCGCTAAATATTGGTCTTGAGAGTAACGAGACCAAAACCACAATGAGTCATGAGTATTAAAATAGTCATGAGTTCGCGTCCCGATGCCCCGGGGGAGTCTTTTAAATCCCCGCCCTCATCCCCTGGCCTGGGAAAACCCAGGTTCCTAATTTTTGAAAGAAAAATATTAAGAACAATGTATGGCCCTGTTAGAAAGGATGAAGCATGGAGAAGGAGGAGGAACCATGAACTCTACAGTTTGTAACGATACATTGATGTAGTATAATTCATCAAGATGGGCATTCTCAGTTGGGCTGGACATGTGGCACACATGGCTGAAGAGAGAATACCCAAAAGACATGATTTGACGGAAAAGGAAAGTATTTTCCCTTTCCATAAAATCTTGTCTTACCGAGCCTTTCGTAAGGACAACAGCCCTGATAAAAGGTCTAAACTTGGCAATAATTAAAAATAAATGTAACTTATTTATTTTTACTTTGTTACTTGTGGTAGAACATCCAAACCAACTCCTCTTAAAAAAAGATCTATGTTCTTATATCACATATTATGGAGTAGTTTTTATTTGGACTATCTCAACTACTTGATTTGATCTCAGGATAATTTGGGAAGTTGATTTATTTGCCAATCATTTAATCAAAATGTGTTTACTGCTATTAAGGGTTTCATTGAATACGCTGATTTAACTATCCGTGATATTTGTTGAACAAATATTTGAAATTAACTATCCCTTTATCGATTGAGATTTTATAGTTTAAAGAATCAAAGCTAAAATTTAACTTTATATACACTGGATACCATTTATAGCATCTGATATAAATAACCTATTGATTATAGTGATGAATATTTCGGAACCTCTGTTTATCAAACCAATATAATTTTTATTGAATATAGCAATCAAGGTTATAACGACTTATATTGATGACCCATCGGACAATAAGGGATCGTATTTAGCGACAATGTTCCAGGAACTCAAAGGAGAGCCCGATAAAAAAAAGAAGAAATGAATTTTTACTAAATAAATTTCTTTTACTTTAAATTGAAAGAGATGGAATTATTTTGTGTTCTCAGTGGAGTGTTTACTGTTTAGTTTTATTTTTCCCTTTAAACAAGATATAGATATATGTCTCAATGAAAAACATTCACTCTGGAGGAGAAGATTCTTGTTTAGTGCTCTAAAAATTTCTAGAAATAGAACTTAGCAGTATTTCTATGGAAGTGCCTGATTCCATTTTCACATTTAACTGTTGTGTGTTATATGGTTGGTTATAACGACTATTACCTATAATGACTGAATAAGCCTGGTATCATTATAAACGATATCCAGTGTATAATTCATTGTTGGAATCAAATAATATTCTCATGTTTAAAAAAAATTCTGCCCACAGTGTTATTTTGCATGATAAGCCAAATGTATTTAAGAAATCTAGGATAGGATTATAGTCAGCAGCATAGTTGCATGGGTACCCATAGTTTTAGTTTGTAAATGATGAATAATTTTCAGTAAATTCATAAGTAAATTTTTTATTCTACTACTATATTTAATGTTGAAGAGATGACCTAAGAATCCATACTTTTTTAGCATTTATGATTTAAATCTTATTGCAAACATTATTTGTAAAATCATAAATTTTATTGAATTTTCTCTTACAATAAGTGTTGTTATCCGTAAATTTAAACCATTATTAATAATTTTTTTTTTAACGATTTTGATTTTCCTGTTTTACTATAAATTACTCCACCAATTTTATTCGAATCCCATGTATTCTTTTAACTAATTGTTATGCATGACTATTACCTTATTTATTATTGATTAAAAAGTCTTTACACATTGAATCGTACCTTAGGAAATTATTTGAGCTGTGATTTAAGGAAAACAATATAACACAACGCATGTTGGAAAAAATATTTTTCTTTTGTATCTCTGGAAATAGATTACCGATAATTTCTAATAATAATACAAACCTATTGTGTTTGTTCTTCATACAAATATTATAAAATAAGATTTTATGTCTTTCGTACTGTTTACACTTTAAAAATAAGCATCGTAAAGGTTAGTATAGTGTAATATTTATTGATGCACTTATAAGTTAGGAAGTCTGGGGGCTGGTATGGCAGAGTGGTTTGAGCACTATTTTAGTAAAGTTAAGATCATAGGATCGAATCACAGCTCCTACATCCGATTACAGATAGTTCCTTGATTAGGGAAAGTCTACAAGTTGAAAATATACTTGTAAAAACAGGCTACTGTTCAACAAAATTGATTCCTTCAACAACCCTCCCTAATCAAAATGTTATTTAGGTATACATATGTTACCAGAAATAAATTTCAATAAATTATTTGTTAATTGTTATTTATGTGGAAAACTAATGGGTTTGAAAGTGATTAGTTTATGTTTTTCTATAACTCATCTCTAGACATCACTTAAGGCAGTCTGCTATTACAATATAATTCTTCTTTATCATTCGCATTCTAAATTATTACGTGATATAACATTGACACAACTTTTGATTATCTATGAATGTTTAATTTTATCCTAGCGATAATAATCTATTTTAAATTAAGCTAATTATTAAATTCCCCCTGTAACATGATGATTTTATAGCCAAACTCATTTATTTGTTTGCATAGCACAATCAAGTTAATTAAAACTGACTAACAATGTTGATCTAAATGAACTAAAAAAAAGATTAAAACAAAAGAAAAAATTCTGTTGAGAAAGTTATGACATGAGCAAGCTATTGACCAACTTTTCCATATATATATCTTCTTGAAATCATATTTTAAATTAATAATTAAATAAATTGAAAATCATTTATTGTAATCATTAAGCATTGTAATTAACATTGTAGCACAATAATCTCCTATTGTATCTAAATTATAAGTAATCAGAAGTTAACCGGCTTCTTAACAGTATAACACTTATAGCATCCAGATTAACGTTCAGTTTCTTTCTTAAATGCATTTAAGAATATGTTTCAGTGTTATTAGAAATATTAAGTTCATGTTTGTTATTATTTTTTTAATTCAACATCAACAATTATCGTTACCGGAGAGTTAATTGATCATGAAAAAGCTTAAAACATGAAAAAGTTGAGCATGAATTGATTTGTCATTATTGAAGAGCATGAAGGTATAATTTAGAGGTATGAGACAGTTGCATTTATTATATATTTTTAAAATAGCATATCTGTCATCAATGTACCTGGCTGATTTGCTTTATTTTCATCAACGACATATAAGAGCCATTCAGGCCTGCATTTTAATGGTTTTTGTTATGATAGATAATTATTTTTTGTGGGTTAATATTGGGTCACAACTTATTAACATGTTGACTGCTGATCAACATAGGGTTTATAGTTTCTGTTGTTACCTATGATTTATAAGTTATCTCGTGGTTTGTTTACTTGCCATATTTGTAGAGATTTGATAAAATTCCTAGAATATCATTTTAAGTATGAATACAGGTTGGTCTTGATAATCTGAACACGATTTTATTGCATTTTTGGATTATCAAAGATTAAATTGAAAATTATGTAAGGTAACAAAAATATGTGTATTTTCAGTTCAATTTAAACGGATTGCAAACTTAAAAAATATTTCTGAAAATGATCATATAATGTACGTTGAGTCTCTGATGATATAGCTAAAGAAAACGCATAACCTTGCAACTTTTTTGCAAGTGCCAGACTTTGATAGATGTCATGAAATAAATAACTTTTATTTCACATTTTTTCTGAATAACTTCTGAACCATTTCCAAATGATAAATCCAGATTCATCGCCATGAGTGTCAAGCATCAATACATCTAGTACACTTTTTTAATTTAAGGATTAAAATTGTCATCTTTCTTTTCCATTAAATTTCCTTCCTTGTTAACACCTCATTTGTGGAAATCTATCGCTCCTAAGAATCAGAAAAGGGATGGATACTACTGTATTATATTGTCAGTCGATAATATGTTTAACTATTTATATAAATGAGTAAAAACTCACCCTAAGTTTTTTTAATGTTCTGATGCCTGAACTGGCGAAACTGGTTATTTTCTTCTTTACCTGCATATTAGGTGTGGCTCAATTTTCCAATTACAACCTGAAATGGATTAACTTAAATTGCCTTTTTACACATCTGATACGTGATATTTGAAGAGTGGTTTTGTATATAAATTTACTTACAGCCAGTTTTACATTACACACTGTACTTAGGGAAAGATAGAAATACTTTATATTACATAAAAGGCTTGTTAATTCACCAGAAAAAATACTAAAGAATCAACTATTAATGAAAAAGACATATGTTTAATTTTATAGATTTTAAATCATAGTAATATTTACCATAATTAAATTCAAGTTAGTGTTACTAATAATTTTGACAATTATTTGTCATTTTTTAAATATTTGTTTTCTGTATTACAGATGCATAAGGAGAGTGACTTTGATGAGATGGCCGCTTGGCTGGAAGGGGTGAGTGGAATATTGTAAAATTCATCCATTACTAAATTATTATATAAGAATGTAAAAAAATAAAGTGAAGAAAAAAAGGAGAGAATGAGGATTCTGAATGTTTGTTTTCCAAAGGAATACATATGATTTTATTTTAATTATTGAAGTTTTTAGTTTTGAAGATACAGCTTTAATAACATTTTATCTTAACCCTTTAACTGCTAACGATAGCATAGGCTAATGGCACCGCATTCCTCCCTCAGTGCTTACGACGATATATGCCGACGCACTGTTTTTTTTTCTTTCAGTTCGCTAATGTCGAGTATAGCCAACATTTGCTTCTTTCTACTGGTTTTCTAATGAAATAAAGCTTCTAACTAGAGTCTACAGATGATGTGAGAATTAACTTAGGAGCTTTTTATGTAGAATTCATGAACTGTTGCGGCTGACTACATACTTTCTCTGGCGCATCAACCATTTTCATTCTTGTTTTTACGTTCTGTTTGAAATAACCCTCAGTTACATTGTTCTTAGCCTTTATTTAGTTTATATAAATTTTATTTAGTTAGTTACATGGCTGTATAGAATTAGTGATTCTTTTGTAATAAGTCAGTCTTTTTTCTTTTTTGCTTTTTGTTTCGTTATTATTATTATTATTATTTTTTTTTTTTAATTGGTAAATCAATGGTTTACTGATATGGAAGCTGCCGAATTTCATGATGAATTCTTACCATCTTGTCGTTTTAGAAGGAACATAAAAAAACATACTAAAGACGAAGATGTCGTTCATTCTAAAAAAGATAATCAGCACAAAATACAAGTAATATGTCATGATTATGAGGTTGGTCTTTGTGTAGAACAAATGCTTTGAATAATGCCCCACAAAATTAAATTACTAAATATATTTAATTTAATATATATATTTAAACAAAAAAAAGTATTTTCTCTGCCAGTGTCAGTCCAACCCTTGTGTATTAAAGTATATACGCCATATTATCTGGGTGGCGTCCGACCTGGAAAAATGGGAAAAGTCAGAAAAAATTGTTTAAGTCAGGAAATTTTTTTTTAGTACGTAAATATTTTTGTCCTAATTGGAAATAAATAAACATTGAATATTGTTTATTCTAACCTTCAAGGGGTAAACTTTGTCGTTATAATCGACCACGGTCGCTATATTCATCAACCTATGACTGTCAATTATGATACTCATCGTTATAATGAAATCAAACAAGGATAATGAATAAAATTAAAGCAAAATGGACTTAAACAATGAAAATAAAACATACTAGTACTATACAAGCATTCATTCGTTTGACCCGTGGTGCTCCTTGAAAGAGTATTTTTAACCAGAAAATTCACAGTTGGTGTCATATGGATAATTATTATGCTATTCATAGTAATAAAGAAACTTAATTACTTATGAGGAACTACATTCATTTTAAAATCACCCGCAGCTCACTTTATTTTATAATAGAAAAAATTAGAGCTTTATATGTCAAGTATCAACTTTTATCTCCTCTCCGTTTATGAAAATGAAATGATGAAAATAAAAATAAATTACTAAAAGTTTAGTTTTCTAAAATCAAAAAATCTTAATCAAGCTTAAAATATGCTTCCTCTAAAACGTTATATTTGTTATTTAAAATACTGTTTTTTTTTTTTTACTCAATTAACTTTTTAGCCAATTTTCTTTCATATATAATAAATAAATTTATTTACAAATTATACATTTTTGATATTTGTGTCCCCAGATATATTGATCAGGGAAAACTCCCATTAAATAAGGAAATGTTAGATAATTTGTTGTTTCAACGATTAATTTTACATAATGATAATGTTAATTAGTTGACATAGTATTCAGCTGGAATAAGATAGATAAGTTCTAAAGACGTATTTGATGTTAAGATGAATACTTTGATGTTATATTTGACATTCAATTTATGACTTCAATAATATCACAGAAGACTTAGATGTTTTGTGCCAACAGTTTCTGCTGTTTCAGCTGTTCTTTTTCAAAATGCTATAAAACTTATTGAAGGTAACTAAATTTCGATTATCAAAAACGCAAATTAAGTTAATTTGGTGATGTTCAAGATTTAACCTTTTTCTTATAAATATGTCTGTTTAATAACGATACCATATTAAAAAGAGCATTTAAGGATTATTTATTAAGTCCAAACAATGGCGGTCGAATTCTGACAACTGATCAACTATGCAAATTTTGCTAATCAGTTCTCAACAATTATTGGTTATTATTAAAGTTTACCATAAAATTGTCAAAAATAACATAAAACTCATATCCTGGCAAAATAGCCACATAGCCCCTGAATACCGTATATTCTCTTCCCGCTCTTCTGGGATTCCCTAGTTTGTCATGCTTACTTTACGAAAATTGGGGGGGGGGGGGAATATTTTCTGACTGTCTTAGTTGATTCAAGATTTTGTTTCTAGTAATGTAACTAATTAATGATTTTATTATTTATCACTTTCAGGCTGGAGAGCAGAGTGTTCTTACTAGTTCTGAATTTGAAAGGTTTCTTGCTGAAAGAGCTATGGCTGCCGAGATTTCACCTTCCGATCAGGTAATAAATTCTTTATAACAATCGTATTGCTATATTAGATTAAATTGTTCTACTTATGTAAATTTATTATTGCAGTACTTTTATATATATATATATATATATATATATATATATATATATATATATATATATATAATAAATGTGCTGGTAGGCAAGGAACATCAGAGCTCGATACAAGATGTAAGATGTTATCATGGATCATTTTTTTATTTCAATTAAACAATGTTGAAGATTCAAGTGAATTTTTACAGAGGATCAAGTGGAAAGAAGGAGATCAGTAATTTGAAAAATCCTGAAGTAAAAATCAATTAGAGCTGAAGAACTAATTCGAAACCTTGGACTCAGAGAGCCTCATGGCAAAGAAACACTGGGAGGTGATAAAGACAGGGCTAAAATAAACAGCTAAGGAAGTGATAGGTATTCAGGATAAATGAAAAGGTAAGGAGTGGTTCACAGAAGCAGGTGAAAAGGCTGTAGAGGAAAGAAGAAAAATGAAAGTCCTCTACCTAGCCAAAATAGATCAAACAGCTCTGAACAATTATAAAGCCTTCCAAGAAAAAGGCAAACTAAATTATAAGATTGGCAAACAGGGAATTCTTCGAAGAAAGATTGCAAACCATTGAAGACAGCTGGCAGGCTGGAGATATAGGTGAATTCTACACAGATATTAGGATAGAAAGAGTAGGATATGAAGAGAAGTAAATATAAGGCAAATTAAGGGAGTTAAGTTCTAAAAGGATAAATTGGTGCTATAAAATGGCCACGTTAACTCTGTGCTTTCCATCACACATAGCAGCCACATTTTTTCTAGAATTGGTTATTCACATTTTTCTCTTCATTTTTTGTGGGTTTTTATTTTTCAGGAAATCTCCCATTCCATATAATAGATCAGATTCAATGTATGATGTATGTTAATCACAGGGTTATTTTTAGTAAATTTCAGAGCGAACTAAAATTAATTGACTATTTTTTTTTTAATGAAGAGAAATGCTGGTGGAAATACCAACTCGAGGGATGCAGACTTCGACAAGTTCCTGTCGGAAAGGGCAGCTGCAGCTGAAAGGTTACCCAGTGCTAGTAATAGGCAAAAAGGCAAAGACCCACAAGATTCTTCATTATTTTCACTTTAGGAGTAAGTTTTTCATTATATTTTATTAAGCTAATTGAATTTCTTTTATAAATATCTCCCTATTCTCCATTATTTTATTTATGTTTTATTTTTCAAGGTTTAAATATTTGCTTACAATTTTGTCTTGAGTCAATTTTTAGTTATTTATTTATTTATTTTTTTTTTAATTTTATTTTATTGAGATTTACAACTGTATTACATGGAAAATACAATAAGTAAATGTGACATTGGTAACATGATATGTACAGCATGAAGAGAAACTACCCATTGGTAGAACTCAAATTAAAGTTCTATATTAGAAGGTCCCGAGGCCATCTTCTTTTCAGACGCCTCGGAGGATTATCAGGGATCGAGGAGGAAGCAAGGTTTGAAACGAGAGGATTAGGATGGTTCTGCAGTTTGTTATGGAAGGATAGATATCTGAATTGGGCCAAATCGGAAACATATGGAACATTAAGGTCTTTATGGATGATTTTATTTGTGACAAAGTAAGGAGCGTTGAGGATTTTACGAAGGATTTTGGATTGTCAGGATTGGATACGAGAGGAATTCGATGGTTTAGTGGAGCCCCAAAGCTCAATTACGTAAGTCCAAATAGGTCTTATTATTGTCATATATATGAGTCGTTTGTAATTGTTTGTGAGCTTAGAGCGTTTGTCTAGTAAGTGCTGCAGTAGTCGAAAACGTCGGGCGGTTTCAAGTCGTTTCAGTCTGGTATGGGGGTAATTTTTATTTATTAAATTGTATTTATCAACCATTTGCTTGTGGTATACCTCTACATTTTAAATTAAACCTGAATAAAATTAATCGTTTTTTTTTGTCCATTAAAAAAAAAGTAATGTAGAGGAGTTGGTTGGGGTAAGCAGTCACAAGTAAAAATTAATAAATTATATTTATTTTTATTTTTTCTGAAGTTAGGGCCCAAGGTTCAGGCCTTTGTCAGGGCTGTGTTTTCATGAAGGGCTCTTCCATAAGATACATTAAACAAGATTGAATTTTAAAGAGGAGCATCTTCAGCACTTTAACGACCAAGCCATTCGAGTGAAACTTTATCTGTGGACCAAATTGTTTTTTCTCTCAAAAGTTTTAATATACTGTTAAAAAAAGTATCATGCAGTTTTTATTTTTAATAATAATTTAATCGCCGTAATTTAAAAAAAAAAATGGAGCGGGCTATGTACCCACCAATGTCTATAGAGATATTACAGTTTTTATTTTTTAATTTGTATTTTCCTATTTTTACCCTTCCTAGTTATATCTAACGTGCATATAATCATATTTCAATTATTTTTGGAAATTTAAACATAAACCTTTGATCAAACCCTCTCCTGGAAACCACACATCTCCCAAATTTCCTGTCGCACTATCTCTACCCTGAAACAGTTTAACCGTCTCTGCTATCTCCTTCCATATAAATCCTGACAACTCCTGGTTTCCTCCCTTGTGTTCCCCCACTTCGACTATGGCTGTCTGGTGTACGACGGACTCTCGGTAGAGTCGCCATGTTGAAGTCGCTCTATCTATCCAACCGCCGTCTGTACTTCCTTGCTACCTTTCTATACCAAGCCATCAGAACTCAGCGACCTTCCTATATTTTTCACAGCCTAAAAATTTAAATATTCCGTTCAATCCTGTCACACTAGATCCCTTACTTCTGACTTCTATCCACCTCCTCACCGAACTGCTGCATTTGACTAATCCTTTATAATTCAAGCCGTCTCCATCTGGAATAGCATCCCTCCCGATATCCAACATGCGCAATCAGTTTCCTCATTTAAATCTCTCCTTTTTAAGCACCTACTTTTTTCCCAACCCGATTGATCATGAAAAGTAGATAAGAGAACTTTTTAAGTTCCTCCAGAAATGATTTTGTTTAATTATGTTATTTTATGTTCACATGTTTGTATTATATATATTTAGTGTTTTTGTTTTATTTTTCTTCTAATATTTTAGTTTTGATAAGAATTGTAAATATTTAATTTAATTTTATGGCCTCACAGGCATTTCCTCTGTATCTATAATTGGGACAACAGTCCCAGGATAATAAAAATCTATTTTCATTTCATTTCATTTAAAAAAACAAGCTTGTTTGTGGATCTCAGTGGCCTGGTCCCTTGGGTAAACGACCTTTTGCACTAACTGTAGCGATATATTAAAAGACAAAAGACAAATAATAATGCCCAAAGATTCAACTATATTATTTTAGTCAATGACACCCCTCCCTATTGTGGAAGAATGTATGTTTTAATATATTAGAATGAATTGTCATTTTGTTTATATCTGCGCATTTTCAATTTTTGTAATCACAGCCCATCAATATGATTTAACTTGATCCTAAATGTTGTGTAAGATTGATGTGAATTCATATATTCTTTTATTTATTCTGTTTCAGTTGAGGTGTTGGATTTAAATATTACCTAAAGTTCTAGTTGGATCGGAGGCCTGCAAACAGTACTTACAACTCTTTGAAATGGTTTGATGGCCAAATGAATGTCTTATATACTAATTATTGTCTTTCTGTACTGGAACAGGAACGATTCTATTGTTTATTTTAATTTTCAGAAAACTCTTTATTAATAATACATGAAATGGTATTTTATAATAGTATATGTGATCGTTTATTGGTTTTCAATATGTATTAAATAATTCTAATGAGTGATATCAAAGAAATTAATGAATTTTTACACTACTTAGGAATCTCTTTAAGAGAGAATATTGTAAATCACCATTTTTATAAAAAAACAAAACAAAAAAAATATTTTTTCTTAAGTATTTTTCTTTTTCCTATAATTAAATATTTATTAATTATATTTAATGGACTGATCGCTAGTATAGACTTTGTGAAGTGTATTTTTGACTTATGAAGGAGAGACATTACAAACGAGGTTAACATGAAGAGTCTAGCCATAAATTTTAATAATTTTATTAATTTTTAGCCTTCATATTTTTCAATGCATGAAACCCGTTATTAGAAATAAAATGCAACTTTAGATGCTATTATCTGCTTATATAATGAGAACTAATTTATCTTTTATGGATTCCATTAAATGTATATCATTGTACAAGGTAAATGTTTATAATACTATATGTGACCAAAGTGTTTAGTAGAATATTATATATGTTTTATGGTATCTGCTCATTTCGGGTTGAATGAGCTAATTATTATATCACTGTTTTATCTTAGCTCTTGAGTTGTGGATCTACAGTAGACTCTCAATAACTGATTTCTGGTGGAACTGTGCAAACTTTTGGTTATATATATATATATATATATATATATATATATATATATATATATATATATAATTATTTAAACTGATAATGTGATAACTTGATTTCATATATGTGTGTATAAATATAAATATTAATTTAATTCATATTGATACACCCATGTATTAAATTGAGTTGTCTGATCGATGGTTTAATTTTATTAAGTTCATACCTTCCATGAACAACCTACTCTAGTCAAAGGATTTTTTAGATGATATAATGTTAAAATGCTTAATCTTATATTTAATTTGATTAAATTTATGTATTTATAAAAGTACATATATTTGTATGTTCTTAATATGCTTACATTAATTTTAGCAAATCACAAAAATAATAAAATAATTAGTTACATGTGTAACTATTTTTTTCTTATATATATATATATATATATATAGAGTTAATTACTATATAATTTATACATATAATTATTATATAAAACATCAGCATATTATTGAGAGTCTAATGTATTTGTTTTATTTCAAAATTTCCTCATTATAGATGGCATATTAAGCTGGCTTAATTTTTAAATATTTCCTCTCACAATTAGTTAAACCTTTGTAAGAGATTTTATTTATTTTAGTAAAAGAACCATCTGATATATAATTGTGTATATGTATATGTATATATATATATATATATATATATATATATATATATATATATATATATATATATATACTTCCATGTATAAAATCAGTGCATTAAATATTACAGATTTAATTAATTGGTACATAGCATTATGTATAAAATATGTGTGAATGAAAATTAATTTTCTTTTTTTTTTTACTTTTGTTATGAAATATTGTTATTATTGAAAGTGTTTTATGAACACTTTAAAAGTGTATAAGTTTTATATTTAATTTTATAGTTTATGGCTTCACAAAAGATTTTAAATCTGGCGATGTGGATCAGAACCACTGTTCCTATCACCCATCATCATCTTTGCCAGGTTGATTGTTATTTTTTAGGACAAGAATGGAATATCGAGAATTGTAGAGGAATATTTTAAAATTTCAAGCTTTTGTTACTTTCTATGAAGAGGTGTAAAACTAAAAAAAAAAAAAATTATATCTGAGCACATGGCATTAGTTAATTCGACACATAATAAGCCACATATAATTTGGATGTATGTATTATATGTATATGCGTAAATGAAAATAATTATTTTAGTTATTACATATAATAAAAATATATTTATCAGCAACACCTTAAATTGTATAAAAAAAGTGTTGTCACTAATGTGTGATTTTATTTTATGAATTTTTGATTTTAAGTAAAGAAGATGATTTTCATAATGATTTATATATTATTGTAATACAGTTGTATATTTTGTTTAAATTGTTATATTTTTGAAAGCCTGTTGTGCAGATGATTAAATAAATATAATATATTGGTGTTAATATCAAAACTAAGTATTTGTTAATTTTTTCCAAATTTTCCTATCTAGATTAAAGAATTTTCATTATCATTTCACAAATCAATATTAAAGCTATGAATTTTGTCATTGATTTGGGTTGATAAAACTACAGACAAAAGCCATTACACAAAGTAAACAAGATAGTTTAATTACCAACTACAGTAAAGAGCACCTACCAATAAGCCACACAGTGACTTTATAATTAATACTATTAATTATATTAATAAATATGATATATTATAAAAACAATTATATTAATGTTTTAATTAAGTTACTGTGATAAGGTAGAACCTTTAGCGATTCAGAGTAGAAATGGATTGTTCTTTTTAGGGAACCAGCATTTTTTTTAATAGTTCTTATGAAACTACTTCATATAAGCTACAGTGGCTTAATAAAACAGTGTGACCATACTGATATGGCGGCCATATTGGATTGACCATAAAGTAATATTTGAATATTAGTAAATATGAATATGAATATTAGTAAATTTTACTTTTTTATTTCAATTTAAAATGTAATTATTACAACAAACTATTAACTATAATGGTTTGGAAGATAAAATTGAAGTTGGGCAAGTTGAATGAAGCCTATGAATCAGTTATATACACAAAAATAAATAATAAAATCAAAGAACAATATTTTGTTTTCTTTTATTTAACTTTTTAAAAAATATATTTCAATAAACTTCGACATATTGCAATTTCCATTTTATTCATCTAATTCTCTCATCGACAAATTTCTCAAACAAATTTATGTAATTATTAAAACATTAAACAAAAAGTTAGTGAAAATTAAGTTTCATTGGAAAACTACAAACTTTATTCTAAGTCAACAACCATGAAACTGTTTTGCTTTTTCTTAATATTCCCCTTTGAAAAAAAAATTTTAATAAATGTAAATTTAATAAACATAAATTATTTAACGTAAATTTCTATCTATCTATACTGGCTCTACAACCCGCTTAACGAGACATGGCCTCTGCCAACAGCAACCGCCAGCTGTCCCTGCTTTGTGCTGTCACCATCCAGTCTCGAACTCCTAGCTTCCGCCTTCTTTGTCCACGCTGTCCCGCCATCTTAACTTTGGTCTTCCTACTCGTCACGCTCCATGCAGGATTTCAACCAACACCTTCTTTGGGATCATGTCTCTCATTCTAGCCATATGACCTGCCCATCTGAGACAGTCTGCTCTTATAAAATTGACAATATTGGTTTCATTAAAACGCTGGTAGATCTCCTGATTTTTCCTCCTCCTCTCTCCATTCATATACACTGGACTATAAATTCTTCTTGGAATTTTTCGTTCAAATATTAGGAGGTCCTGCTTGGCTGCCTTGGTTATCGTCCAGGTCCCTGATGCATAACTTAAAACCGGTCTGATAAGAGTCTGCAATAGTCTGTGGAACAAGATATTTTATATGCGCACGGGAGCAGAGCCATACCGTGATAGAGCATTTCAATTGGTTTCCCTTCTTGTAGATCAGGCATATGACTGTCTTCTTCCAGTCTGAAGGTATTATTTCCTCAGTCCAAATGCTCACCAATAAGTTGTGAAGGAGCTTGAAGAGTTCATTGCCTCCATGCTTAAATAGTTCTGCAGGAAGTGCATAAATTTCTGGGGTCTTATTATTTTTTAGTTTGTTGAGGGCCTCACTGACCTCATCTTCATCAAGTGGTTCCAGGTCATCCATTCCCTCCTGACCGAAGGGCAGCTCCGTCCCTTGACTATCAATGCTTTGACCATTCAAAAGCTTCTTGAAATACTTTCTCCATTCTGCTAAGCAGACTTGTTCCTCAGATAGGAGAGCTCCCTGGTCATCCATACACATTGAAGGTATTTGTTTGAATGATCTATTGCTATTAACTTTATGATAGAACTTCCTGCTGTCTCCAATGGTCCTTGATTCCTCCAGATCCTTCAACTCCTGAATAATTCCTTCTCTCTTCTTTCCCCGATGCAGCCTCTTTTCTTCCCTCCTTTTCTACCTACAGTCTTCAACTGTACCGCGTGTGCGCCTGTTGATCATCAGCTGGTATGCTGCATTTTTAAATTGTGTAGCCATTCAACAGTCTTCACCAAACCAGCTTTTCCTGTTATCCTTTTCAGCATGCCCTAGAATGGCTTCAGCAGTTTGTTCGATAGTTTTGCGACAGTTACACCAAATGCCACCTACACTGTCTTCCATGTCCTCCATGCATTTTAACTGTGGGTCCAGTGCTGCGGCATAAGCCTCCCTAATCTGAGGGTCTTTAAACTTGACGATTCTAAACGTTTTTCCTTTTGCCTGGACCCTGGGTGGGTTAACAGCATTTCTTGAAGCAACATGGGGGGGCTTGAAGCAATACTGACGAAATGGTCAGAATCAACGTTGGCGCCTCTGACATCAGTGATGCTACTAACGTGGCTGTTGCTGAGAATGTGGTCAATCTGGTTGACTGTGAGCCCATCAGACCATATCCAGGTACCTTTGTGGATTTTTTTTGTGTGGGAAAGTTGTGCTTACAATTTTAAGGCTTTGGAAAGCAGCAAAGTTGACTAGTCGCCAGCTGTTGTTATTGCTCTCTTCATGCAAACTGTATTTACCGATGGTTGGAACACAGATATCCTCCCGACCAACTTAAGCATTAAAGACTCCGGTAATCATTTTAATATCGTGACGAGGTAGGCAGTCCAGTATATCGTCGATCAGGCCATAGAAATCACCCTTGTCTTCATCATTATTTTCTTCAGTTGAGGCATGTACACTAAGGATTGAGAAGTTATAAAACCTCCCGCGAACCCTAAGCACAGATATCCTTGGACTTAATGGCGTATATCCGATAACTAATCTTCTCTGAATAATTTTCTTAAGGTGAATCCCATCGCAAAGGTATGTACCAGAGCTTTGCAACTGTGGTTTCTATTCTCTAGCATGCCATGGCCTATCCGCCGGATCTCTTGGATGGCGGTTATGTCCAATTTATATTTCGTTCAAGAGCACATTGAGTGTTCCGCGTCTATACAATAAAAGAATATTCCAGTATCCAATATTAAATCTATGACTTTTGCCGGATCTTTTCCGTGAATCTTTATGAATTTCTGAGGCTTTTGCTTGGGGTTTCTTGACTGTTGAGTTTTCGGACAGTGGGGCTTTCGACCCTACTACGTGCCCTAGTCTCCTGAGGCTGCCACCTTAGTGCTTGTAGACCTGCACTCCCTCCGGGGCGGTTACCTAGGAGAGGTGATGCCAGGGTTGTACTGTGGGTGACCTTCGTCTGTAGTGTGTGGGTGTATGTAGTGTGCTGTAGATTTTGTACTGTATGGGTGTCAGTGTACTGTTTCCCCAACCTGGAGGACCAGTGGCTATTTGCGGTACAATGACCGGGCGATGGGCCTAAATATAAATTATTTAATGTAAATTTAATAATTATAAATTATTTAATGTAAATTTAATAATTATAAATTATTTAATGGAAATTTAATAATTATAAATTATTTAATGTAAATTGAATAATTATAAATTATTTAATGTAAATTTAATTTATTTATTTTTACTTTGTTAATTGTGACTGAACACGCCAACTAGTGCTGCCCAAATGCGAGACCAAGACATGTCATTGATACCCTCTATAATAATAATTCATCTATAATAACAGCTTATTATTATATAAGGTATCATTTGATACCTCATTCGTAAAAATCCGTTGTGATCAAATTTTTAGTGAGAAAAAACTAAGGCTATAATGGCCTTGGTTCAATTTTGAAGAAAACAATCTTTTTGTTCCATTGCTATTAAAATTCGTAAGGTTCTTCGAGGTGCTAAATACAAATCTGAACTCTGTTTCTCTGTAAAAAAATGTCTGAGATATTTGCAAATAAAAATTCTTCTCTTTCTTCCATAACATTTTCCAATGAAATTTCGGCGATTATGGTTTTTCACCCATCTTAAATACTCCTTAATTTGTAAAAATCCGTTGTTATCAAATTTTTAGTAATTTACGGGAGAAAAATGAATTTTTATTTTATTTCAAACATTCAATGCGCAATACAGAGGTGTTCAACAAGAAATTGTTTATTGCAACCAGAAATATCTTCGGGCTAACAGCTAACAGTTGATTTTTAACTATTTATCTGTTGCTGTTATAGTTAATTTAGCTAGAGCTTTTGGCAGTTAGGTACAGAAACAGATTTAGGCAAACTTATTTCCTCATCAGAGTCCAACAAAACATCGACATGAAATTGAAATGATATCTAAACACTAATAGTTTTACTGAAAAAATATACAATAAACTTAATTAGGTAATTGGATTTGCATATTTATTAATTGAATATCAATATAGATATAGATAAAGTTTTTTATTTTCTTTGTTTTTGGCAATAATTATTTATTTTTTAAATGCGGTGTGAACAATGATTAAAGTTGTTATATCGATAGGGAAGTCGATAGGTCCGTGTTCATTATATTCCTTATCTGTCGATATTTGACTGTAAATAGAGGTCATTGGATTTGACAAGCTGGGAATGGGGTTATAGCCTTGTTTTTTGTTATTAATGTTCCAAAATTATTTTAATGGCTCTCCCTAGAAGTAAATTATAAAATGAAACACTGTCTATGATATGAAAAGTTAATTACTGTATGTTGTATTGGGCAACAAAAATAATGGATAAATCATCTGAGTTCAGGGTTGATAAAGGGAGGTATGAATACAATTAATTAAATTTCAGTTATAAAATCAGTTTTACATAAATTTAAAGTCTATTGAAACATAATTAAAAAGTTGATGTTGACACCATTATAACCAAACAACTAACAAAGTGATCTGGATCTTGAGGATTCTTTTGATTGTTTATTTCATTAGGCACAATAAGTAATGTTAGTTTTTTTATTTAAATAGTTATGCTGAAAATGTCAGCTCTTAGTTTAAGTATGTGGAATTTCTGAACTTGTTAGGAACATTGAGAAATAACATTTGATTGACTATTCTAATTTTAATTTAATGTAATCACTTATATTATTTTGTGGTATTTACGATATGAATGAACTCATATGCACCCACAATTTTTTATTAAAAACAATATCTTAAAAAGTATTTGTCCCTGTTCCTATTATAACCACTCCTTTATTTTATAATACTTTCCACCATTTAATAAGTATTTATATTTATGTTATTTATAAACTACCTAATATTTGGAAGTATAATAATACTGTAAATTTTCACTATCATTTTTTAAATAACTCATGTTTTTTTTGTATCTAATCTCAGGAACCATATATTTTTGACTGATGTATGTAATAGTAGATGTATCAATTTAGCTTTGAATTTATTAATACCACTTGTTTGCTTTATGTTTTCTTATAGTTGTTTATTGCTTCGCTATGCAAGTCAAAATTCACTTGATGAAAGTTCTCAGAAGCAGATTCCTAGAAATAGTTTCAGAGAGAAACCACCATATCGGAACCATTCCCACACCCAAAGGGCCTTCGAGGTTTTCAATATTATGAGAAAGTAAGTTTTTTATGTTTAAGGTATTTAGTTCCTTGTGCTTTTTCTTGTTATATATTTTAATATTTAAAAAGTTTGCTATATATTTATTAAATTTTGTGCATTTAATTATTTATTCAGTCTAACTGTTAGTATGTAATACCAGTACATATTGTTTACACCGAATGTTTCCTGCTCCTCAGGACTCTGAATTAATATTTCAGGAGCCTTATTTATAATGTTCGTTCCGTAATACTTTTGTTGCCTCCCATAGGACTTTTGAAGGATGTCCTTGGAGTTGAAGTGATTATAGTCAACTGGTCATCTCTCAATAACCTCTGCTTCCTCATTGCTTGCAATCAAGTTATTCATATTTTATCTCTAAGGCTTAAGAATCCTAGGTATCTTTACATTCAAAGATATCTTGAATTCAATGACCGAATTTGAATGTTATTAACAGTTTTTCTCCACCTTGAATTATAAAATCCTAATCCTCTTTGATTTGTATATCATCAAGGGGTTTCTTAGTTGATTTAATTTTTTTACAAACGTTAGTATGCCATGTGTTCTTAAAAATTCTTTCTTTTTTCTTTCAATGGTACTACAGCCCGAAGTGCAGCTGCTTTCCTATTTCAAACACTTTAAAGAGGCGTCCTTCATAACTCTCTCGATCTTCCTCTTTCTCTCAACCGGTCCAGATTCCGAAATAGTAGTTTTTTGGGAATTTATTGCTCATTCATTCTTGCTACATAACCTGCCCATCTCAGTCGACTACACTTTATAAAAGGAATGACAGTTACTTCAACAGATAGTTCATATATTTCTCTGTTATAGAACCTCCTCCACTAGCTCCCTTCCGTAATGGTTCCAAAATATGATGCAAAATCTTTCTTTCAAAGATAAGGAACTCTTTCTCTTCTGAACTTGTCGGAGTCCACATCTCTGAGGCAAAGGTTAATACCGGTCGTATAAGTGTTTTATAAAGTTTGCAACTTGGTATGACAACACAAGGCCTTAACTGTTCGAGTACTTTTTGAGGAAAAAATAACAGCAATTTGCCTTCTTCGTTCATTGGCCATCCTCAAAAGATATTTTATTCCAGCAACTATTTAGCCCGAATGTAAATTAGTCCACATTTTCAAATTCAGATGATTGTGTCAGATTCTCTGATGAAATAATCTGTTCTTGAGCCAGCTCTCACCTGTTTAGTTTTTGTCTTTATCTATAGCTAGTCCCATAAAATTAAGTTCCTATTTTTTATATATTTAAGTTCCTATCATTTTATAGTTTTTAAAAATGAACTGTCTTGATTTTTTATATGCCCGTTTTGCTGTACATCACATTCTCGTTTTTTACCTACCCTTATCCAAGAGAACTATTCAATGATACCATCTTACCTTTTTAATTATTTCCTATTTGTTTTTATCCATCCCAAATGCCTCACAGAACTTAACGTTTTTCATTACATTGTAACTTAAATTGAAATAAAGTTGTTTGACATGAAATGAAAACTACTTAATATATCATACTACTGAAATTAATTATCTAGTTAGCTATTACTATTCAAAATATTTACCGTTTTATCTATTTATGATAGTTGTAGTTCTATTGTCATAATAGGGCTAAGGCACAATTTCTATCTTATTGTTTTTTAAATTTGTTATTCAAAATAATAGTTTTTTTAAGACAAAGCTATCTTGATGGGACTGTCCCTTGAACAAGATCCAGTACTTTTACTCTTAACTTTTGGAGAACTCTGATTTAAACTACTCATGTTCATAAAACGCATTTATTTTTATTGAAAAGCATCTGTATTGGTCAATGTAAATAAAAAATCCCATGGATATTCCCCTTTGTCTACCTTTTCAAAAATAATAACATTTTTAATTTTTAAAAACCTCATCGACAAGTGATAAGTATCCTATGGTAACAATGGCACCTATGAGGCTATCAACAAGAATTATGATTTATCTCGATTTTCATTGAGTTTTATTTGGATATTCAAACCTAATCTACATTCAGTAAACAGCACCAACCTGTGTTAAAAAATAAATAAATAATAATAATAATAATGTTATTGCAGCTAATTTTCTTTTTCATAGTCTTTTCATTAAAATTAAGTTTTACAAAGATTAATTATTCATGCTTTCTTAGAAAAAATGAAGAATAACTTTATTTTCTTTTGATGACTATGAAACAGAGTGGAGTTACATGAACTGGCTTTTCAAGAATAAAAAAAAGAATTTTCTAAAAAATCTGAAGTTAGGGTACATGCTGAAGGAAATTTTGTTGAAATTTAGCGAATAACAATTCAGTATTGATATTATTGTATTTTTATTATATTAATCTTATAGAACTACTTCTGTCCTTACCAAGATGCTTTTCAAATCCATCTAAATTAAAAAAAAAAAAATTAGGGAATATGTATTGTTGAGAATAGTATTATTGTACTAATCTTATAGAACTACTTCTTATCTTACTAAGATGCATTTCAAATCCATGAAACATCCATCTAAATTTTAAAAAAATTTAAATTTAGAAATAGTATTGTTGCACCAGTAGTTGACAATTTTTTATTTGGAATGTTCCTAAAGTTGAGAGATATGTGAATAAGGGTGTAATTATGTGAAATAAAGTGTTGAAATTTTATATTCTTAATTTTAAAATAAATATTACATTACCTTTATTATTATAAAACTAACTTAATTTCGTTTCTTGATTTCAATTTTATTTTAACTTTATTTTTGAATTTGGGATACCAAGAACCAGCAAGTATACTGTCAGGAAGAAGAGTATGGAGTAAAACGTTGGTAGGCATGAGGGAGAGGAGTGCCCTGCGGCGTCCCTTCCTATCTTGATCTAATATTTATAGTTAGTGGAGGAAAAGACTTGTCCAGCTTCTTTTGAACCTCCTGCGAGTGCTATTATTTGTTTATTTGTATTATTTGTATGTAGTTGTTAACTGTTGGCATCTGTAAGTCTTCAGTAAAGTAATGTTACTAATCTACCTGGGAACTTTGGCTATAGTCCTGAAGAAAGTTTATGATTGAAAAATCTGTAGTTTGCATATGTGAGTCTTTTTGGCTGTTCTGGATATCATAAGTGAAGATAACATAAAGTGAAGTATAGGTCCAAATGGGCTTAACTAAGTATACGTATGTATTCAATTTGTGACTAAATTTTAATTTTGAACGTCTTGAAAGAAATGAATATATAAGTCATATAAGAATAAGTAGTAGTCTTAGGTTTACTGTTTTATCCAGGAAACGTGGGCCCCATGTGATTCTTCTATCAAATGTCAGTCCTAAATATTGAAATTTATCTGTCTGAGGAATTTAAACATTGTTGAGGTAAATGTGAGAACAAGGTGAGAGACTTTCCTAATTTGACCCCCATTATATCGGTTTTTGTTTCCATCAAGCCTAAATAAAAGTAGACAAACATAAGAGAAAAAAATCTGGTGTGCGCAACACACAACTTTCCCTTACCATTCTACTTTGAATAGAAATTATTTTCTGGCAATGTTGGGCTATTATAAAATGTTTGTAGTGCATTTTAAATGGAGCTAAAGCTTAAAGCTGACAGTTAACAAATCACTAAGACCATTAAAATTACAAAAACTCTATTTATTATATCTACGGTAGGCAATACAAATCTAGTTACTCCATCTGCTTTTATAAACCACATAACTTCAGTCTCTGAGCATTTCAGTTGACAGAATGACTGACTCCAATTTCAAAATTTTTGAGTAATGCTATTTTAGTCATATTTCTAGTAGGAAAAGTTATATCCGTACAGACAGTGAGTAAGTAGATTCCAGAGTAGGTGATTGCAGTGTTGAAATATAGAACTGTGAATAAAGGTATGAATTTTCCTGATAGAAACATCACTAAAATTAATAATGAAGAATATTGAAATTGAAGTTAGTCATTCTGTCAACTGAAAGGCTCTTATATGCCTAGAGAGATTTGAAAGTACATCTGATTATGAATTGTAGGATTATTTGTTATTAAACTGTTATTTTCCATTGTAAAGTTCACTAAAATGAAATTGCGTGATTTTCATTCCCTGTCATGGATAGGTGAAATATTAACCACTAATTGGAAGTGGTTGGGATTTCAGAAAGAAAATAATAATAATAAAGCTTAGCGAACCCGAAGGTTCGATGCCGACACCACCAATCGCTTGTTACACACCTCCCTCCACCGTTCGCCATCCAAACTCAGTCCCTTCAGATCGGCTTTAATGCAATCTTTCCACCTTCGCTTCGGTCTACCCCTCGGACGCTTACCATTCGGCACAGCAAATGTTAGCCTTTTAGGAATTCTCTCGTTACTAAGCCCAACAACTTTACAAGCCCATTTGATTCGCCGCGATGAAATTACCTCAATTATATTACCCGGATACAGCTCACGCAATTCGGCGTTGTGTAACCATCTGAACTCTCTGATTAACTCATCCTTCTTCGGTCCGAATATTCTACGCAATACTTTATTTTCAAAAACCTTAAGACGCTGCTCATCCCTTAATGTAAACGGCCAAGTTTCGCATCCATAAAGAACTGTAGGCAAGATAATTGTTTTATAGATTCTAATTTTTAAGTTCCGGGACAAGAGGCGCGAACTAAGTAGTTTTGTCACAGAAAAATAACAAGCATTTCCCGCCTTCAGTCTAACCTTAATCTCTTCTTCAATTTCGATTTTTTCTAGTTATCGTAGAACCTAGATTCCTAAATTTATCTACCTGTTCAAACATATTACCATCTATATCGATATCACCAGTAGTATCGCCATTTTTGCAGCTAACCATATATTTTGTTTTATCCACGTTTATTTCGAGTCCTAGTTCTTTACCTGCTTTCATTAACGTTGTCGTATTTAGTTTTATAGTTTCAACATCTTCACTTAACAGTACCGGATCATCAGCATAGCCCAGCACGGATGTTGTCCCGCCCAGATCCAACCCTTTCTCGGTTCGCATTATCTCCCTAATGGCATGTTCTAATGCCAAATTGAACAGGACAGGTGAAAGAGAATCCCCCTGTTTTAAGCCCGAACGAACCTCAAATTTTTCGGACAAATTATTACCGATTCTAACTTTATTGAGTGTCTCCGTCAAGCACATCCTGACTAGATTTACTAGTTTTTTTGGAATCCCTTGCTCGATTAGAATATTATACAGTTTCTGGCGGTCAATAGAATCGTAAGCCTTTTTAAAATCTATATACAGCTGGTGAACAATACCGTTATACTCCAATTTTTTCTCTAATATTTGCCGTAAAGAAAATATTTGATCAATAGTCGAACGATTCCGTCTAAATCCGCATTGGTAGTCTCCGGTAATTTCCTCGGCGTATTCCGTGATTCGACTGGTTAAGATTAAAGTGAATATTTTATAACATACCGGAAGGAGTGAAATTCCTCGATAGTTATTACAATCCGTCCTCGGACCCTTTTTGTGAATCGGAATAAGAATAGATTCTTTCCATTCTTCAGGTAATTTCTCGTTCACCCAGATCTTTTTAACCAACCGATGTATTTTAGAAACTCCAGTTTCCCCGCATGCCTTAATTAGTTCAGTAGGAATATTATCGATTCCCACTGCTTTATATGATTTTAATTTTCCGATAGCTACTTCAACTTCCTCTTTACTTGGTCCTTCTATTAACGGTTCAGCACTCTGGTACTCAGAAGGAGGACACAGATCATAATTTCCCGTATTTAAAATATTGTCAAAGTGGTCCTTAAACTTGTTCAATATGTCAACCGGATCGGTCAGAATATTGTTATTATCATCCCTAATTCCAGACGTTACGGGCCCTACATATTTACGTGATCTGTTTATACCTTTGTACATGTCTCTTACGTTATTTTCGATTCTGTTAGTTTCGATTTCAATTATTTTATTTTTAAGATACTCCCTTTTTTTATTTTTGAGCAATTTTGTCGTTTCGTTCTTTGAGATTCGGAATTATTCCAGATTGTCTTCGCTAGGATTATTTAGAGCTTTTAATTTAGCGGCTTTTCGTTTTTCACACATGTTTAAGCAATCTTCATCAAACCACGGTTTGTTATTCTTATTTTCCTTTTTTCCTAGACATGAGTTACCGACCGCTTTAATATTATCCCTGATCTCTACCCATAACTTGTCAATATCCTCGTGGCCCTCGTCAGGAAGCTCTAAAGCTTCAAACCTATTCTTAACATCTAGCTCGAATTGGTTTCTAATTGATGGATTTTTTAATTTGTCCAAATTAAAATTCTCAAAATCGAAATGGTTTTCTTTTCTCTTTTTTATATTAAGTTTTTGTCGAAGTTTCGCAATTACTAATTCATGATCCGACCCACATTCTGCTCCGCGATAAGACCGTACATTGATTATACTGCTTTGCCAGCTGTGTTGTATCAAGACATGATCGATTTGATTTTGTGTTTGCGAATCCGGTGATGTCCAAGTATATTTATGAATATCCTTATGTTTAAACGTAGTACTTTTAATTATCAGATTTTTCGAGATGGCAAAGTTTATCAGACGGATCCCATTATCATTACTATATTCGTGCAAACTTTCTTTACCAATCGTCGGAATATAAACTTCTTCCCTTCCTACCTTTGTGTTCGCGTCACCTACAGTTATTTTCATGTAGTTTTGCGGTAGTTTATCATAAACCCATTCGAGTTTATCGTAAAATTCACTTTTGACTTCATCGTCACTGTCTTCGGTCAGACAATGTATGTTTATTAATGCGATTTAAAACCAACGTCCCTGAAATATAGCTACCGAAATTCTATCACTAAAGAATTGTACGTCACTCAAAGCGGATAGTAATCTACTCCTAATTAGAAAACCGTTACCTAAACAATGATTCCCGCTTCCTCCGTACCAAATAGTGTACTTTCCTTCCCTCATCGAGCCCTCCCCTGGCCAGCGAACCTCTTGCAGTGCCACGACATCCAAATTGTACCCATTTACCTCATTCGCGACCGATTTTAGCTCCCCTGCTGTGTTTAAACTCCTTACGTTCCACGTACCAATATTTAAATCCCTATATTTCAACTTGCGCCATGAATCCCCTAAAGCAGTCCCCACCCGGAGACCCGAACGGGGGACTAGTTTACCTCTGGATAATGAGCGTTTTACCTTAGGGAGAACCATGACTTTTTGTGGTGTTTGGTGAACTAAAGATATGTGAGTAGGGCGTTCAATCCTACGTCACACCCTCCAGCAAGTCTGGTGGGCCCCTCTCATTGTTGGTCATCGGACTTAGCCGGGAGGAACTTCCAAGGAATTTCCACCGACCATCCCCACATCCGCCACCCGTGGGACGCTCCCCATACGCGGTAATGAGCCCGCGCGAGGTTTCAGAAAGAAAAAATTCATCAAATTATTCACTAATTTAATTTTCTAAAAGGTGCACTTGATGATTTCTCAGAATAAACGGCCGATAGATACCTAATTATTTAAATATAATATCTAATCTAGAGTTATTAAACTACAGTACTCTTTTTTTTTTTCCCTTACGTGGTAACCCACACAAGGATCGTTTATTTGATTTCCTTTCATGCTCCATGCCTTAAAGAATTAAGTACTCGTACAGTAGTAATTACAGTACTCGTAAATGTATTTAAGGTTATAATCATATCTATGAAATGTTTTTATATTGCACTTCTTCTTTTACACAAGTATAATGAAATAATATTTTAAACAATATCATTGCCTTAATTTGATGGATTTTAAATGATTTTTTCAAACTTAAAAAAACATTTTAAATTTTACATTTAGTGAGAAAATTTCATTTAATTTCATAAATGTGGGTTAATGGTTGACTGTAGTAAATTGAACAGAAGGATGGTTGGGGTGATCAGTCAAAATAAAAAATAGTAAAAATAAATAATTATATTTATTTTAATATTTGTCAACTTTTCGGCATAAAGTTGAGGCCTTCATCAGGGCTGTTCAATTGAAAAGCGTGAAAAAACAAGTTTATTTTCTTTAATTTTTTCTATTTCCGTTTATTTCATTTACTTTCCTTGGAAACATGTGATTTACTTTTAATAATGTTAGTTTTCAGAAATTATTATTTATATTTTTTTCATCACTCCCCGTTATCTTTTTCAGCTTTATTTTTTTGATATTATTTTTTCTAAAATTCTCCGCTTTCCAATGATATATTATACATATACCTTTGGACTGTTATTTCCTGAGATTCATTTTCAACCTGGATAAGCATTTTTCTTTTTTTCTCCAGTTTCCAATTATCATATTTTTTCTAACTTCATATTTAGCCATCTTTTTATAGTTACTGTTAATAAAAGAGAGTTATTTTTTTTAAATAAACCATATTAAAGGTATTATTGAAGGAAGTTAGTCAACTGTTCTACATATCATGGGTGATAAATATTCAGGACGCAGTGATTTTAAAGTTTTTATTTGTGCCGAAGTACTTTGCCCTGATGATGACACACATGTTTGGGTTAAAATGTTGGCACCAATAAAAACTTTAAAATGACTGCATCCTGAATATTTATCACCCATCATATTAAAGGTCCTTTAGAGGAAGACGTATATGAAAATTAAGCATTTAAGCTCTGTAAAGTGACATCAATGGGGATAAGACCTTAATGATATTAAAGACCACTTAATTATACAATTATTCCACTGAGTTTAATTAAAATTGAGCTCTTTTTGAGAAAATTGTAAAAATATGTTTTACCGTTGATATATAGTGGCATTTCTGGTTGGCCGATTTTAAAGAAAAAGTTGCTGTAACATCTGAGTCATATACCTTTCTTAAATACGCCTTTTCAGTTGCATAAAACTTTTCGTTTTTGAGTTAGACACACATAGAGACACATAGACCATTTTGCTGAACTTGTTTATTTGGACTCAGAAGACCTCAAAACGTGTATTTCCATTGAAAACTCAGATTCGAAAATTTTCTCGATCGCAATACTTTCCCTTACTATATATTACATATATAGGTAAGTGAAAGTAAAAATATAGAAAACAACAATTAATGAAATAGAGGTCTAGGAGGTCTTGAACTCTTATTTTTTGTGGAGGATGTCTGGTATTGGTACACTGTCAGCTACTGGTGCTTTCACTCTAGCCCAGTATTACATTATGGAACATTCCTTTGTAATTTTGTTTTCATTTTTCAAATTAATTTTCAATCTTTTGATTTCAAACTTATTAATAAAATTTATAATTATAATAAAGTATGCTGTTTTCTACAGTAAAATATAAAATGTTCACATAAAAGGTTACCTTGCTTTTATTTATAAATGCATAAAGTTTCATGCAAAATAAAATAACATAACTGTGGAAACGTCCCGTAGCGGGTTTTCATGTCTATCTCAAAATCTTTAATGCTAAAGTCCAACTAGCCAACTTATCACTTTTAGAATATTGATTCATCTCAAATTTAACTATCACTTGTTAAAGTTGTAGTTCGAATTAAAATTTAGATTTATCAATTATTCATAAAATTCCCTTTCTTTTTTACGTGAAGTGTTGTTATCATTAATATGTTAAAAATTTAACATGTTAAGTTAAGCATATTTGTGAAAGAATTAAAAATAATTGTTTTATTTTAAATGAAAAATTGACTCCCTTACAAATTAATGAGTCACATTTTTCTAAACTAAGTTCAAAAATTGTGAATACTATAATAATATACTTCAATAATCTTTTATAATGATTAACTTCCATATTTAATCAATATATGTATTTAACGTTTCTACTGGATAAAAAATTCTTATTAATTCCAGACAGCATTTGCTGTGCGATGTTCGACTTGTAGCTGATTCCCTTGAAGTACAAGGCCATAAAATGGTTTTAGCTGCAGCATCCCCCTATTTTCATGCTATGTTTACCTCTTTTGAAGAAAGTCGTCAGGAAAGAATTGTTCTTCAAGGTTTAGATCCATATGCGCTGCAGTTGTTAGTAGATTACGTTTATACTTCTGAAATTCATGTTACAGAAGACAATGTTCAGGTATTGATATTAATGCTATTCTTCTATATTGTGTTTAAATTGTATTTAAAACTTGTTAATAATATATAACAATAATTATTTGAGACTATTTTGTACCTTCATGTTTTTAGAACAACACAAATTGCTTAGACACTTTATTTAATATCCTATTATCTAAGGTATCTGTCTTAATTTTGTCTGGAAATCTTTTAATCCTTAGTTCATTTAATCTGAAGTAAAATTATTTTAATTTTCTGATTATCCTCATTATTCATCACTTTAAAATTTCATGGAGTGCTTTTTTTTTTTTTTTCCTATAGGTATTATTACCAGCAGCTAATTTACTTCAACTATCAGATGTCCGTGATGCTTGTTGTGACTTTCTTCAGTCTCAATTGCATCCAACAAACTGTCTAGGGATTAGGGCATTCGCTGATCTTCACGGTTGTCTTGATCTACTTGCTGCTGCTGAAGCATTTATTGAACAACATTTTTCGTAAGTACTTTTTGTCGTATATTTACAGAAAATTTATAAAAAGTAAATTATAATGTTGCTAAGTTATTGTGATGAAAATGGTAATCATTTTAAATCATCTAAAGCCTAATGTTTTTTTTTTTTTTTTTTTTTTTTTTTTTTTTTTTTTTTTTTTCCTACCCCCCAGGAATTTCTTGAATAAATTCAGTGTGTATATAAATGTATATATACATAAATTTTCAACTTTCCTTTTATTGCCCAAGGGCATTTTAAGTTAAGAGGGCTCTGCACGCTGTATGCGTTCTTTGCATCTGTGGCCAGAGGCCTTTTATTATACCACTGGGCGTGGAGGGACCGCCCTGCATTAATTATCTAAAGCCTAATGTTAATTATAAATAGCTTATAATGAATATATGGAGATCATTTGGTGTGGGTAGAGGTGATGGTGTTTTGTCCTCAGAGGCTTTTTGATTGAGAGTGGAAGAAAAAAGAAGATTCTAGCGATTAGTGATGCTAGGTCCTATTCAAAGTACCGGACTCCCATCTCATAGGCCTACGTTTGAGTCTCGCTTTGTTAGGCTCTTTTTTATCAGTGGTAGATCAATTCTGGCATTGAAAGATAGATCATCCTATTCCAAGACCTTGGGAATATCTACATTAATCTATCAATAAATATGATCTCTTATGACGTGTGTTAACAGTTCTATTTCATAGGTTTGATTCTTATAAGTTTTATGCATTGCACAATGTAGTATTTATTTAATCTCATTGTTATCATTGCTCAATTAAAGGATGTCCGTGGAAACTTTCCCTTTTACATCATTAGACAGAATTATCCGAAAGAATAACATTATGTATTTTATTAGAAGGAAAGGAGTATGTGCCATCGACAAAAAATATTAGTTTTCAGGTTTATCACAAAAAAATAACAGTGAAGATAACCAGCTCACCAAGATTGGGCCAGGTGGTCATTAATGGATAGAAAAAAATCATAGGCCCGCATTATATGGTACAGTTATGAAAGATTTGTTGGCGAGTACTATAATGAGCAGACACATTCAGTTGAAGCTGTCTGATAATTGAAGTATATCAATTATTTATAGTGATGATGCTAATTGATTAAGAAATGCTATGCTTACTTAAATTTTATGAAATGCTAACTCTGAAAATCTATTCTGATTGATTTGGAAGCAGTCCATATTATACTAAAAGTAACTTATAAGAAATTTATGGAATTACTATGTAAAGTGAGAGTTTGGACTAAATAGGTGAGGGAGTAGAATATTTATATTTTTTAACTACTTATATGTTTATTGATGACCTCTAATTAATGTTTCATTTTCTATAAAAGAGGGAAGAATCCACATCCTTGTATTATTTTTTTTTTTGTTTTATTATTATTAGATTTCATCATGTATTTAGTTGTATTATCTTGTTTATGTAAGTATATTTGTCGATTGTTATTTATGAACAGATAATGCAAAATTTTGGTTTATTTTCTAGGGAAGTTGTTGAAGGAGAAGAGTTTTTGGCCCTATCTCATCATCAAGTCTGCAAATTGATTTGTAGTGATAGGCTTGAAGTTCAGTCTGAGGAGAAGGTAATATTAAGTTTTTTGTTTTTTTAACTTTTGTACGAATAGACAATGGGTCACCAAAGTGATCGATATAAAATTAATGGATTCTAGGGGAGGATGTTGATAGAAAAATTTATTTAAAATAAAAAAAATATATCTAAGTACTGATAGGATTTTTCTAAATTAATGTATTCTGCTAATATTTAAAGATGACTGGTTTTAAACCAAAAATCAATATTCTCGTTAAAAAATATACATTTCATATTCTGGGTACACTCTCAGAGTGATTTTCCAACTTAAACAAGTTTGGATTTGCTATCAAAGATGAATTTTTAAAATCAATTATTATAAAGCTCATTTATCTTATTTACAAACCTTTATTCTATTAATTTATTTTAATGTTTTAAAATATTAGGATTCTATTATATTTTTTGTTAATTGTATCTTTGACCTATATTTTGATATTCAGCGGTTAAAGCGAACTAATTATTAAAGCATTTAAAAAATAAAACAAAGAACTATGAATTTAAATGCTGAGCCAAATTTGTGATTTTATAATTTAAACTCAAAATACAACCATGATAGTCATACAATAAATAATTTGTAAAATTATATTATAATATAGTTTGATTAGTAACAATAATTAGGATATCTTCCTGTTCATTTTAAACCCCTGGGCTAAAATTAATATTTGTTTTGTCTTTCACTGAAATTTATTGAATAACATTTTATAATTAATTTGATTTGAGTCTGTAATTATAATTTTGAATTAAAAAACAAATTTATTATTATATTGTTGGAATGGTTTCGTTTGAGTTGAGTGAATTTTAAATTTATTCTTTTCTTGCGAGTTTTTGATTTGAAAGCACTTCTTAAAATGATTGTATTGCAATTGATCACAAATCGTCCTAAATATAGGTTCTATATAATTATTATTTTTCATTTTAGGTATTTGAATGTGTCGTGAATTGGGTAAACCAAGACCTTCCAGCAAGGCAATGCCACATGGGTGAGCTAATGGAGTACGTGAGGCTGCCGTTGTTACCTCAGGATTATCTGATGCACCGTGTTGAAGAGGAGCCTCTCTTGCAGGCCAACCTCAAGTGCAAGGATTACCTGATAGAAGCTTTGAAGTATCACCTACTCAAGGGGGAGCAGAGGTTATCTCTTAATACCCCTCGCACCAAACCTAGGCAACCTATCGGCCTTCCAAAGGTATTTCTTTAATTGTTATTGGATGCGTGTTTATATACTGTGAAGGTTTTAATTTTATACCTCTGGTAAAATAAAATAATGTTTATTTTTGGTTATTTAGATTTTCAAATGAGACCATAATGTCACAGATATAATATAATTGACTCAAGAAAAACATTGCTTTATAATAAAAAAATATTTGGATTAAAAAAAAAAAACGACTAAAGAAATTGGGAAATCCTATCCAGCCTAAGAGAATGTACTTCTGTATCTACTTATAAATATAGTTAAATTGATAGATAAATTCACATTTATGAATAATCAAACTTGGAGCAATAGTCAGGTGCCTTTCACTACACCTTACAGCTCCATGCAAATAGATTTCGTCCCATGCATCGTTGCTTGTCAACAACAAGAATTTCGTTCAGAGTATGTTAGGCACACCTGATTACTACACCAAGTTTAAATATTCATAGATTTCAATTTCCTTATCAATCTACCAAGATATTTAAGTAGATATGGAAGTACATTCTCTTTGGATAAACAGAATTTCCCAATTTCTGTAGTTGGATTTTTTTTTTTTTAACTCAAATAACTTTTTATTTTAACATTTTTAGTTTTTAAAATATTAACAATTTATTTTCATGATTTATTAGGCAAGGAGCTACTGATCATTTCATTTAATGGAAGGACGAAGTAAAGCTATTAACCATTTTAAATTCTAGATAAACCTCATCTGAACACACAATTTCGGTCAATCGGTCGAAAGCCATTGCTTTCTATGCGAAAATTTAAATTAAAGCGGCGGAATTTGACAGTTCATTTAACGGAAGAGCATACTACTGAAATTTCGATATGATAAAAATTCAAATAGTCAGTTTTTTATGTTTTTGAGGGTGCTGAATCTGAATTTGATGTTCCCGAACAAAATTTTCAATTGTGTTCGGCGTATGTACAAAAAAAAGGGAAATTTCTGAACTTTTTTTTGCACATGACTCTGAAACTATGTATTTTGTCAAAATTATTATCATAAACAAAATTAAAGTAGATACAATTTACTATCAATTTTATAAGTAGCTTTTTGAGGAAGCCGAAACGGGTAAGGGGTTAGAGACTGTTGACTGTTTGCTTATTTCACAAGAAATATCTGTTTGTGTCAGTTTTCCTCCCAAAACTCATAATATATGCATCCCTTGAAGAAATTCAGTATAATCAATTTCAAAATAGCATTAAATTTCCTATGTACCTCATGTAAACATGTTAATATGTGAGAGGTTTAAGAGGCTGTTGAAGTCCATGGAATCAAAGGCGTATTTCACTTGTAGTATCTGCCACTCTCAACTTAAGAACTTTTTATCTTTTCAATACTTTTGATTTGGCTAATTTAACTTTACTTAGAACAGGATGAATTAAATTAAATTAGCTGAATCAAACTAACTGAAAAAACCTAAGAGAAATGGTTGGTAGCTCCTAGTCTATATGATCAGGTTATATCATTTCAAATCAATTAACAATTGCGATACTTAAACTAGAATAAACATTTTTTTTTTTTATTATTTTGTGCTTAAATTGTTTCAAAATATTCACAGAATCACATAGTGCATTACAGCCGTCAAAATTAAAAATTGGTAAACACACTTTAAACAATGATATGCCAGAATTTTGAGGTCAAATTCAATAATAATAATTTTAGATATCAAACTTTAAAATCTCTCATGCTGCTCCCACAAAATTTTGTTTGATAGCTTTTAGAAAATTGATTAAACACATTTTATTCAAATGTTTTTAGCTCCAATCGATCCAACCATATGCTCAAAAAATTGCTACATACCTTTTATCAAATTTATTAAACACATTTTATTCAATCACGGGACAGTTTTTAAGCTCAAATAGTTTTAAAACACTCACCAGATCTCAATGAATATTTTGACCCCTAGCCCGGGAAAACTCTGTGTAGCCTAAAAAGCGATTTAGGGTAGAACAAAAGAAAAAATTCATACATATAACACTCACGATATAAAGAAAGAAGATGCATGCAGATTAGTTAAACCATTTTTTCCTTTTTTTTTTTATTAAGAATTACTTCAAATAGGAAGTTTCCTTTACCTAAATTATTCAAATCAGTAAAGATATATGTATGTGTATAATAAATCTTTTAAAAGTTACTTAATGAATAACCCGTTAAGAGAAATAAATATTCTTAAGGAATAAAAAAAATCAATTATTAATATTAAAATCACTATTCTGAGCTATTAGGTGAAAATTAAGAAAGGGATGTAGATCATTTTGTTAAATATTATAGCTGTTTTAAAGGAAAAGTTGGTTGTGAAACATCTAGTTGTTAATAGGTGAGAAAATTATTAAATTAGTTGGTAATGAATACATAGGTGATGCTGGTTGTGGGTGGACAAGCTCCTAAGGCTATCAGGAGTGTCGAGTGCTACGACTTTGCAACTGAAACTTGGGTATCTGCTGCCGAGATGCCTGGAAGAAGGTGTAGGGCAGGTCTAGTTGTCCTTGGAACAAAAGTCTACGCAGTCGGTGGTTTCAATGGATCTCTCAGGTTTCTTTTTAATTTATTATTTTTCTGAAATACCTTTTGTAATTTGTAATATAATTAGTAATCTTTATCTGTTTATGTCACTTAGGGTGAAGACTGTCGATGTTTATGATATAACAACAGACAGTTGGAGCGTTGGTGTAGGCATGGCTGCCAGAAGGTCTACTTTGGGTGTAGCCGTTCTCAATAACTGCATATATGCTGTAAGTAACTTAATTTTCTAAATTAAATATTTTAGTTTTTTGTCAGAACTGTCAAATGTATATTGTCTTCCGGCAACTCACTAAAATCAGTTAATTGATTATTATAACCAAAAACAATGTATATCAGTTATTTTGTTAATTACTGTTATGGATCATTTATCTTTTAATATGTGGGAAATGTCTCACCACTGTAATATAACATACTCAATAGTGTTTCAAGGAGCTGTTTTTTTATATAAATAAAAGAATCATATTGTTATAAACATAATCTTTGCAGAATAAAAAACTTGTAGTTTATTAAAACTTCAACAAACAGTAATCGATATTTGTGATACTTGAAGCGACCTCTTCTCATTACTTGGGTACATAGAGTTCTGTTCTGAGTATTATATCACATTCACATTTATATTCTTCTTTTTTTTTTTTTTTAAGTAGAAAGATCACATCTGTTGATTTCCATTTTCCTTAAGTGGTTGGACTAAGCCCATGATTGGTAAACTAATTATTCATTAGGTTACAAAACCAGTGGACACCAGAAAGTCAATTAATTAGGCTATTAAGTTAGCCTGAAATATTTAAAATAAAACCAAATTAGTAAAATAACTATTCTCATACCTTTGTTAAAAAACAACAGAAACAGGGACTGGAAGTGAAACAAAATAAGATGTCATAATGGCCAAGAGTGTGAAGGCACCATTAGAAAACTTGAGTCTAATGGTGTCAATTTGATACTGTTCTGGGCTAAGACATACTATCTTTATTTATATGTTGATAGAAATAAAGAGTTTGTTGGGATATTTATGGAATCATATTGAACTCATTTAAAGCATTATCGGCTAAAGGAGCAAGCACACGGTCCTATTTGCCCTTATTGCAGGTACAGCCTGAATTATTCAAAAGCAAACATTGGTTTTTAAAATCACCGAATATGAAGAACGATTATCCATTATTATTATTATGAAGACCTTTCTATAAAACATTATTATTTAAAAATAGTTATTTTTGGTATTTAAAAAAAAAGTATTGCTTTTATAATGTTGAAAAGGTTAAAGTGGACAATAAAGCCTTGAATGAATGAATTGTCACTAGTATTAATTTTAGCAAAGGAGTTTAGTATTACTTTACACTTTATAATATTGCAATATGAGGTATAAAATTTCTAATTGAATTTTCTTTTAGGTTGGTGGTTTTGATGGGTCCACTGGGTTGAATAGCGCGGAAATGTTTGACCCTAGAGAACAAACATGGACGATGATTGCAAGCATGTCTACTAGGAGAAGTAGCGTTGGTGTTGGAGTTGTTAATAATCTTTTATATGCTGTAAGAAATGTTTATTTTATTTTAATAGCATACTTTTTTTTAGCTTTTATCTTATTCTCTTTACACTTTTTCTACTGTAATCATAGATATGGATACTAATAATAATATTACTAAGCTTTTGAATTTGTATTCAATGGTTTCCTTTTTGAAAGGTTTTCCTTTGTGTTATTTCAAGGCTTCGAAATCGTCTACTCCAATTTTATTGTGTACCTTTATGGCAGAATCATAATTAGCTATGGTTGGATATCATTAGGTTTTCTATTAAAAAAAAATAAAAAATTATACCAGTTTACAAAGTATATGTTGATCATTTAATAAAATGAGCTGTCATGTTAACCAGCCAGAATTAGAATAGGTGACTTGTAGCTATATTGTAGTGATTGCTTTATTTGGCTCTTTAGTCTTATTTTCCTTCGGGAGTAATAGACTATTAGCACTGTATCCAAAGTCGTCAGTGGAAGGTGGGTTTGCGGTTTCTTTCTGTTTTGAAAATCCTAGAGCACGATTCTGCAATTTTTAGAAATGTCAGTTATGTATATATATATATATATATATATATATATATATATATATATATATATATATATATATACATATATATATATATATATATATATATATATATATATATATATATATATATATACATATATATATATATATATATATATTTTTTTTTTTTCCTGCTACATTTCAGCTTTCCCAGCGGCTCCTATTTGACTGAATAAGCTGGATTCGGAATATAAAGTTTATTCCCAGACGATACGATAGAATTAAACTTAAGAAAATGTTGACATGTAAGAATGTTTTTCCCTGTTTTTAAAGTATTGCGCATCTCCTCAGCTTCTAACAAAGTTGGAAGGTTGAAATTTTGTTAATATATTAAGTTGGTGTTGGTGAGGTGTCTTTGAGGGATCTCATCACCAGCCGCCATTTTTTTCAAGATAGTAGAGGAAAAACCTGTTTCTCTATAGACTACAGCACTAAAATGGCTGTAATGTTATTGATGAAAACTTTCCTGAAGTATTTACCTGAAACACTATAAATTTATGTATTCAACATAATTTCTGGAAAAGGGACTAGAAAAGTAGTTTTGGCTAGTAAAAAACTTTATTTGCAAATAACTCAAAAAGAGTGGATGCATGGAACATATTTTGAAGACTTTTAAATTTCCTAAACGATAAAAACTTTCATCAAAATCAATCCAGTAATCACAATGATCTGTCATACAGTTTCTTTAAGACAAAACAATGGTCAGCTTTAGAAAATCTGGTAAATATTTGGAACAACATATCTTTTTCCAAATCATCTGATTTTTAATTTTTTTTTTTTTGGTAATTTAGTATACTTTCAAATGACCAATGCAATATCAACAAAAAAGTTAATATTTTTTGTTTTTCGGATATCCAATGTTAACATCCTAATTATTTTTTTCCGCCTTCTTTTGGGCGAAGTTTATTATAGATGTAAATTTTAAGTTCTTCAAGTAGAAGACATTGGCTATCTTTTGTTAAAATTGGTTTAGGCGCTATATTGTTTTTTTTTTATTTATACCTCAAACCTACCCACCCATTGAGTACTAGGTGGCAGGCATTGGAGTTCGACACTTTAAAGAGACCCCGAAAGCCAATAAGTACATATCCCAGAAACAAGTGCTTTCGGGGTCGGAATGGTCCAACGCCTTAAAACTAAACATCAATTATTCATCTTTTCGTGGAGTCCCAGGAGCCAGTGGACAGTCGAAGGAAGTTGGGTCCCTCTGTCGTAAATGCGGCAGAGAGTCAGAAACACCAGCCCATGTGCTGAGAAAATGCCCCAACAATTCACTCCTCATAACACGCCGGCATGATAGGGTGAAGTTTGAGGTGATGAGGCTCCTTAGAGAAAAGGAATTCACCTGCTTGGACGAGGTCTATTGCATAGGCAGTGAAGGCTCTACAAGGTATGCGGATATTGTTGCGTTTCCCAGGACAGGAGAGACAGTGCTAATCTTGGATCCAGCTGTCAGCTTTGAGAGCAATGGCCTCGATCAGGCGGATGATGTGGAAAGGGAAAAGAGGAATATATACAACAAATGTATCCCTTTCCTAAAAGAGAAATTCCTTGAGACCTTCGGAGAGAGAGAGTTCACCCTGAGAGGCCTCTGGTTTGGGTCTCGCGGAACAATCCCGGAAAGAACAAGGAGCTTCCTCAAGGAACTAGGTGTTGATGTTGGGGAGTTCACGATATTGGCCGAGAATATTATTTTGGACTCCTTGGGGATCATCCTCTATCATCTACATAGTGATTGAGGACGTCTTGTATTAATTATTTATTAAATTTTAGATTGGTCTATAATTGTCTTATCTTTTTGTCTACATTTGAGGAATTACTGTGCTATATATGTGTGCGATGTTGTATTGAGTTCCTGGGGTTTTAAAATTTAAATTTTTTTTTTTATCTTCGGAAAATGTTTGTTATGCTATGTCTAGTTTAATATGGTTTATTGTTGATAATTTGTAATAGTATTGTAAATAAAGTATTTCTCTCTTTATACGTAGCTTATTAAATAGATATATTAATAAATAAATATTTTTAAATGTCCTTATCTTTTTATATAAATGTTTTCCAATGTGGTAGGTAAAGTCGTTCGCTATGCATATTGAACTTATTACTATTTGAATTTTATAAACTATTGTGTAATAATTTTAAAAGTTTTTATTTCTCTATTTAAAGCCAATGAAACAATTTAATCCCTTTCTAGTTTTAAAAAATTAAATATAAGTGGAAAATAGAACCTTTGTGTCGGGCTCTGCTGCTCATGCCTCTTTTTCATAATGAACTGATCTTTCAGGTTGGAGGTTATGATGGAGCTTCTCGTCAGTGTTTGAGCTCTGTCGAGTGTTATAATCCTGACAATGATGAGTGGGCTTCTGTGGCTGACATGGCTGCTCGGAGAAGCGGAGCAGGTTTGTATCCTTAGTAAATATTATTTACATATTTGTATTAAATTATTTAATTACTGTCTGCTGAATCAGCTATATGTTTAATGCTTAAATTTTAGTTTTGTTATACCATTGTATATTATTAGAACATCCTTCAAGAAAAACCATTGAACCTGTGTATTGAGAGAATATTTATTGGAGAAAATGCCTCCTATTTTTGTCTTAATTTCATTAAATCTGCATGAAGAATGGTAGGAATAATTGGTCCTTTAAGTTGGTTAGTAAATTTTAATTTTTAAGGGGGAAAAAATCAAGCCATTCTCTTAATAATTATTAGGTCCTGGATTTGTTGATCCAAATTTACCAAGAAATAGACCGTTAAAATCAATTTTTAGATTTAGTTTTATTAGATCTGAAAAAGATCTAATAAAACCATTCTTTAGCAATAGTATATTAGTAATTATAAGTATTTGTTAAGCTTAAACATGAAAAACACAAATGAACATCCATTGCTAAACTCAGAACGGAGTTCATCAACGACATCATTTTAACCAGTTTAGACTTGGACCCGATACCATATATGAGCTCAGTGCTGACTTTAGGAACTTGCCCATATAGACAGAAAGTAAACATATAAATAAGTAAAGTAAATTGAGATAGAACAACTGAACCCCAAAAGCTATTGGAACCTCAGATGGAAACTCAAAATGAAGATCCCAGAAAAGATCTTTTTTTTGTCCAAAATTTTGTAATAATTGTTTTTTTGGTGGAATTTTGCAAATAAGTCCATTTTAGTGTAAAATAGATCAAAAAAGATTCTACAGGATTTTGTATTTTAAATCTACTACTTAAGATCGTCATAGATCTTTTGAGATCTCAGTTTTTTCTCAAACAGAAAGAAAAAGGATCAATCCTTAAAATCCGAGCCCTATTAATTATATAATAATAAATGAAAACAATTATTCCTTAAATGATTTATCTCATTCCTAAAGTATGGCAAGAGTAGTATTCTAAACATCAGCATTAGGCAATAAATACCATTTTGATTAATTATAAAAAATGGATCAGTGTTAGGCCCAGAATTCTTAACATTTTTAGTATCTGAACAGCATGTTAGTCTGATAAGTTTAACAATGTCGATTGGGTCACAATTAAGAAACATTTTACTTGGATCACTATCTAGAGAAATATTTTAGAGAAGTTCTTCGAATCGGTATATTTTTGGATTGTATTGACTCTTATGTTCGATCCTTGATCCTGTAGAATTATTTTATTTTTCAAAATAATTTTTGTATCTTCATCATCATGTTCTTCTCCTCTAGTGCTGCTATGTAGCTTGAGAATACTTTTTGAAAAGTGCGGACCAAGTTTTTCAATCTTGGTCTCTCTTCTATCGCAATCCATGCCTCACTTCCCTAAAACCTCATGGACACCATATTTCCAGAAAATTTGAAGCCTTCCCCTTGGTCATATTTTTGTATGTATATAATTTTTATCTTATTTTTTATAATTATTTATTTTTTACTTCATTTGTTGGGCAATTGTCTGCATAACATGCCCCTAGTCACTCGCCGACACAATAACATAAAGCATCGTATAGCCGAATTCCTTGAAATAAAGAACTATAAATGTTTCCTCAAAGTTTATTGCCTGAATACAGAAGGCTCAACAAGGTTTATTGAAATCTTGGTGTTGGCAAATTGACGAAGGAAAAGGAGGCACTCATAGTGGATCCCACGATCAGATTTGAAACCAACGATCAGGATCAGGACTTGAAGGTGGTACAGGCAGAGAAAGAGGAAATTTATATGAAATGCATACTGTACTTAAAGGAAAAGTACATAATTTCGGTGAGAGAGAATACTTAGTTAAAGAGCTATAGTTTGTATGGTTCGGAAGCAGGGGAAGCATCTCTCCTGATACAAGTAATTTTTTGCAGAGGCTCGGTGTTGGAAGGGAGCAGATGCAGACTGTGACAGAAACAATTATTTTTGACTCGTTGGGAATCCTCCATCACCACATATATTGATCTAGGCCTTCACTTATTTGATTCTATAAACTGTTTTTAGCATTTCTCATATTTATTCCAATGGTCTGACCTAACTCTCTCTTATATTTTTATACAGTATTGAACATGCCGTGTTATTTAGCAACTCAACACAGTTGAGCAGCCGTGCAATATTTTTGTATTTCTCTCTTTATAATTATTTATTTTTTAGGTGTAGGCGTTTTGGATGGAATCCTTTATGCTGTTGGAGGCCATGATGGTCCCCTTGTCCGAAAATCAGTTGAAGCATTTGACCCAGAAACTGGTTGTTGGACCCCAGTATCTGATATGGCGCTCTGCAGGCGCAATGCAGGTATTTTTCATTTCTTTTTATCATTTCTTAGATGAGTGGTTGGTGAATGTTACAGGCATATATTAATTTTGTTTATGGAATTATGGAAGACTATATAAAAAAATCTGAAACTTCAATAATAGGTGCTTAACATTGTGTGTGAACATACTTCTTTCCTTTTTATTTATCTATTTACTCTGATTTTTTTTTTTTTTTTAATAACATAGAAATGAAAAATCATTCTTACCTTGATTATGAAGACTTAGAATGATACTGGTTGAACTTTTTCCATAGGATTTGTTGTTGCTTTTTTCTCTTTTTTTGTTAAAGTAATCTTATTATTAAAAAAAAAGAGTATTTGATGGAAAATCAAATTAAAATTAAAGATAATTGAAGTTTGTCAAAGCTTAGGAAAGATCTATGAAACATAGATTTATTTTGTTTTATTTTTTTATCTTGTAATGAATAGCCCATACTAATGTTTTTTAAAAAGGGGAACAACAAAGTTTTTTTTTTGATAAATTATTGTTATTATTTTTGTAGGTGTGGTGGCTTTGAAAGGTCTTCTATATGTTGTTGGTGGCGATGACGGCACGTCCAACCTTTCATCCGTTGAAGTTTATCATCCAAAATCGAATACTTGGAGTATGCTTCCGTCCTGCATGAGTATTGGGCGCTCCTATGCTGGCGTGGCCATTATCGACAAAGTACCACATTCAGTTTCTTAATATTTATAACTTTAGGAACAAATTGAAAGTTTTGAACTCAGGATGAGAGTTGTGCAAATAATTCCTGTATTATATTAGAACAAAAAAAATTAATTTTAAATTATTTTTAGGTTGTAAATTGTTTAATATGTATTTTAAAAATATCTTTCAAATATCCCCAGTGATTTTTGTGATTATTTAGTTTTAAAATTATTTCTTGTAATTGAACTTGAATGTTCTCTCGAATACATTCAGTTTTACCGTCGAACCTCTGTATATTGAATTTGAAGGTCCCTGTATAAACATTTAATTTATAGAATACAGAGTTTGCCATCATTCGCATAACTATTAATCTTTTTTCATTCCAACAATTTGATATGTTTCTAGATTTTTGAAGAAAATAGATGATCAAAAATTTTCTTTAAGACTTTCTTGTTTAAACTTGAATTTAACTAAATAGGTTCATATTGTTTTATATCAAGGTTTCATTGTTCTATACTATTGTCATTGCCCTTATCCTAGATTTATGAGAGTTTTCTGTTTTTAAAGAACAGAACAGTTAGAACTTTGTTTTTGTTAATGAACTCACTTGGTTCGTAACTCGTAAGTTTGTGAATAAGAAGAAATCAAGCATTACTTTATTTTATTAAAATTTTGATTTGTCATATCAAAAATTTTGTCGAGCATTAGTTTCGTTTTCCTAAAAAAGAAAAAATATTACATAAAGTTATTTTATGTCTGGAAATTCTATTTATTTCACAGATATTTTCCTTTAGAATCCTTTTGTCAATGGATTTATATAATTTTGTTTACTAAAACCAGTAATTGCCTTTTACAGACTTACATTAGTATTGTTTTTCTAAAAGTTATCTCAGGTGTTGTAGAACCTACTTACCTCTATGTGAAATATATTTTTGTACACTAGGGTTTTGTATAGAACTTAAATATTTCTCAGCATTTCATAAAATTTTTCAAGATTATTTTTTAAAATGGGTTACTTTGATCTTCAAATAATAATTATCTGTCCACTTGACTAAATCAATTATATTAGTCCAGTCCCTGGTGAAGATTCCTTAAAACATGTTAATGTTAGAATTTGATACTCTCTGTCACATGTCTCAATGTGTTGTTCTGGATTGTAATAATCATATGAAATTAGATTAATCAAAGGTTGATTGGCCATTTTCCTTTTGCATTATCAACTATATTGTTATCTGTGAACACAGTTTTTATGCTATTATATACATGTAGTATTTATCATAACAACACGACTATTTAATGTAATGATCACATAATATTTCAGAATAAGAGAAATTAACCCTTGGTTGGGCACATCTAATCTGTTGCCAAAAATGGGTTGGAGCTTTAGCTTCTTTACTTAATGTTTAAAGTTAATTTAATTGTTACCTTTTTTACAGTTTTTTTTTTCTTTCAAAGCTTATTACTTGTTTTTTTTTTTTTTTTTTTTTTATACTGATTATTTATATGATTTTGTTAAAATGTTTTTAAAAACTAAAATAAAACCATTTTTAAGTTCTAAGTTCAATTTGTTAATTTTTCCCTCCAGTCTATATGGAACTTTAGTTTTTAATCTGACAAATGAGTTGCTCTCAAACATATTAGGATTGGCACAGTGCCCGACTGAGGGTTTTATCCATTTTGATTTGCATTATGCTGATACAGGCATATGTTCCCATATTTTTTTATTCTTTTTAAAACTTATATTTACTCTCTCAGTTACATGTGATGTTAAAATTATGATTATATTTTAAAGATATTTTCTTCTAAGCGCGGTCTTTAGTTTTATAAAAATAAAATATTGTAGTCATTAGTAATTCGTTTATAACCATCATCCATTTAATTTTTAAACTCAAGAAGTAAAATAAATATCAAGGACTCGTAATAATTGTTGTATACTATTTATCACCATAAAATTGGTTTATTATTATTAAATGTTTTCCAAAAAATTTATATTTTTTCATTAGATCTGATAATTGTGCATTTTTCATTGCTACAAATTTTATTTTATAGTGTCATTATGTACAGCTGCTTGTACCTCTTTATTAGACCATTTATTTATTTATTTATTTTTAATGTGACGTCCTGTCCTTGAAGTAAAGGTTTTGTGAAATCTGAATAGATTAATTATAAATTCTCATCCGTTTTGAAGGTGTTATTTCACTGGTACTGCTCACCGCTGTGACTGTTGGTAATTGAGTAATGCTTAAGTGGAATAGAAAGGACCGTATTTCGTTGGTACTGCCTGGCAGTCAAGGTATGAAGTCATATCTTTTCTGGCCGTTCCTATAACAGTGAAGCTGTTGAAAGTACAACGGTTCTAGGTTATGTTATCAAATTGAAGAAGAGTGTTGTTGATAACAGTCACATTGTTATGTTTCATTTCCTTTTTTCATCAAGCCAGACAAAATTAAATGAAAAATTGTTAACAATTAAAAAAAAAAAACACTAGCAAATCATTTTTGAGGCTTGAAGTTACAAGAACATTTTATAGAGAGATTCAAATATATTTAAATGCATCAAATAATTGAAAACAATTTAATCTATAATAAATATTCAAATCCTTGAAAAAACAATTTGTCTTTTTTAAGTTAACGGTGGATTGATAACCAAATGTTAAAACATTATCCATTGTGATATCATTAAAAATATATGATTTTTGTTACTGAAATGATCATACTAATAATAAGTCATGAATTTAAAATCAGAGATACACAATCAATTTATAATATAATATTTCTTCATATTCTTTCTATCATAGGGCTATTTTATATTTAAAATAATAAAGACATGATCTAACCTCATTATCTTCTCACTACATTTTGCTCACTACATTCAATTATATAATCACACTTAGTTTGTTGATTATTCTTTATAAGCCTTTCATTATTATTGATTATTCTTAATAATCACTAAGTGTGATTATTTTATTGAATCGACCTATAGGGAAAAATTATTGAGGTGATAATTTAGAGAAAAAGGTCAAAACTAGAAAATGGCTAACCTCATTATTCAACCACTACGGTGAGCGGTTTCAGCAAAATACACAAGTATAAACAGTAGGCAGTCATTGCTGTATGCAGCACCAATAAAAAAGTACCTTAGACTATTATTCTATTAATTATTCTATGTAATTGCTTCTGACAGGCATTGATAATACTTTTCAGTCTCTTTCAACTTTTTAAGAGCTTAATTATGATTTTTTTAAATTTTTAAAAATAAAAGTGACTGACATTTGTTATTGATTTCAAATGTCACAACATTTAGTAAAACTCTACAGAAAATTATTTTAAATAACTACATTATAAAAGGAAGGTTTCAAGCTCAACTTCTAATGACTTCTTTGACTTGGAGACTATTACATGCAGTTATGATTTTGTTACTAGTTTTAGTGTAGTGTTAATTATAAAACAGAAAACTTCAATTACTTAGTAGTTTACAAACTCACCTGTTGAATTAGCATTGCTCAAAATATTTTGACATTCTCCCCGTCGCAGTCAAAGAATCTCCACTAGTTATGAATCTCATGTACTTTAGATTTCTGACGAGATTATAAAAGTAATATAATATTGATTTTCAGGTTAGGTACTGTTTTCATCTGCTGGTTATTCCCTTTATTATATTTGAAGGCTAGGTAGTTATTTATGGTTTTAACCCATTTAGGTTTGACTAAGTAGGAGTCCCAAAATTGTTACGGCTTCTTACAAATAATATTATTTATTTGAGTTAGGCCCTAACAATTTTCTCAGGTATGAGTTTGGTCAAAGCGCGGTTGTATGTAAAATGAAAAAGTCAAGGAAATCACATTCACAAAGAATATGGGCTGCATTCTATTTAATTTGTCATAATTTCTTCACATTTTACATTTTTTGGTATTGATATATGTTCAATTTTATTTTATATTTGTAAGTTTTTAAAAGATTTAATTATCTATAAATATAGGTGCAAGAAAGGGGAAAAACTCTGTGATAGTGATATTTGTATTTAGCTTTGACTGATATCAGCAAAGCCATTTTGGCTCACATGAAAGCAAGTTTTATTTTTCTCTATTTCTTGATGTTAAATACTTTTGATAGGATCAATTAAATTTAACAAGAGGAAGATAGTTTTGGTTCCTATTGATAGCTCCTTTAATTTTTGTATTAACCGTTAAAATATGGATTGTTATTGAAAAATTTGTTGAAACTCACATTTCAGTAATGTGTCTGTATCCTTTTTTATGTTCCTGAATTGAGATACAGTCTCAAACTATAAATTTTTTTTTTCCTCATACTTAGGAATTCTTAGATCAAGAATTGTTAGATGGTGCTGTCAGAAACTTGTGTATTTTTAGATTATAGTAAGGCTTCTAGAAAATTAAAATTATTAATTATGGATTTTATCAAATTCAAATTTATTTTTCTTGCTTTTAAAGATCATTTTTTATTTTAATTTAAAGTTGAAAAAACAAAAACAATGCACGTATGAGACTGTATTTTAAATTTTATAACATTTAGGAAATATTTTTTCATTATGACTAATTTGTTTTTAGTTGAATTTTCTCCTTTTAATCAGTTTCTAGATTGTTCTAGTTAAACTATTAACTTTTCTATCTACTGATTTTTATTAAAAATTGAAACTGAAAATGAGAATGAGAATGAGAAAATGAGTCTTGAAGTGCTGCTGAACTGTTTTTTTTTTTCAGATTATAAAATAAATTTAATCTATTGGGTAGATTCACTGATAAATATGAATAATTTTGCTGTATACTGTTTTAATTTTTATTTTCCATATTCCATTTTTTTATGTTTCTAAATCAGAAGTTTATGACATTGGTGTAAGGAATTTTTTCATTTCATTCTTCAAAAAATTGAGATATGTTTAAAACGAGTCACTTTTACCTTAACAATTAGAATTATGTGGGTCTTGAAATGATCGTACAAAAAAAAAATATATTGAAATAAATCAAATCATTAAAACTGTTTTTATTACTCCACTGTGCTGCTGATTTAAAAAAAAAAAATTATATAACTATTAGTTATTTATTGATGAAACGTTTCCTCTTCTTTTTATCAATACCTTTTTTTTATGAATAACTATTTTATTTTAAATGTAATACAGATTATTTTGGAAAAAGAGGTTTTAGAGCATACTAGATATTTTGCTGCCAAAGCATTAATACAGTATCAGAGAAAAAAAAATGCAAAAATTTGAACGAACATTAAAATATAAGGATAATATCTGATAAGGGAGTGTACTGTACAATAAGAAATTGAATATTATAGAGTTTACTGTATGTTTATAAGTTTATAGATGCACATAAAAATGATATTACATATACTCTTATGAAATGCTCATTACCCACAAGGTATTAAAATAATAATAAATATATTAACATTAAATATAACTTTATTAAAATTATTTTGTTACAAAATAACAACAGATAACATTTTGATTATATATAACATACACATTAATATCTATTAAAATAGATTCTATAATATGTTAATTTTTATTTACTAGTTAGACTTAACTACTTATTATTTATACATATATATTATATAATATTTTATTTTATAAACAAAATAAGACACAGCCTAACAGTAAAGCCTCTAGTAATGATGTAATGTAAAAGAAGGTAACATTAATAAATCTGTTATTCAATAACCTCTACCTCTTGAAGTAGCTGGCCTAATTTTTAGTAAGATTTCCTTTTATAATTTTTTTTAAGACCTTTCTTTTTATGTACACATTTTTGAACTTTTTAAAAATAATTTGTAAACTATTTTAGATAAAATTGAATGTTTAATTATTTACATCATGTCATGGATCTCGAACAACATTTTGTTTTTATCTCGGGAAGAGTTAAGGTTGTATTGAAATTTTTTCTACTAAATTAGACAAAACAAAAACTTTTTTTATTTATTTCATCTGGTAAAAAATGTAAATTAGTATTGCTTATTTTGTATGTATATAACATGTAACTTTCCTAATATTGTGATAATTGTCTATTCATTCCTTCATTTCTTATTTATGTCAAGATAATTAGTTCTACTTTTATGAAATATGACATTATTCATGTTAAATGCCACTAAATATTACTGTTTATACTTTTATGTAAATATTTAAAAAGAAAAGGCAATCATAGTGTTGATGATTACTGTATCATTATTTGTATATGTTGTTAGATATAGTAATAAAACAAATATATATTTTATTATTTTAGTACATTTTTATGTTATGTAAAATCCATTATTAGCCCTTTTCAACTCCTAAGAGCGGGAAAAAAGACAAAAGTATAACATCACAAGAGTACCTGTTGGATTTATAACAAAATCAGTAACACTGTTGGAGATTATCCTAAAATTCAGTGAAAAATAAAGATTTGTGTAATGGAAATAATTGTGTTTTAAAATCAGTTTAAATCTACAGATTCATATTTACCTTTATGTGATAACAATGGTTTATAAAAAATGAATGTTGTGGCTCCCTTATGTTTCTTAAACTATTAATGCTTGGGATATTAAAGAAAAAAAAACATTCGTTTTATAAATTAGGATCGGTTATTCAAAAATCTTTTGTCTTCTTTTGTAAGGAAATTATATTATTGGTTCACTCCAAAATTTTTGTGTTACTGCTTGCATGTAATGATGAATTTAGCTTTCATATTTATTATGCTATAGTTTTTCAAAATAGTGGTTTAACGTTTTTCAGACTCTGAAATAGTTACTTTATTTATTTATTTGAAACTCATTGGAAAATGTATATTGAAAAATATATTTACAGTTAAATTAAATTTGTTTAGAAAAAATAATTCTTATTTTGTACTGATTTGGTTGTTTTAGATCACTTCATTTTTTTTTTTTTTTTAATTAACACTTCCTAAACCTTTCTTATGCTTGCTCAGGGATTTGAGTGTTAGTATCAGATTCTGTTTTATGATCCGCAATGTAGGTTATTTCTTCTCCTTCTAGGGCTGGCCTTAGTTGGTGCGAAGGTACATCAAGGGTTGTCGGTGTCTCCTCTTCTTCTTTCTGAAATATATAAATAACAGATAAGGTGTAATCTAAATTTTCAGCATGCATTTATTGTCCAATAAAAATTAATACTATCGGTTCTGTATCTATTACTTTTCATATAGAAAGTTGAAATTAATACAATTAATCAATATTAAAAAATGGTGTAATACAGGACTTTAAAATGATAAATTTTATCCTCAATTTTTGATATTGATTATGCAACTTAAAATTCCAAGTTCTACTACTACCATAGTCACCAAGCTTTTATTCATCTAATAATTACTATTCTTTGAGGACTAAAGACTATGCAAAAAATAAATAGTGTATCGTAATGAAAAACCTGGTTTTAATGCAGTGAAATTTTCTTGAATTATAGAACAAAAACAATTATAGTATTTAATGAAACATAAAAAATATAATGCGTTATTGAAGCATAATCAAATTTTTAAAAATAATAACTTTGAAAAAATAAAAAAAGGTAAACATGACTTGTATGAAATATGAATAATTATTTATAATTTTTAGTTACAAAAGAATGTAATAATGATGATTATAAATTGTTAATGAAAATCAACAATCAAATGATGCTGTTGAGGTAGCTCTTGTTGGATTGTCCCTCAAGCAGGCCTGTGAAGAGTTAGAAATTGAAGTAGAAAGAACGAGTATATCTATAAATGAAGAGAAAATGAAAATTATGGTGCTTAGGAAAAAAATGTCTATGAACCTGCCAAATCATTATTTTGTAGGAAAGCATATTTTCCTTCCAGTGTTTGTCTAGTTATAAGTATCTTGGCTCCATAGTAAATAATCAGATGGAGGAAGAGGAGGAAATTCAAAATCAGATTAAGGAGGCTAACAACGCATATTTTGCACTAAGAAGTTTCCTCCTTAGTAAACTGCTAAGTCGGGGTACCAAAATGACTATATAAAAAACAATCATTCCACCCATATTGATCTATGCCTGTGCAACCTGGATCTTCAGCAAAACCTTGCCTGAAAAGATTGGCAGATTTGAGAGAAAAGTGTTGATGGACAACATGGGGCCTATCCAAGAAATGGTTCCTACCATTTGAAAAGAAACAAAGAGATCTACAACTTATATGATGATCTCCGAGCTTCCGATTCCGTGCAAATTCAGCACTATTAAACGGCTGGGACAACTAATCAGGATGGATGATGATAGACCATCAAGAAAATTGTATTATGGAACCCTGAATAATAGAGTCAGACTGAAGGGAAGGTGGAAAGATTCCGTGGTTGAGGATTTGAGGATAGTCGGAGTGTCCATCAGACTTGTTATTGATCGCAATGACTGGGAAAAGGCAGTTGTTAGGGCCAAGGGCAGCTTCCGGCGCCTGTCAAGCAGATAAATAAATGAAAATCAAAACGATTAACCAACTCAGAAAATTAAAATTATGATAAACCACCAACTTAAATCATTTTAAATAATTAATATACTATCTATTCATAAATATTTTTATGATTCTTAAATTTAAGATGCATTGGTTTTGAAACTGTGAAGAAGCTTATATTAAAAAGCCTTTTTTAAAAGGTCATCAAAAGATTATTTTTTCTTTCTCTTGTGGGTTGCAATATTTGTTTATTATTGATCTCTTTTCTGCTTGTAAACTGATATTTTTTCTTCCTAAGATATTAACTTTTCATAAAAATAATTAATCAATATTTTCATGAAGAGTTAATATCTAACTTAATATCAATATCATCTGTCAAGTCTCAGATTAAACAAATACTCCACAATCTTTTACTTCTATTGTATAAGTTATTGAAGCTAAAGTTTATTTTAAAAATATATTAAGAATGCTTCTTGTTATACTTTTTCCTCATTATGCTTCACACATTTCAGTTGATGAGAAATATTTCTGAAGAGTTTTCTGAAAAAAATAAATTTAACCGTCCTTTGGAAAAACTTACTCTAAGAAGATCTGTAACCAGATTATTGACTGGCTTGATGGAGTATTCAAACGAAATATGAGAAGAGACACTTATTAGTTCTGTGATTTGTAAATTGTTCATTACTTGTACAAGTTGATATTATATAAAATATATAGAAATAAGTACTGAATTATTAATCGGAATCATAAAAGTTTTTAGTTTATTGAGTAGAATAAAACACAAGGCTTTATTGAAATATTATATATATATATATATTTTTTTTTTTTTTTTTAGAAAATGTGATTTTTACCTCATTTTACTTTCAATTTTATTTAGTGATATGCAAAGTAACTAACATTAACTAATTAAGATTTTTTTTTATGGGCCAGACTTTTATTAAAATATAAAATTACCCTAGGTAATAATTATTCTTATGAATCATTAATCTTTTATTGCACCTTAGTATAACGATTTGAATTGTTATAATAACCAGCAAGTGATGCTTTACCTCACTGTGATGCAATTGATGATGCCTGTGATGATGATGACCAGTATCCATTCTTGACAGGAACGCCCTAAGTTTTCCCAAATCTACCTTGACTTGTTCATCATCGCCATCACCTTGCTTCAATTAATTTTTTATTAGAGAGAAATACTGTTAACCTTTGAGATAATTTCATTTGTTTTTCGTACTGCTCTATAATAACTACCTGATTACTGCTGAGAACCTCATCATCTCCTGATATCTGAGATATAAGGTCTTGAACTTCTCCAACACCTTCTCCTTCTTCACTCAGCATCTTCAAGAGAAGGCTTAACCTGAATGTAAAAATATATATGTATATATTTTGTTATTAGAACTGTTACCTAAATTTTATATTAAGCAATCAGTTATGAAAGAGTGATTTAATATTTTGTATATTATATAGAGTCATTGCTGATTTATTCGAAATTTGATGAACATATCTATTAATGGATAATTAAATATCTTTAATATACATATTTTCCAAAGCCTAATCATTAAAAAAAAACAACTAATCCAGCATATTAGAATAATTTTACAGTCTGACTATAGCATATCCTTATACCTCTCAGAATGTTTGAGTTTGCCATGGGTAGTTGTGTTAGATCTATGCAAAGACAGAAGCCCCAAAAGCTGAGGTACATCAGCAGGGGATACGGCAGCCCCTTCCTCACCAACCTTCTCTGGAGGCGCTGGACATGATAGGCAAGAGCAATCCTCAATCACTTCTACTTTTTTCGTCAGTTCTACCTCATTCTCACAGGTAAGCTTGACCTATGGCACAATATTAGTTACTTTAAAAGATTAAAATCAATAATCTAATTGAATTTCAAGATGATGATGGACACTTACATGTTTCCATGAAACCGACCTGGGCTGACAAGAGTCACAGTAAGGCAGAACTTCTCCTGGAGCTGTTGGTTCAGTTCTAGGTATCGAGTAAGAGAAGCATGCCCCCACACATACATTGTTATCCACTTCTGTCTGAGCGCAACCTGGATGTCCGACAACCTGCTTTATCGGTGTTGTTTTGCACCATGAATGTTTCTCTGGGTATAGAACTATATTGTGCACCTAAATAGTATAAATATTTCAGTAAGGGTTCAATGATCCAGTTTTAAAAAATATTGTTTTAGTTAGTATCTTACTAAGATAATATCAGTTAATAATAATATTACACATTAATGTAGGAATGTAAGGACAGGTTGGCTGAGCACGTTGGGACATGGATCCCAGAGTGCCCGTTTCTTTGGTCTATCAATAATGGAAGGGAACTAAAATATTTCATGAAATACAAGTTAAGTATAAGTTAATAAATAATGTTCTTTATATATGTCTCATTTTTTCCCATTTATTTAGTTATTTTTTTATATGCAGGTAGGTGGTTTTGTCCAGAGATGGGCAAAACCATTTATCTAAGATTGTCGCTGTTGCCATGTATTAAAATTCTTTTAATTATTATTAAAGAAAATGTTAATTTTAAGTTAACAAGTATGGATATCGTGATGGCAGGATTTTGTGAAATCCAATTAGTATGATTTTTAATTAGATGATGATTTAACATTCTAGGATTTTTGATAATGACCACTCTAATTAATAATCATTGAGTCCATTCTTTGAGTATAAAATAAAAATTTATTAAAATAGTGTAATACTAATGCTGCATTCTTAGATGTTTAGTACAAACGATTGAAAAAAAAATCCTCAAGCTACAGAAATATTTAAGCTCTATTTATATTATTATTTCCTAAATTATTTTTTAAAATTAATTAAAACATCCATTCCAAGGTTAATCTTTCTCAATTTAGTGGACACACACATCAATTTCAAAATGTCCATGAATTAATGATTAGCTGTAAATTTTGATTATCTTTAAAACAAGTTAAGAACATAAGTAAGTAATATAAAAACTATTAATTTATATCTTAGTCTCGCAATGGTGAGAGGGGGGGGGGGAGAATTAATGTTAAAGAATTATGTTTACTGTTCACAGATGTCTCCAATGTATAGAGACTTCTCATGCATGAGAGATGGTGGCATATGATACATGATTAATTATAAACGGAGGACTGATGACTTGTGAATAGCGAATCAGTTAACGAGCTACAAACTGTCTCTAATCTGTCCGCGTAGTGGCAACCCTGCGCCTCAACGACTTAGTTTTTCAATTCAACCTACTGTGTTTGGTACTTAGCGTTTCGTGTCCAAAAATTATATGCAATAATCGACTCCGCTATCCATTAGAGAAGATTTAGAGAAAATGTCCAAGGTAGTCTCCTATTACACGTGAGTAAAATATTTCTGCTTCTTTTATTTGATATCAATATTTTATAACTTGATATGTTCTATTCATGAATTTAAAACTTGTTTCGCCATATAACTGCGCTAGTAATAAATTTCTCTATGATTAAAAAACATAATTTAACTCAAAAAACTTAATAATATTGAAATATACCATGGAATTTTATTTAATAATTATAACTTTATTGAATCAGTTAATGCGTATTTGTTTATTAATGGAAAATGTCACTACATTTATGTCACGTTTTACATTTACTCAATTATAATTGTTTCTAAAATTATTGAGGAGTGAACTGAAATATGAATTTTTAGAATGAAATTGTAGATCATTAATAAATTTCAACTATTACTATATGTAAATAATTCCATAAACGGATTTAATCAATCTATTGAATCAAGTAGCGTTGGAAAATGATTTATGCTGAGTTGAAGCACGGCCTGCTGGAATCTAATGGATGTTGACACTCTTGGAAGGTTACAAACTACATGAAAAATAAAAAAATATAGATGGAAACATTTACCTATCTATTAATTGTTGGATATTATTGTACAAATGTCACTCCACTTTTGTGGATGGCACAAGATCTCACGATCATACCCATAAATGGAATCCCGACAATGGCTGTTTTCGAAATTAGATGGATGTATCTGAACCTTCTGGTAAGACCTTCATTGAAACTGTGTTATGTCACAGTTAAAAGTTAATTACGTCCCAATTGAAGTAATTCTTTAAAAGACTAATAGAGTTTACTGTAAGTCGTAAATCGCGATCCAAATAAAGAGAGATTATGCTAGAACACGGTCAATTTAAGCATTCCATTTGTAGCGTGTGATCATTGGACCTGTTCCACTCTTCAAAGTGGAGTGACATCGGTGTTTTTACTGTTTACAAATTATAATTTATATTTTTTAAATTTTGTAAATATAATTATTTATTTTTTCAAGCCCTTAGAGACCTAGACATATTAGAATGTAACGTACCTTGAAATGAGTTGTTATAGTTTTAATGGTTCGAAGTAATCCACGTGAAAAGGTTGTCAATCTTCGAACCCGCGGTAATTCTCGGAATCCCATTCATACCGCGAATCAGGAGTTCCCAGAAGAGGATTTCATGGCGCAAGTTGCGCCATCAAAATTTTGTAGGGGCCATATTTTGACTGGGTTTTAAAATTTTGAGTTCGCTGCCGCGAACAAGAGATCTTGGCCCATTGGATGTGTAGTCACATTTGTACCCAGTGGTACCATTATGAAGTTACATCCAGTGGATCTATTGACCCCAAAATCCGATTGAACCGCTGAGTTAGCTGTGAGTTTAGGAATGGCCTGATGGATTTCCGATGTTCGAAATTTGTCCATGTATAATCATTGGCACACTGTTGGGGGAAGTAGGCAAGTGATCACCAAGTTTATTTGAAATAAATTTATATGAGACCAGTCAAATCGAAAATATGCTGAAAATATCGATTATGGTGTGGATAAACTCCTGTATCACTATTACTAATATTCTTAGTTGTGACAAAATGTAATATTATTCAATAAAGAAGATGTCGATTATGTCTTTAGCACTGATATTATCCATAACAAAAATCAGGTACTATTCGTGCCCACTAGCGGATCCAGGATTTAATATTGGTAGCTTCAGACCTGAAGTTTTTGTTTTTCATAAATATAACAATAATTACTTTGGAAAAAAAAGAAAGAACTATCTATATGAAATGGTGTTTAAGTGATTCTTGAAGTCCTATTAAATGTAATTACATAAACAATAATTGTTAAGTGATAATTTTTTAATATTTTTTTCCATAAAACATGGTTACATTTTACCATTTTAGGGAGGCTTCAGCCCATAACCTTCTCCTTCTCTCCCTCCCTCGTAGATCTGCCTGTGTTCGTGTCCTATTCCATCTACCCATCAAAAAGAAAAAAGTATATCTTAATCTTTCATTGAAATTTTTTGTATCTTCATTTTATTGTGATGTATGAACCCATATTTGTTTTTCAATATAACAATATTCATCCACGCCTCTAAGTGTATGTTTGTTGCATATTTTAAATAATTTGTTTTTGTACTTATTCTGTTTATTGTTTTGTTAGTTCAGAAATCTTTTATCACGTTTTAATGTGTATTAGTTGACTGCCTCCAGTGGCGTACCTACGTATACCATTTTTGGGCCCAGGCTGTATTTATTTTTGTGGTCTACTGAAAATGCAACTAACAATTATTTTCAATAACTTTTGATATATATATATATATATATATATATATATATATATATATATATATATATATATAACTTATTGATAAAGTCAAATGAGTGATGAACTATACATCTCAAGGTCAGGCTTATACTAACACTTTCATTTTATAAATCGTCAATATCACAAAACCCTTTTTAGATTGATGCATATTTCTGGAAATGAGAAATTTCCGATTTTGAACTAAGGGTTCGGGCCTAAGGATATTGGTCGTACAGCTCCAATGGACGGTCCATGAAATACGATTTATTTCCGCATCATCGTTAATCATCATTTCCTGTCCTGCTAATTATCGATTCTGTGACGATTTCATCAGACAAATAAATATGAATACTTACCTTTGTTACGTGCTACCCGAGTCTCATAAATTTTGCATTGTGGCATGGTTCCACAGCTGTACGGCCGGAGTCAATAATATTGTTTACTATTATATTTGTAATATAATCAGAGAATTATAATTCTAATCTTATTCAAGATGAAAGAAGAAAAGATAAAACCGTAAGTTATAAACGCATTGGAAAATAAAGAATTTGATTTCGGTTTATTAAAAAAAAAATTACAATTTCTTCCATAAAGAATGAAGAAAATATATTCAGTGAGGTGCACTTACGGATCCAGGATTTAATTGGAGGGGGGAGGCTTCAGCCCGAATGTTTTTTTTTTTTTGTATGTTTATATTAAGATAATTACTTCAGAGAAAGTAAGAAGTAAAACAAAGTTTAAAGTTTAAATTTAAGAAAGTAAGAAACCTATATGAAATAGTGTTTAAGTGATTCTTTAAGTCCTATTTAATGTAATTAGACAAACAATAATACTTTTAGAGATAATTTTTACTTTCACTTACGTATATATAGTAAGTGTAAGTATTGCGATCGAGAAAATTTTTGAATCTGAGTTTTCAACGGATTTACACGTTTTGAGGTACCCTGAGTCGAAATGACCAAGTCCCGAAAAATGGTCTGTGTGTTTGTATGTTAGCAGTCTAGCTCAAAAACGAAAAGTCCTATGAAACTGATATTACGTATTTAAGGTATATGGCTTAGTTGTGACAGCAACTTTTTTGTTGAAATCGGCTAACCGGAAGTGCCACTTTATATTAACGCTGAAACACATTTTCACAATTTTCCCAAAAACGGCTCTAAAGATTTTGATTAAACTCGGTGTATCATTGGTTTTTATAAAAGTTTACGGAATTTCCTGAAAACACAAAAAAAAAAAAAATCCTTAAAATCGGACAATTAGGATGAAAGATATGGTCTTTAGTTTTTTTCTCTGAAGAGGCGAAAATTTGTATAAATTTTAAATATATTTTTTTATACTAAAAAAACCTTTTTTCTAAAGATATTTAATAAAGTGTCTTTCCTAAAAACATCTTTCATAAGAAATAGGTAACTAAATTTATATCTTTATTCTCAGTTCTATATTTCAACACTGCAATGACCACCTCTGGAATTAACTTACTCATTGTCTGCATAGATAACTTTTTCAACTAAAAATATCACTAAAATGATATTACT